TCCGATTCAATTTGCTCGATACAAGGTGCCCTTAGTTGTCGTGGTGTTGATGATTTAAGAGGCGTGTGGAATCCGGTGTCAAGTGTGTGTGGGGGGGGGGCAATAGCGGAGCCAGGATTTTCAGGTATGGGGGGGCAACCCCTCCAGCAATGAAAAATGATAGAGGAGTTGTTAGTAAGGACTTGTCCCTTGCTTCTTATTCGACGCATGTGCGGCGATAGCGCAGCCATCGATCGAGGGTCGAATTCGAACCGCGTTGTGTGATCGGCATCGCGCTCGCTGAAGGTGAATGCCTTCAGGGAAGTCGTGTACTGTATACACAACTGTGCATAATTCTCAGTCACTTATTACTGCTTTGCCGTTACTTATTGCCAATTATGGACTCAGACTATAGTCCTTTCATCTCACAGTGGCAGTGGGGGTCGCAAACTGCCGATGTATTCATAATAAACCCCAATGATCCGATCGGAATTAGGGATTTCGATCGGATCATTGGGGGGGGACACGTGCCACCCCTCCCCCCCCCCAGGAACTGACTCGGTCAACGACGAAAACTACCACCGCTCACTGAACCCCCCCCTCCGCCCAAGTGAGAGACGTGAACGCGGAGACAGCAGGCAAAGAAAGCACGGACACGGCCTTCTGTCGCTTCCGATAGCAAACAGCGAAAGGGGGGGGGGGCATCAATTGAGTAGGCACGCAAAAATCTGTCAAAACTTGACCCCTCCCCCCTCCCGGTACGCACGCGGACTTTATACACCACCGCCCCCCACCACCTGAGTACGTACGCCTGACGCATCCCCCTCCCCCCCCGAATCCTATAGAACGGCCGATATTTAATCCACGCAGAAACGATCAAGTATCCTTAATAATATTAACGCGTTTAAGCAAACAGATGGTCCATCGCCGGACTATCTAACTAATTTGAAGGGCAATGTAGACAAATTATTATCGAGGCTTCACCCCCCCCCCCCGTTTCCTATGCGTGCGCACATTGTCAGTAGAGCCCCCCCCCCCCCATACGCAAGCGTAACGCATTTGGGTAAACCCTCCCCACTCCGTGCGTAACGCACTAAATGGATGGCCCCTAACGGTACCGACACAATAAGCGCCCTCGCACGCTCCTCGAATCACACAGCAGCTTACATCCGTCGCCAGCGCAGCTTCTGCCCTACAACGGCAGAGATACTCGGCCTCGAGCGAGTACCTGGTTACGCTGTGTAAACATCGCCAAATGGGGAGACAAAGGCGGCCGGGCGTGGTTCTTGCAACCCAACCCCTTCGTGTGCCGTGCCGGCATTCATAGGTGCTCGCTAACAGCACTTGCCCCAAACGGCTCGTTGACGGTATATAGGGTGGTACCTGTGTGTGTGTACACGTGTGTGTCAGGGAGGTGTGTACTGACAAAGATCCCCCGTATCCACGTGAGTGTGTGTGTGTCACGAAGGTGTGTATATCCACGTGTGTCACGGTGTGTATCCACGTGTGTCACGAAGTTGTGTGTATCCACGTGTGTGTGTGTCACGAAGTTGTGTATCCACGTGTGTGTGTGTCATGAAGGTGTGTGTACCCACGTGTGTGTCACGGTGTGTATCCACGTGTGTCACGGTGTGTATCCATGTGTGTGTGTCACGAAGGTGTGTATCCACGTGTGTCACGGTGTGTATCCACGTGTGTCACGGTGTGTATCCACGTGTCTGTCACGAAGGTCACTCCAGCGCTGTCCTACCAGACAGTCTCGTCCCTTCACCTGATGAAGGCCGCTTGTGTTGTGGCCGAAACGTCGTGAGAATATTTATTTTATTCTCATTCTACGTGACTTTACCGAAAGAACCAAAGAAGATGTCACGAAGGTGTGTATCCACGTGTGTGTGTCACGAAGGTGTGTGTATCCACGTGTGTGTGTGTCACGAAGTTGTGTGTATCCACGTGTGTGTGTGTGTCACGAAGGTGTGTGTATCCACGTGTGTCACGGTGTGTACCCACGTGTGTCACGAAGGTGTGTATCCACGTGTGTTAGCGGTGAGTACACCTGTGTGTGGGGACTGTTCTTAATGACTGAAGGCGTGAGATGACGGCTGCCCATGTCCCATTCACCTACCCGGCTGGGGATGCGCGCTCCACAGCCTCGCGCGAGCAGAGAGCTCTCTCCCTCTCTCTCTCTTATTTCCCGGGGTGATGAGCGCTTCGGGGATTAGAGTCTTTAACGTAGCGGACCCCCCCCCCCACGCACCACCCATAACCCCCATCCTTACCCCCCCCCCCGCACACACACGATCACACAAAGACAAAGATCCCCCGTATAGCCTGGACGGGCTGTTGGGGGCAAGTGCTGCGAGCGAGCACCTATGAAGGCCGGCACTGCTCACGAGGGGGTGGGTGGCCATCACCACGCCCGGCCGCCTTTGTCTCCCAAGTGACGATGTGTACACAGCGCACCAGATACTAATTTGAGGCTGAGTGGATCAAGGGAAGACCCAGGACCTGTTCCGGTAATCGTCACCGGTTGTTGTTAGCCGTGATCGGGAATCGAACTCGGGTCGCTGGTTTCGTTCCGCAGCGCGCTAACCGCTCCACCACCGCTCGCCGCGTGCTCAACATGTATTCAGTAAATACACTCTCCAGCCAGATAGATAGATACACGTGCCATACACAGACAACAAAAACATGTTTGAACAAAGACAAAGATACCCCATGCAGCCTTTTTTAACACTAGGGGTGGGTGGCAGCACCACGCCCGGCCGCTTTTGTCTGCACAATGCGAATGGTAACACAGCGCCGAGTCAACCTAGGGGAGCCCCAGAACCGGTTAAAATATTCTCTGCCACTGATATTGGCCACGAGCGGAAATGGAACTCGGGTGGCCGGGTTCGGAGTGCAGTGCGCTAGATCACTGCTCACCACACACAAATATACATGTGCTATGTATACGTAACATACATAGTACACACGCAACACAAAACAAAGATCCCCCGTGTAGCCTACACAGGCTGTTGGGACAAGTGCTGTACGAGGGGAATGGTGTGGCCGCCTTTGTCTGAAAAGTGGCGAGTGACATCTGAACCGGCTCTGGGCCCTCCCCTTGGTGGACTCAGCCTCTAAGTAACTAGCTTACCTGGCAGGTCACTGGGCAGATTGAAAACTCATTTCTAGATTGAAAACTGATTTCTTTAGAACTGCTCTTTGTGTTTAGTTCGTTGCTCTTCCCTCGCACCTCCGATTACCACGGTTGGCTATGTACGGTGCGAAAGAAGTTCAAAATACTTGTGCGTTATGCGTGAACCAAGATTAAATAACACGCACACACACTAGCGGAAACATCTCTAACCGTGTTAATGAACGGTGTGGTGAGCAGTGGCGTAGTGGTTAGGGTATTGCGTTCCAAACCCAGCCACTAGAGTTCCATTTTCGGCCACAGTCAGTGGCGAGTGATATACGAACCGCTCTTGCTTGGGCCGCCCCATTCACCAAATCCACACAGGCGAGCATGGTCAAGTACGGTCAAACAACTGCCATGATCAGCACGGTTAAAATCTAGAAATGCCAACAAACCTCATCGCAACGTATACACTAGTGCATACCCCCGTAACGTGTTTTGTTACGTGCAACACACTCGTAGTCCTACACGTGTACAGGACACTGCTCTAACCAAGTCGGCTTTGTATTTGCCAACAAAGGGAGATTTCAACACATGCACGTGGAGCTTTGGCAAGCGAGGCCAAGCGCAGCCCACACTCAACACACACGTGCTTGCCTCTGGAGCCCTGAACAGAAGTATAGTGTCTCCGTGAGGTAGGTGGGGAGGGGTGGAGTAGAGGTGCGAGGCGCGGGAGTCATGTTATTAAAACGCATTTCATTCTGGCCTCTCATCTGAAAAGCCTCTTTTCATGGAATTAAGATTATCTCGGTTGAGACTCTCACAAGTTACATTTCTCCACGGTGTTGATTTCATAAATGTGCGTTGGGTCAAACATCGACACCTACACTTTGGACCCCCGGGTGTCGCAGATGTCGGCCCCGTTACTTCCCACTCTGTCAAAGGACTCTCGGCAATCTCTTCCATTCCTTCCCCGAGTTCTTCTCGTCGAGTAATGGTCTCCGAATTATTTGATCAGAAACGTACCAGTACGCTCTTTCGTCATTGCCCGCATGTTCAGAATGCACCTGGCTATTCGATACTTCAATTGCATCTGTTCTGCATCGGTTTTTCTCACCTCGGAAGTTTGTCTTCTAGATCGTCCACCATCAGCACTGCGGACTAAAACGTCCAAGAGTACTGCATCATGGTTCGACTCGCCATACTCCGACCTTTTCGATAAGCCAATTATCTTTCTTAGGATTCGTATTCTTCATTCTCCTCTTCCTGGTGTTGGGATTTTTTTTTGCTTTTAACTCACAGTTTGAGCACAGGCCCAAATCGCTAAGCAGCCAGCAACTGCACTATCGACGGTGTAACAGATAAGAGCGAATACGTTTCTTGAATTCAGCAGTCGTACGAACTTAAAAAACGAGATGACGAGGGTATTAAAGTCCTGAGAGTATTTGGTATAAATCCCTGCTTGACCACGTGATTTCCAAGCGCGATGGCCGAGGTTATCCTGGTCATAATAAAATTATCAATTGATGTGCTACGTCCCTCCCTTTGATTTCCTCCCCCTTCTGTATTTTGGAGTGTGTTTAATCAATGTCTGTTCGACGTTAATACATTTCGTATGGTGATTTTGAATGAAGAGCCAAATTAAGTGAAAAGGCATATTGAGCGTGATGGAATTCGTGTGCAGTTACTGGTTAGCCACGATGAGACCATCTTGCTACATTTCAGAACCCAGCTGAAACGTCGGTGGCTGAAATTAGCATTTTAACCCTGGACCTCATCAATGTCGGCTCGTCACTCTTGATATGAGAGCCATCCTGGTCGGCTCACCTTGTTGAACTTCATCAATCTGAAAGGAGAACATTCATAGTGGCACAAACCCAAAAATAATAACGTGTAAACCTTCAACTATTTGAGCTTTTTATTCTAAACATATATGATCTAAAAAAATGCTATTTCATCTTTCAGATGCAACACAACTCGAAGCAGGCTATGAATAAGTACATATTAACACATTTAAAACGACACAAGACAGACAACAGTCGGTGGCTTGGATACAAGCCGAGAGTGACTGAGCGACGGTCAACATTCAAGCCGAGCGGTCTCTCCTTTGCCGAGAAGAGCCTAGGTAGAGGCAGTGCTGTCTGCTCCACACTGTTCAGACTAAGCACGTCCAATTGACATGGCTGAAGGCCCAATGGTCAATGTAGCCAAAGAGCCAGCATTTAGTGCAACCATCGCAAAAAACGGCAAAAATAACTAAACAAACAGCACTGTCTCCCGCAAAACCCGACGGTCACAATGGCACTAGGAATAACTTCTAACATTCAATGTCTATACTAAGTGCTTTGTTTTCGAAGCATAAACGAAGCTGGTAACAACTTTGTTTCAACTGGACCACGTGCAACTAGCCATGTTTGGAAATTTCCAATAAATTGAGAACATCATCACGTTGAGGATTCTCAAACCCCTGTTCTTCCGCTCCATTCTCCTTCCCCTTTGCATTTGCTCCGTACGCCACGGCACACCTTTCTGCATTTCCCCATCTTCTCTGTTCCACTGCCAAAGAAGTTGCTGCACATCACACACATCCAGGGCCGACTTCATGCACTGGTTGAGCAGTATAAGTTGATAGAAACAAGGTCGAACCCCATGCTATTTTTACCACCAAACTGACCCATTCTTTGTCAAAAACCAGCAGAAACAATTTTCCGCCAACACGCGAATCATACCCCTGCGCGATAGAGACAAAGCGCTGTGCGAGGACTGGAGGACGCGACAAGCAACAACACAAACACACACTAAAGCAGCCACGAGTGGTCTGCCGTTCACGTCTCCTCTACCTGCCGTGCTGGTGTGGGACACGGGGGGGGGGGGTTCTAGCGCAGTGTGTGGTGATGATGCTTGTCGAGATTAGTTTGTTTTCCTTCATCCGCATCTCCGATTTGCACGGTTGGCTATGTACGATGTGTGGGTGTGAAGGTGCTGGTGTTATTACAGTGGTAGTTGTGATTGTGGTGGAGGCAAGTTGGTGGTGATGTGATCAACATTATCATATGCTGGTAGTGTGAATGATCATGTGATAATGATGTGAAGATTGCGGTGTGACCTTGATGATGCGATTGCAGTGGTGTGAAGATAATGATAGTGCGATGGTAATGTGATGGCGGCGATGACGATGGCAAGTGTGATGTTGACAAGTATGATGGCGATGGTGCGATTACGATCGCATCATAACAAGTGTAAAGTTTATAATATGATGGTTGTTAGGATGTTGTAATGGGAGCAGCGACAGCAAGACAATGATGATCATGATGAGAGCGATGATGACAGCGATTATGGTGACGATGCAGCCACGCCGCGCTCAGAACTGGATCTGCATGGCCTTCTTGACGTGTGCTGCGAGTCCGTCGAGAGTGGCCATGGGGCTTGACAGGCCCAGGAGCCCCCACTGGGCCCCATCCCCCCCCACGGCGGACACGCAGAAAGAGCGCACCTCCACACCCTGGGCCGCCAGCACTCCTGTAGCCAACACGGGGACACACAGAGCCGTCAGCACGAGGGCCAGCGGCGCTCGCAAGCCCAGCGTGCACCCCCCCCAGCAGCGTTGTCCAACTAAACTACGAAACTAAAAACGTGTTATTTCACTAGGCGAGGCCCACTGACCTATTTAGCTATTTTTCAGAAGAGACATGGCCACAAATGATAGCTCAACCAAGTGGAAATATATTTCAGCCAAATATTCTAAACCAGTGGTTCTTAACCTTTACTGCAGCCTGCAATCGTAAAAAAAACGTCAATACACAGGTTTGATTAAACACAGTAGATGTACTTACATTCCACCTGTGCTTAATTAGCGTTTTCGATTATTTACCTTCTAAACAAAATCTGGCATGCACCACAGGTTAAGAACCACTGCTCTAAACGCATGTTTATGAATATGGAGGGAAAAAAACGGAGGACCTGGAGAAAACTCCATGCAACCACAGGGAGACCATGCAAACTCCAAATATACAGAGGTATCAGGGTTGGGATTGAACCAACACCCTTCTGTATACAAGGCGAGGTATTTAACATCTCGCCACCGTGGTGCCAGGCCGCAACTCACATTGAGTCTGCATCATCACCAGTCACTGCTGGATGAAGGCCTCTCCACGACATCTCCATCACTGATGCTCTTCTGGTGCTACAATCGATCTCACTCATGCGCACAAGCGAGCTGATCGCAATGCTTCATCTACGGTGGTCCTTCTTCCTCGGGCATGGTTCCCAATCGCAAATCAGCCGTCAATCCTTCCAGCCGTGATGTGTTGTATCCACGTCTACTTAACTGTACCTAAATGTCGATATGCTGTCCATAATCTACATTTGTTATCTGATCAACAAGTTCCTCTTTCTGTTTCTAAAAGTGCTTACGCAAGCTTTTGTTGCGTTTTCTTTGTTTGCGCCGAGTCTTACCCAACTTAAAATCACCATGGTGTCAGCGGTGGCTCAGAGGTTAGAGCATTGCACCAGCACTGCTCAGACCGCGAATTTGAATCACCCATGATTAAACTGGCTTCTTAAGTGTCGTAAGTGTGAGTCCAGTCACAAATGACTGTTGAATTAGGTTTTGCACTTCATTAGGGTAAAATTCGAGTTTTGAGAATCAATAAAAAAAAGATATTGGTTGGAGCGACATGCCTTGTGCATGGGAAAGTGCTGCCCCCTAGTGCAGGTTATGAAGACACTTCAAGGGATCTCAGAGGAAACGCTATCTTAAGACTGTGAGACGTTCCGTAACAAACGGGGGTTGGGCGAGGGTGTGATGCACTGCACTGCACGGAGCTCTGAATGGATTGTCTCACGATATGATGCCGATCGCACAATTAGAATAAAACTGGGGAAAAAGAACCACCCCCCCCCCCTCCTTGCCACCAACCACAGACTATCCAAACACAAATCACCCCAAGCTGCTTCTATTGCCATCACCGGGCAATACCCTGGTGAATGCGTGGCGTGCAGCCCGGCCAATTTTCATTGATGGGTGACGGCACCGCCCAGCGAGATTTCCCAACTGGATTCCCCGTCCCGTGATGCGACCCCCCCCCCACCCCACCACACCTACCCGCCACCGCCGGCAAGGCGTGCGCTCCGGGCGCGGTGCGATAGAGCAGGGCAGTGCCAGCGAGCGGGGCGCCAGCCGGGAGGAAGGAGGCCCCATTGACGGCCAGCAGGAGCGGCTGCTCGCCCCGCGCGGTGCCCACCAGCACAATGGCGGGGCCGCCCTGCAGCTCCACGGAGAGGCAGGGCGTGGAGGAGGGCTCCAGCCCCTGCGGGGGAGACGCCTCGTGCGCCGTCGACACCTGCAGACATAGGCAGCGGGTGAAATTTTTATTTTGGGGGGGATAAAACAGACTTTTGCAGGGGGGGGGGGTAATTTGTCTCGGAAAATATGTCCGAAAATAAGCGAGCTCTCAAAGCTGCCTCTAGCAGAACAGGTGGTAGACTGACTTAAAGGTCACAGGTTCAGCAACTGCATCAGTCTACCACATGCTCTGCAGTCGTGTTGGTTAATCTTCACGCGATTTATCGCATTCCCCCACCCCCCTCCATCATTTCTGGACGGAGCTAATGGTCAGAGCGCGCGCGCGTGCCATCCCTCACCGTGACCCCGGCCTCTTTGGCGAAGATGGCTGCGTTGACGAGGTTCAGGTGATTCTCTCCGTCGACGCGCAGCAGAGCCGTCAGCACGGCCGGAGCCAGCACCGCCACGGCCGGCCCGCCGTCGCCATGTGTCGCCACGCGCACGCTCGCCCCGCGCACGCCCTGCGCCAGCACCGCCCGCGCCACCGCACCCAGAGACTCCGCCACCTTCACCCACGGCCGCGTCTCGGGGGCCAGGGCCGAGCCCAGACACCCAGCGTTCACCTGCGTGGGGCGGGGGGCAGAGTCTTGTTAAGACGTCTACAAGTTTGCCGAATCTCGGAACGTGTAAGCGGTGAGCATTGATTTGATTTAGAGAGGCGTAGCGCTGGTGTTTTAAAAAGACATTGTGTACTGTACTCACCACACTACCATACTCTATGACAGCTGGCGCCAAGCGCGACACACACCCTCTCGCATGGTCTTTTACTTCCGATTCCGTTTGGAATCAATTCGATTCGATTTCAAATCGATTCCGTTCCGATGACGTAAACGTGCGTAATCGGAACGTCATCGGAACGGGAAAGGACCAGTGATCGCGACGTCACACTCGCCCTCGCCTCTCCTCGCTACGCGAAATTGGCACTGCCTCAGCTTGCTGCTGTAAGGGGAAGGCAGTTGAGGTGCAGAGAGCATCTTGTGGCGTTTCGCATTGAATTTGATGCCGTATCTGTGTTATTTGATATTGTGGCTGCGTTGCTGTGGATTGTACTGCGGCCGTGGCATTTGAGGTTGTAATTGCGGTGTTTGAAGCGGCGGTTACGGCCCGTGGCGTTTTGGTTGTAGGTTGTTGCGGTGCGAGGAGTTGTGGGTGCGGAGCCGAGTTTTCCTCACCGCGCCCACCAGCGCCTTGCCCTGTACCAGCTCCACCACCTGCTGCGCCAGCTCTTCCCCGCAGCGGCTCTGTGCCTCGTGCGTGCTCGCGCCCAGGTGGGGCCCGCACACCACGCGCGGGTGGCGAATCAGCGCTATGTTCGTCGGGGGCTCCTGCGTTCCAGGGGTGGAAGACGCGCCGAGGGGGGAGGGGGAGAACGGTGAAGAGAAGACTGAGGAGGAGGTACCGAACAATCACACGACCAGACACAACGCGGTCACAAGAAACGATGAGGTTTTTTTTTTAGTAGCTACGCGATGACACCATGCTGCTCTCAATCTCTAACCCTGTCCTAACCCAAACTTGACCATAATCCAAGTCTTAACCTTAATCAAAGTACTAGCCATGACTCTATTCCCATCCATAACTCTGATACAAGGCCTAACACTAATCCTATTTTAAATCTGGATATATGCCTGAATTTTAAGCCCTTCCTTCGTCCCAACTCTAACACTCTCACCCAAAACAAAGCTCACCACCTACACTACTCCCAACCACAGCCCTTGTTCTAACACTAACACTACGCCTAACCATGATCCGATTCCTACCTATGACCCCTGACCCGGGGGGCAGGGGAGCAGGGGGCCCCACCTGAATGAAGACGTCGAGCCCAGCGCCCCCGCACTGCCCAGACTCGAGCGCGCGCTGCAGCGCGTCCTCGTCTATGATCCCCCCACGCGCGCAGTTCACCACGCGCACACCGCGCTTGCAGCGAGCAAACGACGCGTCATTCAGGAGGCCTGCAGGGGGAGCGGACGAGCGCGGTCAAACATACACACGCACGCACGCACGTACTTACACCGAGAGAACCTGGCATCGGTCAGGAGACCTGAAGGGAGACGAGCAAGGTCACATGTGAGCACGCACATACGCACGGTCACTCTCATGGCACGGGAAGGCGCAAGGTAGCAGAAGGCGAGACATGAAGGGGCACTCCAACAAGCTGCGCGTCATCATCTCTGTGTATGCACCTGCATGTGCCTGTGTGTATTTCCGTGTGGAGGTGCGGCTGTGTGTGTGCGTGCGACTTGTGTACGCATGTGTGGGGTGCAGAAATGTAGCGATTAGTGCACTGTGCTACGAACTCGGCGATCCCATTTCAATTCCCGCTCATAAGCAGCAACAGTGACGAATACATGAAACGGTCCTGGGCCTCCCCTAGGTCGACTCCGCCTTAAACGCCTTGTGTAAACATCAACACTATGGACAAAAAGGTGGCTGGGCGTTGTGCTGGCCACCCACCCCTCTTGTTTGCCGTATCGGCCTTAACAGGCACTCGCTAACCAGCACTTGCCCCAACAGCCTGTTAACGGCTCTACGCAGGATATCGGTCTGTGTCGTGCATACGCATGTAGGTGTGCACTTGCCGGTGGTGGAGGGCATGAGTGGGGTGTGCACGGTGATGAAGTCGCACTTGGGCCACAGTTGCTCGAGTGAGAGCTGCTCCACTCCGAATGCCGCCGACACCTCCGCCGGGATGATGGGGTCGTAGCCGATGGTCTTCAGCATGCGACGAAAAAAAACACAAAAATTCCCTTATTAGCCAAAATAGACTGCTGCTAGCGAGCACCTTTGAAGGATGAAAGTACACACGAGGGGGCTTGTGGCCAGCACCACGTCCGGCCGCCTTTGTCTCCCCAGTGGCGATGTTTACACACTGCACCAAGTATCGTCACTAGTGTTGGCCGTGAGAGCGAGAATTGAACTCGGGTCGCCGGGTACGTAGCGCAATGCGCTAACCGCTACACTAAAGCTCTCCCACATACACACACAAAGATTTCCCCTAATAGCTTTATACACTATTGGGGAAAGTGCTGTTAGGGAGCACCTTATAAGGTTGGTAAGGTGCACAAATGAGTGGCGTGGTCAGCACCGCACCTGGCTGCCTTTCTCTTACACCGTGCACCAGGTACTCATTTTAAGGCAAAGTCCACTTCAGGCCGTTGATACTGATGTCAGCTGTGGCTGGGAATTCAACTCGGGTAACAAGGTTACTAGTGCAGTGCAACAACCACGATGCCAACGGCTACACCCGCATGCACATACACACACACACTCATTTAGTGAGACTTTACTTGATAAACACTAATACAAATATGATTTATCATGACGCTTCGTTTATTCTGCAATCCCACAAGTGTACCGTCTCTGGCGGGCGGTGTGACGCGGTGCTCTCACCGTCATGCCGAACGCCTGCATGCGCAGCGCCACCTCCCGGCCGATGCGGCCCAGACCCACAATGCCGAGCGTCTTCCCCAGCAGCTCTGTGCCCATGAACTGTGGGGACAACACGGAGGTGGGGTCAAGGGCAGAGGCTTCGTCAGACACTCGACCAAATTTGCTAAAACTCTTATTCAAACCACTGGCCTCCAACCGTAACCCTAACCACAACCGGAACCACAATGGCAAACCTAATCTCACACCACTACCGTAGCCCCTACCTTATCCCCAACTCTTGACCCCAACCTCATCCTCCAAAATCAATAAACTCCAACTTCATGCCAAACCCTACCACCAATGCCAACCTGAAGTCTAACCTTCCCACGCCAACCCAACCCACCTAAACAAAAAAACCCTAATCACAAACCCTTACCTAACCTTAACCTAAGCACCAACCAAACCCCAATCTGGACTGTAATCCCAACACCATCGGCCCAACCCGAGCTGCACACCCACATTGATGCCCTCTGGGAGGTGATGCTCACCTTCTTGCGCTCCCACTTGCCCTCGTGCATAGAGGCCATCGCTTGGGGGATGAACCTGCAGCAGATGTGATCACGAGGGAACGGTTATGGGTCAGGGTTACGTGGTTGCAGTCAGAATCAGGATCGCAGTCAGGGTCATTGAGCAACAGCTGCACCCCATGGTAACAAGGGCATGATGGGAGCTCCGATCCAATGGTCAAATCGCACCTTTTCCATCTATAAATGATATTTTGCAGTGCATCATTTATACTCCCTTATTTGTTTTTCAGTCTGCACACGCTTTTCTGCGCGACGAGATTCTCATCTTTTTCCAAGACGTGTTTAAATCGGCGGGCGAATGTCGGCTCCCGAAATCCACGAGTCAATAAGTGCGAGTGCGGTCGCCATCGGCGATTACGGTGAAATGTGATGCGGTTATCCAGTTATGTGATGCACTGAAAACAACGACCTGCCACCTGCTGGCAACTGCGTCATCATACAATACACCTCTGTGCACGTGCCCCAACCCTAACCCTCGCCCATGGGTGGGGGTGTGGATTGGACGTACCGTGCCAGGCACAGCAGCATCCCGCACGTGAGCTCTGCCGCACTCATTGTGTTCCCCCCAGGGGTGCTGCACACACACACGCAGCGCAAAGCCCCGAGTCAGCACACACGCACACCCGATATGCAGCATGTGTGTGTGCATATGACATGGGTAAGGGCCGAGCGTGAGATAAAATGGAAAAGCGAGGGGGGTACGCGAGTGTCGGTCAGGGGTCGGAAGTCACAGGCATCTCGATCGTGGAATGAGACATCGGTCACGAACTTAAGCATTGGTCAGGGATCATGGCATCGGTCAAGGGGTAAGGTGCATCAAAGGTTAACGCGCGTCGATGGGGGCGGTCGCGATCGACAGTCAAAAGGTTACGCGCATCAGTCAGAGGTCACGTGCGTCGATCAGGGGTTATGTGCACGTGGGCCACAGGTCACGGGTGCGTACTTCATGACGATGACCCCACGCCGCGTGGCCGCCTCCACATCGACGTTGTCGACCCCCGTGCCAGCGCGCCCCACGAGCAGCAGGCGCTCGCCAGCGTGCAGCACCTCCGCCGTCACCTTGGTCGCCGAGCGAACGATCAGCGCATCGTAGTCCTACAACACAACAACGCCTTTATTTACGAGCAGTACGTGTGGGTTGGTAAAGGGGGCAGATATAAACCAATACATTGAGTTCTTATCGCAATTATATTGTTCAGCCCTTGATCAAACCACTTCTCGATGAAGGCTGACACACAACCCGTTTTGGCTATGGGGGTTGTTTGACCATACTTCACGATGCTGGTCAGTGTGGGTTGGTGTAGAGGTGGCTGAGGACTGAAAAAAAATATTACAAGCTATGGACGTTAGCCATGGCTAGCACCGGGGTTCGTACTGTGGTGTGATAACTACCGGTCCACCACTCCCACATACAAATAAAATCATATATTCTCACATGATCGATTTGACATATGCATCGTGAACGCAATAAATAGATTGTAAATTATGAAGCAATTCATTAAATATATTTATATTGGACAACCAGCACAATCACATGATACAATACTTTCCTACAGTAAAAAGCAATTAAACAGAGCAGCAAGCGTGAGGAATTTGGTTTAGCCGAGGTTCTCCAATGTCCCCGTGTGAGCGCGGGCAGCTGCTGGTGCCAACTCCAGGCAAGACCTTCAAAAGGAATTCACCGGGCTCCAAGCCATTCATTAATTAAGGACCAGTGATCATGGAAATTGTAGCAACCTCAGATGACTTGTGTTTGTGCCTCAATGGACCATGGCGGGAGATGGAATAGGATAAAGTTTGTCTCCAGTGGATTATAACAACTTTGCCTCTTATTCTTTTGGAATGTTAGTCCATGTCATGAGATGAAATGTCCATATAAAACTCAGAGAAAAAAACCTCTTTGTGTTAGAAAATGGCCCATGGAGAGAGATATCATCGAACTACTCCTAACAGCCTTTACAGGTGAACTTGTTTGATTTCACAAAGTAGGAGGGCATTTTCTCACATGCCATTGCAGTCAAACTGATTGCATGGCAGTCAACTCAATAAGCTTTAATTCTCAAAGTTGGAATTGCATCTAATTAAGTGAAAATCCATATTTAACGACTTATAAATTTACACGGCCATCAATGACTGCACAACAGCTATACTTGAGAACCTGGTTTAGTCACGGGTGGCTGAAACCCAGATTAAAACCCTGGACCTCAGCAATGCCAGCTCAGCATCTTCAACCGCTGAGCTACCCAGAAACTTTCTTAGACCGAAATGAAGGACAAAAAACGGTTAAATGAACCTTATGGCATGACCCTTGGGGTCCCATAAGCCCCCGGCTCTCACATAAACTGCGTTGCGACGTCATTTTATGTCCATTTTATCTATTCCTCTCGATGAGCTCTATGCGCTCAAAGTTTTGTTTATGACTATGGCAATTTTGGCAACGACATGACAACAGAATGATCAGCGCCAGGCGGGTCGCGGCGTTTATGTGCGCGGTGGAACGGAGGTCGCCTCAAATAAAATTAATTACGATTTACACTTACGTTTATTTTCGGGACCCCGGGGTCCCACCATAGAGTTCAAATAAAGAAACAATCGATAATACAAATGGCTCCTATTTTGTAGCTACACATATAGGCCGTGAGACACCTAAAAGTCATTTTAAAATACTTAATCCAATGCACAAGTTTAAACGTTCATTGCTGCAATGAAATTATTTCATTTAGTAAATCATCACCACTCTTTTTGTAGTTGCAGTATCACCGAGCAACCACAGATGACGCACAAGGTCATATTTTTCCAGTGTATGTATAAGCGAGTGCATAAAAGGGAATGTTGTGTGTTGTGTCTGTACAGTATTTGTATATACTCTTTGGTTCTTTCGGTAAAGTCACGTAGGAATAAAAATAAATAAATAACGACGTTTCGATCGCAATACAAGCGGTCGTCCTCAGGCGGAAAAAATATAATCCAGCAGTGGAACTGCTAGACTAGCGAGAGCGCAACTACAACAAGGCTATATATATGTGTGTGTATATTCATAAAAACGAATGTTGGAATGGTAGTCCTATTGTGTGACTGATGCCTGCCATTGGAATGTGAAATTTCCACCACTGGCTCAGGGCTGCCAACGGAGATGACAACCCAGATTGTCGTTTGAGCTTAAACCAGAGCAAGCTGCCAAAGCAGAGTGGTGGCGCAGTAGGCCCTGCTCTGCAGTATGACAGCGAGTCTTATCTCTGGCCACAGCCGACATCAGTGACGAGTCATATCTGAGCTGGTCCTGGACCCCACTACCCCCACCAACCCTCCTTTCACTAATTTTCACTGACATGGCTGAGGGAGCCCTTCATCAAATCGGTGGCCTGAGAGCTGTAAATTCCCATTAAACAAACTACAGCAAAATGTATGCGGGAACAACACTCATTTGAGAAGTAAGACACTACACATTACACTGTGTAAGAAAAAAATATATTGTTCCTGGGTAGGAAGTGTTATTTCGTAATTGCTTATGCCTCAAAAGTACAGAAAATGGCTATTATTCCCCACAAACTTTGCTTTTGTGACCAGAACAGTGATATTTAGAAATTTACCTATTTTCAATGAGAAAAAGTGGTGTGCATTTGTGTCTTTCCTTCACATAAAGTCCTGGTCACAAAAGCAAAGTTTGTGGGGAATAATATGTAATTTTCTATAATTTTTAGGTATAAGCAATTAGAAAATAACACTTACTACCAAAAATCGTGTTACATAGTGAATTATTAATCTATCAAAAGTTAAACAAACACTTGTGAACTAAACCGGAGGCGCACTTGTGTGTTGAACACACTTAATGTCTATGGGGCTTATAACTGCACTCCAGTGAATCCAGAACTGGTCTGGCAAGTTTAGAATACCAGTGGTTTAAGCTAGACACGAGAAACTTTACGCAAAATTGGAAGAGACTCAAATCCTTGTGTGCAGCTGAATTTTAACCAAACCATCAGCCTTCAGGAGGGGAACAAAACAAGCAACACTTTGTGTATCATATGGATAGGTTCCTCCTGCGAGCATGGGAATGTGGAATTTCCAGCACTGGCACATTTACAGAGATGCACGCCACCCCGTTTCATTGCAGAGACATTGACTTTTCAGCTTCCAATTGGTGTGTGTTTGTGTTTTATTTACAAATGTATTTTTCAGTGCCATGATATGCAGCAAAATAGCAATGTAAGCGGATGCTTTCATCTAGCAATGGACATACAACAGATGGCGACAAAAAACATGTATTTATATATTTACTTCAAACTTACACTTAAAGGACATGTATTGTTTTTATTCGAGCAAAGAATTTTATATTTAATTTACAGCTTGGTTACAAGTTCTACTTCGTTTTTTTCACCACGTGGGTGATGATGCAGATTTCCTCCCAGTGGACACGCGTGGAACTGTACTGTGACACCGCGTGTCTCAGTCCTTGCTGGCCCTCCAGCAGCGGTGTAACTATCGAGTGTGCAGGCGGTGTGACTACACGAGAGCCTACAGGGCATAAGAGGCACAGTCGCTGGGCTAAGAGGAGGGGGGGGAAGAGGCGGGGATTAAACAGACCCCCCCCGCCCCCTTTAATTATTTGCACCAGGGCCGGTGCCAACCACACTACGCCACTGCTCCCAACAACCCACTTACTCCTTGAATGTCGCAATATCCTAATTACGCATCCTTAACATCATTGGCACGCACATCACGGATGTGAGTGACAAATGGGGTGGGGTGTGGACTTGTGGGAGGGAACAACGCAGCAGTGTTGCCAGGCGATGGAGAAAACAATTTGAGAGGTCACAAATTCGCGACAACCGCTGGATCATGGATGATTGGGCTTGCAAATCTAAAGTTGAAGACACTGCTGCACTTACATGAATGCAATGTATCTGGCATTGTTCTGTAATCCCTCATCTTTCTTGCAAATGTTTATTTAGTTTTCATTAAGTTGCCGTGTAAAATGTATATGTTGAGTTTGTATGTTAATGTGTTTTAAAACTAATGTATGGAAAGCAAAATTGGGGAAGAAGACAGGGCAATCGGAGTATCCCCCTCAATCTCTAGATGGTCGTTGCACGTCGTTGGCGATTTGTTAGATTTTTCATACGTGTAAAATGTAAATTAATAACGTTTTCTCATCTGTATTTAACGTACACACATTAAAAAAAGTGTCAATGTCTTAATGATTTCCATATTGAATGCAATTCATGGGCATGAATTACAGGATTCGGTCAAAGGTCACTGAAGAAGAAGATTCAGCGATGGGCATTTCCTGTTCAAATGAAGACTTACGAAAATTCCACATCGCTACGGCAGGAGCGAGTGTTCCAACATGGCAAACCGAAGTTGACAACCCACAACGTGGTCGAGATTTTATCGACGCCCAGAGGAATGATGGTCCGAGTGAGCGCCCAACTATGAAACGAACTCTTATCCTTCCGATGTGCAAGCCCGCTCCCTCTACCTGCCGGGCCACCTGCCCGCGACTTGGCAGGAAAACGATCCATCCCCTCTGCAACGTGTAACCATTTCTGCTAGAAGTAACCCTACCATTTTGCTCGGGGTAAAACCTCTGACCTGGCGGCGGCACGGCTGGCTGGGTTCCCCATGGGCCACCCTCCTCCCGAAAGAATTGGGCCGTGTTCAGTAGAAAGAGGAGGAGGAGGCTGATGGGGGGGGGGGATTAGAAACCTCGCCAGCGGTTGCATCAGCTGCCCGGTCGCGCATCGGCTGCTGACGCCCTCCAGCGGCGGCTCAGCCTCAACGATGCCGAGCGAACGATTTTGTACGGAGAGATCTTGACTTAAAAGCTTTGGTGACTGCAAGGAATTCATATTATTTTGGGTCTTTCGGTAAAGTCACCTAGATAGGTTCAAAGAAAACCTATCTACGTGACTTTACCGAAAGATTGTACGGAGCTTATTCATGCACGGTCGGGGTGGGGGGGGAAAGAGGGCTAAAAGGATTCGCTGTGTGCGTTCATTCACTTGGGCAAAGGGATTCACCGTGTCCCGTGCGTTCACTCGGGTAAAAAGGGGTTTAATAAAGGCGTTCGTGCGTTAACACTTGGCTCACGTAAGCGGCGTTCAGGCGTTCCTCACCCGTTGATGCACTCGCATTGAAATTTACGCACCACGAGGTTACAACGGTGCGTTCACGCGCGCTCGGTGTTCACGCGCGCTCGGTGTTCACGCGCGCTCGGTGTTCACGCGCGCTCGGTGTTCACGCGCGCTCGGTGTTCACGCGCGCTCGGTGTTCACGCGCGCTCGGTGTTCACGCGCGCTCGGTGTTCACGCGCGCTCGGTGTTCACGCGCGTTCGGTGTTCACGCGAGTTCGGTGTTCACGCGCGTTCGGTGTTCACGCGCGTTCGGCGTTCACGCGCGTTCGGTGTTCATGGTCTCGCAGCGTGCGCGCTCTCACGATGTTCATGCAACCGAGTGCGATACTACAGAAACCACCGCAACACCCCAAGCAGTCAAAGTGGAGGAGGCGTTTGTGCCTGGTGCGCTAGCGTGGACGAATTCACCCCGAAAAAATGAAAATGTTCCCCAACATAAAATTCGAACAGGAGAAACAGTGGCATCATCAGCAGCAGTAGCAGCAGTAACAGCAACAGCAGCAGCAGACATATCGTCAGCAACATGCGTACCACCACCACCATCACAGCAGCGTCGTCGTCATCATCACAATCATCGGCGTAGTCTCAATGCGCACCTTACCCAAAACCGTGTCATCCTAATGCGCTCATTATGGCAATCGTCTTCCACACAGCAGTGGATAGAGCACGGGGACACACGATCCCCCGCTTAAAAGCGCTCACAATGCAATGCATTAATGAATGACTCTCGTAAAATATGTGCGCAGCAATAACAATAATAATCATAATTGGCAAACACGTGCGCCGTGCAGAAGCGGTGAATGAACACGTGGCAGCCACCCGGCAACAGCCGGGCAGAGCGTACAGTGCAACCAAGACGAATCCGCGTCTCTCGCCGAGATGAATCCTGGTGCAGATGGTGTCTGGAATACGCAACCAGCCCTTTTTGCGTGGTCAATCCGCCGCTGAATAGCGGCCTTTGTCGCACGCCGTGCGGGCCGCGGCGAGAAGCGTGCTCGGCCACAGCGGATGGATGTTGTTTAAAGGGCCATCGTTGCGGTCAACAACAATGCCCTCCGCCGACAAGCGTGGCTCTCCGCGAATTGCGTCGGCGACGTTTGATCGTTAAACTGCGTCGCAAGTGCAAGCCACCGAAACCTTACGACCGCACGGCTGCGAAGAGAGACGGAGGGGGGGGGAGAGTCGAGGGGGACCCCAGAGGAGTTTTCCACGCAAGCCGGGGTAATGTAATCATTGATCGCTCGGGACGAGACGCCCCTAACGTGTGTGTGTGTGTGTCCGGAAAGGAGGCAGCTGGGGCAAACGTCGACAGATTGGAAGTGCAAAAGACATTGCAGATGTCGATACAGAGGAGCCCCCGTTTTGGCCGAGGACCAGAGTTGAACCGGCGAAGGAATCCGGGTGGAGCAGCTGCGAGGAGCCACAGGCAGCCAGAGTTGGGGTGTAGTGGTGGTGGTGGTGGAGCCGGACTGAACTCACCTTGATGCACTCAACGAGCTCGGCGGGGCTCATGCCGAGTCGCTCGTCCACCTCGAGGCCACCATCTCGCAGGATGCGCGCACAGCACGGGTCCACTGGCTCGCTGATGAGCACCGAGCGCACGGCGAGAGCCATGGGCTGGGGTAGGAGTGGGGGGGAGAGCCGACGCGTTACACTCACGGACATGCACAGAGGACAATGCTGCAACGTGCATAGCTAACACACACACGCGCACGCACGCGTCTGTTAAGAGATACACAGATGCAGCACACAGAGAACTCAACGGAACATAGAAACTATTCACGGACGCGAGACTTACGTGTGCATAAGGCTCGCTCACGCCTGAAGACACGCAGACATACAAAGACGCACCACACGCACGACAAAAGACAGCAACAACACATAGGCACTTCCACATGCAGAGACATGCACAGCATAGGCACGCACGGACGCACACACAGCCAGCGACGGGCAAGCACATAACGCGTAAGCACACAGCAACAATCATCTTCCACGGATAACAACAATCTGGAGGAAGAAAAAAAACAACCGGATCACTACTATCCAATACACGCACACGTGTGGTTCGCTAGTTACCTGAGATCTGCGAGCAGGCGTCGGTTAATTATGAAGACGAATGTGCGTCACACAACACACAAACACAACTGCGTAGGGTACGTGATGTGAAATCTCAAACACGTGGGACTCGCGGAATGGTGACACGGACACGCTGGTTGCAAGTCAGTCGGACGCGGCAATGTCCACAGCGAGATGAGGTGAGCGAGAGACGAAGAAAGAGATCGGTAGATGGACGGACAAAGGGATGGTTTGCGAGAGAGGTGGATGGAGAGAGCGTTGTTGCAGATGGCAGAGCGGAGCACGAAGCGGAGCAAGATGGGACCCCGCGTCTTGCGGAGCCGGCTTTTGAGCAACGGATATGGGAGGGGGAGGAGGAGGAGGGGAGAGGTTCCACTCACGCCACGCCTCTGGTGGTACCGCCAATCATCTTAGCCAGAGCCACACATAAATGATGCACCAATGTGCATTATTCATCGTTGTATGATTCGAGGGTGTGATCGTTTAGGTACGGTACTATATTTGTAGAGTCCTGTGGTTTAGAGTATTTGGCTCATGTCCATTGCCACCACGATAAGCCGCTTTGTTTAGTTTGTCATTTGTGGCCGGCTCGCTTCTGACAAAGAGCTACAATATGCAGCTCGGTGGGCCTTACCGTTTATTATTGCACAGTATTTGTACTTAGTACACAACTATGAAAGCATCATATCCTATTGAGAGAACATGTGAATTCGTAATTATCCATTTGACCGAGATAAACAGAATAGCAAAAATATGTTTCAGATGGAATCTATATTTTTAAAAAATGTATTATTGATGACAAGAAGACTTAGAATACTGCAGTGTTACATTTGCAGGTGTGTTCTCGTATATGAATGTGAAAGCTGAACAATTACAAAGACCCTACAAAAGAAATGAGAAGCAATAGAAATGTGTTTTAAGGATGTCAAACATTTCATGGGCAGGCAAGCTGAGTAACCTAAATGACGAATAGCAGCAGGTACACATTAAGAAGAAGAATTTGAGAAAGGCAAGCTTTATATCTTGGACATGCACTGACAAGAGACTTAATATAAAGTTTGGACTGGGAGATTACAGATGCAATAAGCTGGGGAAGAAGGCGAATTCAGTACATCGGGCAATTTGAACAACTGAATTGCAACTGGGAGTATCTAATGCACACCGTCATTGAGTAATATAATGGGCAAAGTGAAATAGGCGATGATCGCCGACGTCTATGAGAGAACGACACGGCACATCGTGAGAATTTGACAACACACTACTCGTTCATGAGACGGTACAAGATTCAGTTTCCTCTACCCATATTCCTTTCGCAGCATTCTTATTATTTTTAGACGGTATTTATTATCCATTAGGTCCGTACGGTTGTCGCGTCCCTTGGCATTTACGAATTCAACAATAGCCATGTTAATGAACGACAAGTAGACCGTGCCTAAACGTTCGCTACGAGTCCTGTCCATGAAGGCGATGCGTCACCCGTAACGCATCACACACATTTCGTGTGCTGCACGAGTTAATTCGGCAGGCGGAGAGAGAGAGAGGGCAGTGGGGGACAATGACACAAAGACGATTGCATTGCCAGTGTCAAAGGTCAGAGAGCGTCTCCCCCACCCCCCCACCCCTTTAAAGCGAGCTCATCTCTCCATTTGTGTGTGGAAATTCCACATTCCCACATCTGGGGAAGCCGAGTCAAGACAACGCACGAATGAATACTTGACAGCTCGTAGTTGAACGTAGTCGTGCAGGAATTGGGTCAATTCCATAGGACTTTAGGGCCATGGTTAACTCCTGCGTGTGAATTAAGTAACGTGCAACGTTTCAAAAGGAATTAAAGTTATATTTTTGACGGCCATAATAGTCAACGTTACGGTACACTGGAGTGCCGTATTTTAAGTTTTGGACATCTGTGAAAAAGAGCTTTAAAGCTCATCGGATTCCTCCAGTATACATTTTCAGATTATGATACTTTCCGGTGTGTCTTTTTCGCTGCAGAATACGGCAAATGCACTTGCAGCAACACGAGTCGAGTATAGCCGATACTCGTTGCGTTCGCCGTGATCCTGAGAATCGATCATTTAAATCAATTGCCTTTCTCGTACTGTACATACTGATCATAGACCACGCATACACAGTACCACTCGTCCAGCACTGTCAATGCGGTTAGGTATTGGCAGTCATTAATACGAGTTATTATCATCATCGACATACTTACTGCGGTCTTAATCATGTGGAATATATGACTGTACAGTATTAATGTGTAAATTATATATTACAGCGAGCGTAATAGTGGGCAATGGTTGCGTCCATTTATGAAATAAGAAAATCTCCCCCCCCCCATTCAAGCAACATGGACCAGCCTAAGAAAGTGACGTCACCAAAACGTGTGGTCTCCACGTGTTACCAGTTTAAAGGGAGTTTTTTTTCGTTTTATTACTTAAGTTTAGAGTTGTCTCTTTTATATTTGGCATTAACTTACATTTACGGACAATTAGGCATTATCCTATGGTTATTTAAAATGATATTCAGTATTCGACAAAAGGTAAGCTCATATCACTACAGCAGTGTTGATGCACTTTGCAATGAAACAAATGGCATTGTCCATCACACCGATACTTTAAATAACATTCAAAGCTAAATCAAAATCTCCCCTGCGTAAACAAGCAATGGAGCGTGGCTCATCTCATTTGGCGGCCGTGAGCCGGTGGTGGAATGTCCACATTCTCATGGCAAGGTCCAGTCTGTCCAAATGAAACCCAATGCTGACGTTTCACAAAGTGGTACTACTTTTTTATCGACTCCGGCTCCATCACAAAAGTGCCTTATGCTCCAATAATTGATTCATAAAGCAGTGGATTGACCATGCAGGGCTCTGCTTTACCCAACAATGGATTGACCATGGATCAGCTTCTCACCCATCGCGCTCCCGCCACCAGCAGTGGATAGACCACGGCTGGCGATGAGGGGGGGGGGGGGAGATGTTATGGGGCCGTCCATAAATGACGTCACGCAATTTTGAACGATTTTTTTACCCCCCCCCCCTCGTCACACGGCGTCACAAAGTCAGACCCCCCTCCAAAATGACGTCACAAAGCTCTGCCCCCCCTCCCAAAAAAACATATTTCCATTTTGAAAATAAAACATGCTTCAAATCTCTTTAAACTATTGTCATTGTAGTGCGTATTTAATGTGGCGCTGCACTCTGATGTTGTAGTAGTGTTATAACAATTAGTGTTGTTATAACAATTCTATATTTTTATTTAAAGCTTTCGTGACTGCAGGCATTCATATTCTTGGTTCTTTCGGTAAAGTCACGTAGAAGGGAAACAATAAAATAATAAAAATATAAAAAAATACATTTTTCACGACGTTTCGACTGCAACACGAGCAATCGTCATCAGGTGTGAAAACCACAGCAAGAAAATTTGAAAAAAGTGGCGGTTATTTTTAACGTCAGCACCACGGAGAGCGATTTGACAGTTTGTTCAGATGGACGAGTCCATCTATGTTCGGAAAAGAGGAGGGGGAGACGAAAAATTAATGTATGCTGTCTGAAAGCCACCGTAAGCATGAACAATCAATTAAGACCCGAAATGGTTTATCAAATCTTTCCAATGATTGCTAAGCCAGAATCCATCTTCTCGGTTGAAATTGTCTCTGTGTTTGTATATATGGTGGCCAGATGTGGTTTTCACACCTGATGATGATTGCTTGTGTTGCAGTCGAAACGTCGTGAGAATTTTATTGTTTTATATTTTTATTATTTTATTGTTTCCCTTCTACGTGACTTTACCGAAAGAACCAAGAATATATTTTGATTTAAAGCTTTCGTGACTGCAGGGATTCATATTCTTGGTTCTTTCAGTAAAGTCACGTAGAAGGGAAACAATAAAATAATAAAAATATAAAACAATACAATTCTCACGACGTTTCGACAGCAACACAAGCAATCATCATCAGGTGTGAAAACCACAGCAATAATTTTCGTGAGAATTTTATTGTTTTATATTTGTATTATTTTATTGTTTCCCTTCTACGTGACTTTACCGAAAGAACCAAGAACATAACCAGGAATATAATTCTAAATATATTTTAAGTTGCGAATTTTGATGTGACGTCACATTTCTCAAACCCCAAACCCCCCCACTCGTCACACATCGTCACAAAAATCTGACCCCCCCCAACCCCTAGGTGCGTGACGTCATTTAGGGGCGGCCCTTTATGATCTCTCGCTCTGCCGCCGCCGTGGTGAACGTTGCTAAGCGACCACGCGCAAACATTCGCTCCCCCATCAACAACAACCACCACCACCACACCATCCACATAGCGCACAGTCTAAACTCGTTGTTGTTTCTACTCGTTGTTGTTGTTGCCGTAACATACCCGGCTACATCTGCGAGGTGCTTGGTAATCCGTGTATTAATTAATAGGCTTACATTTGAAGTTTAAAAGCCGCATTACTTCGTCGGCGCAGCCATTCGTGGCGATGGCGATGTCACCTGGAGGAGGAATGAAGGAGGCTCTGGTCTCAACAAGTAAGGATGCTTATACCACCGTCGTCATCGTCGTCGTTATAGTTCAACATCGTCGTGTTTAAACAGACGTCTAGAGTTATCGTGCTTAAATAAAGGCTCATCATCATCGTCGTCGTTGCCCTGAGCTTGTGGGCTGGTCGTCGTAGCCGTTTTAAAATAATTCCATTGGCGACAGTCAGGAAAACCGGGCGAATAAGTCTCCAACTCAACTCGAATGTTGCAAAACCGCGTTGGTGCATTAAGTTGCTGGCTCGCTCACTGCCACGCCAGCTGGCCGAAAGGGGCCCTGCCTCTAACTACGGAGGGCATTTGGCTCTACTCATGCACTCTTTACTATAGACGTCTTGGAAAAGAGGTGGACGTACCCACAATTTACACCCCCCCAACCACCACCACCAACCTTCATCAACACGACTTGACCCAGCGTGGTGAAGTATGGTCAAACAAGACTGACGAGCGACAGAGCATGGGGAGAGCTTCATCATTCAGCAGTAGCTTAAAGCAGTCAGCTTGCACGCTGTTTAACATGGTATCAGATAATTGAGTGTTCGTGGTTGATACGTGTTATTAAATTTCGGTGAGATTACAATACTGTGAGGAGTTATATAGCCTCTAAGTAGGCTAAATACGACCACATCTTAAGATGCTCTACATAAACTGAGATACTGTATAGTATTGTATAGAGAAAGGCAAGTCAGTCATAGGCAGAGGAAAAAAACCGTAAATCTCGATAGCACGTATGGTTGTGTGAAGTGAGTTCCAGACTATGGGGGCAGCAGACGAGAATGAGCATAACCGTGTGTGATATAATTCGTGACATTGTCAAGATAATAGGTTTAGATAACACCACTTGGGTTAGTGCGATGATTGTCAGTCACGAACACCATATCTGCTGACTAGACGGGTACTGCCCACAACGACATCCAACCCTGCATCCAGTGGCCCGGTGCGGTTGTATGTTGAACTTTTTTCGCATTGTACGTAGCCAACCGTGCTAATCGGAGGTTGGCATGGGCCCTGGTGCAAGTCGCGACGCCATGGTTCACACCACTAGCACACTGGATCGCTACACCACTGCGTGTGCCCCTCTAATCCCAACTATCTGTTACCCTTGTGCCCTTACCCCCCACCCACACTCACCTCTACCTTGCGGTGTGCAGGAGCGCCGGACCACGGCTCCCTGTCTCTCCCTCCTCCGGGTCGCAGCCTGCCGAACCTGGGTCACGACCTCAACCAGGTGATCGTGCTGCCCCGAGCGGAGTGGGAGCGCATCGAGCGCAGCCTGAAGAGACGCGAGATCCAGGAGGAGATGGAACGCGCCTCCCGGGAAGAGAGGGCAGCCATGCTCGCTCGCTCGAAAGAGATAACCCAAAAGTGGACCAACACTCTGGAGGTGAGAGACTCTTCGGCAGGGCTTGGGGAACGCTCGGACTCATGGGCCAAGCGCGGCCCATGACCTCGTTCGATTTGGCCCACGGCCGCGTAAGGCCTTGCCATTTTAAAGCAGCCCCTTCAAATGGTATTTTATCAAGCGACTTCACTGCACTAATCGGACACTAGAGAGGAATATTTCTGATATGATAACAACGTGTTACCAATATTGGCGCGCTCAATAACTTCTGTCATTGCAAGGGCCTCTTCCAGTGACAGAAGTGAGTGAGCTGTGTGTGTGTGTGTTCATGTGTGGGTGCCCACCAAAGGTTCGTCACCCTTGCTTTCTGGGTTTGTAAATTGTGTGGCATGGATCGAGAAGCAAGCCCAGGAGGTGGGCAGAATGTGGGATCGGGTGAACCGGGCCAGCACCCCTCTGGCATGACCTTGTTTAAAGGGGAAGCTAGAAAAAAAACGAATGGGGGTACAACACGGTCAATTTTAAACAAAACTTTAAGCGCGAGAGAGAATGAGTAACGATATGATCTCCTTTTATCTACCATGCACTCTGTTCTCGTTCTCACATTCGATGTATGCAAGGAAATTATTTGATTAATTGATTGAGAACTAATTTTTTTAGAACCACTATTTGTGTTTAGTGTGTTGCCCTTCCCCCAAACCTCCAATTAGCACGGTTGGCTACGTACAGTGCAAAATAAGATTGGGAATTGATTATGCCATTTTAACTTATATACCGTGTTTTCTTTATAAAAGTGGCACCACAGTAGTGATATGTTATCTTCTTTGCCTGATATGCAGGAGGTCGGGGGTTCGATCCCGACCCCGACGCCTGTATATTTGGAATTTGTATGTTCTCCCCGTGGTCACGTGGGTTTTTTTTTATCCAAATCCCACAGTTTTTCCCTCCACATTTAGAAACATGCATTGAGATTATTTCGATTATTTTGGTGCTATAAATATCCAAATGATGGGCCATTTTGTTGAGCTATCGTTTGTGGTCAGGTCGCTTCTACAAATTAAGTTAATCCCTCAGTGGGCTTTGCCTGGTAGGATGGGGATGGTTTAGTTGTATTTGTACGTGTTTGGGTGATTTGTTTTTCTTTCTTGTACTTTGCACTACTATCATGTTTTGTACTGTTTGTGGCCCTACTGGACATATATGAAAATGAGCTCTATAGCTCATCGGATTCCTCCAGTATAAATATTTTTATTCTGAACATACATTACATACAATTGCCCGCATTTTTGCACTGAATGTTTTTTAATTGACTTTTAGAGTTAGCAGGGAGGTGGGGTGCTTTAACCTTTGGTGGCAGGGCTCAGCCCTCTCCAGCCCCCTCGATGGTCCAGGTTGGCCGGGCCGGGCCGGGCTGGTGTGGGGACACGGGCGCTCTGGTGCCCAGCACCGAGTTGGCGCTGTTCTCGCTAGCCGTGGAAATGAGACGTTATCAGAGATGCCAAGTTCAGCCTTGAAGCATTGGTTTCCAATTATTACAGACACAACTCTTGCGTTCACGTTACTGCTCAGGACTCTCGCTTAGTGAATAATAGGAGGCTAAATTTTGATTTAAAGCTTTCGTGACTGCAGTAATTCATATTCTTAGCTCTTTCGGTAAAGTCACGTTGAAGGGAAACAATAAAATATATATATAGTCACGTTGAAGGGAAACAATAAAATATATTTTATTATTTTATTGTTTCCCTTCAACGTGACTTTACCGAAAGAGCTAAGAATATAATAGGAGGCTGTTACTCATTTTAGGAAATAGTTGAAGGTGTAGGCTTTCAAGTTACAAAATGCACGTATGCTTGTGTACACATTAAGGCTGTAACTGGCAATATCTGAACACAACACTGTACGTAAATAACATTACAGTACATCGTTTGTACATAATTTTCAAGTAATAAATATACATTTGAGCAAAAACAACGTACAGTACTGTACATGAAAAAATGTGAATCATGAATGTGTGCATGATTGAAGTTTTCCTGGAGTATTTTGCTGGAATAAGTGCTGTTTGTTTCGATTTAATGTGTAAAATTCACGACATTACAGCATATTTACAAGTTTATATATTCCTATGAAAATCAAGAATTCAAAGGATATTTTATATTTGTGTAAGTGGAGTAATTTCTCCTACATACAATTGGAAACACAGTGATAAGAGCACATATTAAAGCATGAGCATTGGAATCTAGGAGGTGTGAGGCATCTGCTCCTCCATTTTTGTGACAGGGAAGGGCAAGGCAATTAATTGCCCTCGTGGGCTCCATAGCTCATCAGCATGGGCCCCCATGTCTAGTCACCCTAACTTCAAGAACATTTCCACATGCCTCAGTAGTGTTGGACCTGCGAGGTCGCTATTAGATGGCAGTTCAGCAGTGGATTCATGGATATATTTGGAGCATTTGAGTGTTACCCACGAGTATGTGTGGTGAGTTTTCTCTGGCTTCTGCCCACACAAAGCCAACACTCGTTAACAGTCTCCAGACTCAATGGGGAAATCGTGAGCATTGTTATTCTTAAAAATGTTTTTTTTTTAAGTTATCTTCAAAGACATGTGGCCAGTATGGAAGAGTATGCCAAATACACCCGAGATAGGCTCTACATAGCTCCGTGTAGTGGAGGCCCTTCCACCAGCAGTAGCATGAGCAAGGAATTGCTGGGCTGTAACCTTTACCTTCGAAACGGCTCTTAGCCACTCCAGGGCTTTTGTTAAGGTGTCTTTTCTGTGCGGTGGTGCCCGCTTGGCGTGGGGATGCAGGCTCAGCGGGAGCAGAAGCTGGCGGCGTTTACGCTGCGGAAGGAGCAAGAGGAGGAAGCACGGAAGCGCCTGGACGTGGAGGAAGCGAAGTTCCAGGCAGAGCAGCGGCGCAAGGCCCTGGAGCGGGCACGCACGCTGCAGTACCACCAGACGGAGCGAGTCCGCGGCTTCCATGCACGTTCCTCACGCACGCGCATGCACGCGCATATGCACGCATGCAGGCACGAAATGACCACGCACGTGAAACAGCTGACTTCGAGTTTGAATACATTTGACTTACTGACAAAGAGTAGTAATAGAGCTGACTGCCTGACTGATGTTAATTCTGTGTTCCTGATTAGAGCAGCTATAACCACAATGATCATTTCTCATCTCGATTATGAACCTGTGTGGACAATATATATTTGGATATATGAATAAATCGTTAAACACTGTATTGTAAGAATGCACATTGTAAAATACTTTCAACTTGAAAATACATACATATCTTTAAATTCAGTGGCCACACTTGCATAGTGCTTATGTATGCCTAGGTGGCCAAATCTGACCTTTATTTAAAAATCATCCATCTCGTGAAGCCTCGAGATCTATGGTCTGACGTCTATGCTGTGCTATTGCAGGCCTTGACCCACACTTGTATACCTGAGTGGATAAGATAGACGTTATAAGAGCTTATCTAAATGTGTTCCAGCAAAGGTGAGGCGTCAAAAAAAGCCACCTTATTATTTAGTAAATCTTGTGTTCTGATTGTGTCACAATGTACCCACCTTTAGTGCTCGATTTAGCCTAAATCCTTTGCCACCCTTATCATAGTTATCAGCAGAGGGAGGCAATGCTCCTGAGTTTCTTGGGGCCACGTGAACCCACGTGTGCATATTTTCTGCTGGAGTCAGTGACCTAGTGGACCTTGGTTTTATGAGTTGCAATGTTCTGCCCAGCCGTTGAGTCTCGAGATTCAGTCGAGATTCAGTTGTACATTCTAGCTGGTCGTGGTGTTAGACTACAATGGGCACCAATCTGTATGTAATAAGAAACTTTGTCAGTCATTCCGTCAAAGAACTTACGTGAGTGGTTTTCATCGTAAGGGTCCAATGATGTAACCTAAGTAAAAGACAACTTTTCAAAACATTTTTTGTCATACCAATTTAACGGGTTGAGGCGGTGGCAACACTAATGATTATTTGTATCTTATGACTTTTTCAAGTTCTAAACTCTTCTAATGCCTGTAAAATGAGAGTTAGGAATAGTTGTATAATCTGGGAAACGTTTAGGGGAGAAATGGAGTATTTGGAGGGGAACTTTGAACTCCAAGGTTTCACAGTCAATTTCCAGTACTCTCAGAAGAAGTGAAACACTCATGAATAGTATTGGCCAAACGTCCCCATGTAGGACCCTCCGATAAATTATTCTTGCAGCTTTTCCCAGTAAATAGCTGATTCATTAACATATTCATGCAAATTCATTTAGACTCAAAACAAGCCATTCCCCATTTGTGTCCACGAATTTGTAAGACACATTTGAGCTGTAGTCTTTAATTTTTTTGCTAAACTGGGCACTGGGGTGGAACCGACACATTATAAATGAGAGGAAATCTTGTGAGTGTGAGGAGAATGCGTGTACTTCAACCGCGATGAGATAGCAGCGTCATTGATAGGGAAAGTACACTTTATCAGAACCCTTGTCAGTGATTTTGGGTTGAACAGTTTTGAAGCTCATTTAGGTTGTGACACATTTAGAAATGTTTGTAAATTTCACCTTCTTAGAGTGAACACACCATCATTAACCTAATCTTACAGGCACACATACACACCCACACACTCACACTTCACATGTACACATTCACCACCTCGTATAGAGACGCCCACACAAAGACAAAGATTCCACTATAGCTGTACAGACTGTTGAAACTAATGCTTTTAGCAAGGCCCTATAAAGGCCGGGATGGCACGCAAGTAGAAGATGTGGCCAGCATTATGCCTAGCTGCCTTTTTTCTCCCCAATGCTGATGTTTGCAGCCCAAAATTAGGAACTCATTTGAAGCTTATTCGATCTAGCAGATGCCTGGGACAGCTTCAGATATTCGCCACTGATGTTGAGCGTGAACGGGAATGAATTTCAGGTCACCAGCAAATGTGCACGCCTTACCCGGATTCGTACAACGTCGCACACATACGCGTGACCTCGCACACGCGAACACGGGAGCTGTAACGGCGTGTGCCTGCGCGCGCGCGTGCCCACAGAGCGCCCTGCAGCTCACGGAGACGCTGAAGGAGCGGGAGGCGCAGCTGGAGCTGAAGGGTCGGGTGGAGTCGGCGCGCCGCTCCCGGGAGCGCGACTGGGTGCAGGCGTCGAGCCGCGAGCGCGAAGAGGCGCAGCGCGAGGAGGAACGCTGTGCCGCCGAGAGGGCCGAGGTGGCGGCGCGCATCGCGGAGGCTCAGAGGCAGCAGTGAGGACTTACACAGACCCCCAGTGTCTCGGCCGAGGGACCAAGCCCACCAATCTCTCATCAACACATGATAAGAGTCACGTGATAAGCCACTTCGTTGAGCTACCATTTGTGGCCAGGTTGCTTCTGAAAAAGAGCTATACAGCTGAGTGGGCCTTACCTGGAAACATTTTAAGTTTAGTTTGGTTTAGACAGACTGAGCGCCCCACTCATCTGCCGAGGGACCGAGCTCCTCCCGCCACTCACTCTCGCGCCGATGGCTTGAGCTCTCCCATTCTCTCCACCCCGCAGGGTGGAGGAGCAGCGACGCGAGGTGGAGCGAGCCCTGATGGAGGCGCGAGAGGAAACACGCGAGGTGGAGCGACTCGCTCGCGCTCACATGTGGGAGCAGCGCGTCGTGCGCGAGTTACGCGAGCGCGACAAGAAGGACATCATGAAGGCACACAGGGTACGGGGGCCATGGGGTTGACACGGGGACAAACGGTGAACCGGGGACGCAGGGAGACGCATGGAGACTGGGACATGAGAAGGCCGTGAGTGGCTGAGAAGCGTGCATATCTGTTAGGTGTTAGATGTACTGTATGTGTTAAGTCACCGATACCGTAATGCCTTGCCATCCTTCTGCAGGAACACATGGCTGATAAAGAGAGGCTGAGAGCGAAGGAGCAAGAGCGCCAGGCGGAGGAGGACAAGCGAATTCGCGTTCACTCTGCAGCCAAGCACAAGATAAACCTGCTGAAGCGAAAAAAGGAGGAAGAGATACTACGGTAACATTGGCCACAGCCACCATCACTGCCGCCACTGAGACAATCACCACTGCCGCCATGATCGACGATCTGTTACTGAAGACATTGCACAATCCTGTCCCACCACCCCGACCCAACCCCCTCCCGTGTGGCAGGGAGCAGCTGGCGCAGCGGGAGCGCGCTACCGAGCTGCTAGCGGCACACATTCAGCAACGCGTGAACAACGAAGACGAGCGGGTGGCACGCGCCGTGGCCGAGCAGGACGCGCATCACGAGCAGGAGCAGCGCAAGAAGGACGAGAGGGCGCAGGCAGCACGGCTCTCCATCGCCCAGCACCGGCAGCAGACGGTACGAGCACCATCATCATGGCACCGGCACCAACGCGGTAACCAATAGCACGTGGATTTGGCACCACCACAGTACTGGCATAATGAGACCGGCACCACCATGATGCCGGCTGCACATGGTACCAATGGCACCGCCAAGGAACTGGCACTGCACGTTAGCGATAGCACATAATACTGGCACCACCACATGGTAATGGCACCGTCATGGTGCCACCACATGGTACTATTTGACAGCGGTACCTACCGGCACAACCACGATACTGGCACAAAATATTATTTTGTCCTCGTAGTACTGGAATCATACAGGACCGACGCCACATGGTACTGGCGCCACATGGGACTGCCGCCGAACTGCACTAGTACCACACGGCGCCATGTGGTATCATCAGCACACAGTGCCGGCATGTGGTATTGGCATCCACTGCTGCCATTTGGTACAGTCCATTCACCTGCCAACTAGAGACTGTGACACAACTGTGACCCAGAGGTCAGTGTCAGCATAAAAATGTCTCCCCAATCAAATGAGCGTCAGGTGGCGCTTATCCCCATTGGTGGCTCTCAGCCAGCGGTGAAAGTCCCACATTCCCGTGGTGGGGGAAGAGTCACCATATATTTAAACCCTGTGGGAATGATGGGACTGAATCGACCCTTGCATTGCATTTGATGATTTGAGCACTCCATCCACATCACCACATGGCCAGAGAGACGGCTCATCCAGAAACCAATGATAGTGGAAAGCAAAGCATATTTCTACGTTGGTACACACCAAGTAATTCGCAAAGTGACCTTTATGCGGCGTATCCGTTGGAACACCAGGCTCCCAATAGTGAGCTTGTGAGGTCAAATATTAGCCAGGGTCAACTTGGCCCCATCACGAATGAGGATCTAGGAGGAAGATAACACACCAATGCGCATTGATATTTACCCTGCGTCTTCCCTCTCGTTTCTTCAACCTCACTTCTTCACCCTCGTTTTCTTCGCCACCGATTCTTCTCTCCCACTTTTTTGCCCTCGCTTCTTTGCCCCTGCCGGCAGATGAAGGAGAAGGCAGCTGAGCAGCGCGCCGAGCGGCAGCGTGCGCTGGAAGAGCTGCGCGCCCGCACGGAGGCCGACCTCCTGTTTGCCGAGAGCCAGCGGCTCAAGGAGCAGCACCTGGCGGAGGAGTCGCGCCAGCTCAAAGACGTGCACGTGGAGCAAATGGTGGGCGCCACACTCACCGACTGGCTCGCCGCCCGCGGACGCAGCCACCGCTCGCAGACACACCGCTGCTCACCATTCGCACACTCACCCCTCGCCCATAAACGTGCTGCCCACCCGCAGACCCGGCGCCGTGCGGCGGAGGAGGCAGCGCGGCGCGAGAGCCGGTCCCGCGAGCGGCGCGACGCCGAGCTTGCTTCCGAGGAGGAACGACGCTTCCAGGAGTACGCGCTGCGCGTCATTGACGCGGCGCGCACCGGCGGCCGCAACCCCCTGCCGCTGGTCCGAGCGGCCGCCGCGGGGGGACAGGGCCCCCCGCTGCCCGGGCGCGGCGCCATTCGTGCCGACGCGCAGGAGGTGAAGGAGCTCTACAGCAGTGGAGACGTGGCACAGGACAAGAAGAGGCTAGGCTTCGTGTGGTAGGGGTTGGGGAGGTGGGCGATGTCCACGCTGTCCACAATGTCCACTCTGAGCCCGCGTAAAGCTGCACTCATTCGGTGTCGGGAGTGAGACGATCGCTCGTTAAGACGTGTCATGGGCACTGGGACCGCACGGGTTGGGTTCAGTGGCCGTTAATACAAAATTCATGAAGTGAACGTTCCTTTCGTGTTATGCTCCTTTTACGAGCCAAAGGGAAAATTAACACTTGAGGTGTTTTATGGAATCAGCCACTGGGTTTGAATTCAGCCGGACCACCCATGATTTTACTAGATTTTTCACGTGTGGCGAGTTGATGGTCTCAGCCCATTCGCTGAGTAATAAAGTAAAATAAAATTAGAATCTGTGCCATTTGGTTAAATTCAATGCTCGGGGATAAAAATGTATGAAGTCAAAAATAATAACTGAATATCGAGTGGCAAACCATGATTCACAGAGCATGAAGTGGTCTCACTGAGAGTCCATAGAAATAGTCAGAGGGCGACGTGTGGTCTTCCAGGGACGTTCGTTGAAGTGATGTGATGCAGGGCTTAGGAGCTCAGCATAAATACTTGTTCACCTAATGACCACATTACTCCCAACAGCCCCTCCCTACCCTCCCCTCTCCACCCAGCCCCACCCCTCCCACGTGGACAGATATCCACAGAGATACACAATTAATCCCCTGCCTCCTGTGAATTAATCCCGGTTGGGCTTCCAGTCCACTCGTTTCCTACCAGTAAAAGTCTAATTGGGATATTATTTGTCTGCGAATGCGATTTTCACCGAGATGTAATTATTTGTTGCAGGACACTTGCAAAACTGTATTTAATGTCAGTTTGCTGGACAATTCTTAGACAAATTGGTTATTTCGGTAGGCTTATTTTAAAATGAAGTGTACGGGTGAGACATCACGGCTCACAAAGCATCTCATTGTATTCACGGTTGAGGCACGCTTTGTCGCACTGTACGGTGTGGGGTGGTGAGACACGGCCTGTCTGGCTCTCATAGCAAGATACAAGAGTAAAAAAAAACTTCAAATGGTTCAAAAAAACAATCCTGATGGGAGTGCATGAACCAAACAAATCAAATATTTTTTCCTTTAATGGTCGTGTGCAAAGTCTGCTTGTCTAATAAACACATCAATAACAATGCAAGTCTTGTGATATCAGATGAACGCATTGTTTTAATGTGCAGAAATATGGCTTGATTGCTCTTTAAACCAAGTTAAATAATCGCCTTGTGAACGTTCCATACGAAGATGCCACCCACGTGCCAAATACGGTATTGTGGTGTGGTAAAGTATGACCATGGACAAACTTTTGTAGTTAAGCAACCGGTTGATGTCTGGTTCATCCATGCGTGGATTAAAAGGCTGCATTTGAAAAAATATATTTACCCAGTTCTTACTGTGTATATCAAATGGATCTGAACACCTGATTCCACATACTGTTATACGGTACTTATTTAATGAGAGAGCGCCATCCAGGGGGTACCAGAGGGTAACGGGTCCGGGCACCATGATGTCATCGGCATCGAATCCTAAGGGGGGATATGATCGGGCCAGAGAGGACGGGCGGGGTTGCTGAGAGAGGTTCGGGAACCCTCGAGGTTCCCCGAGGGGGTGTGACCAGAGGTGGGGCTCAGCTCCGCCGAGTCGGATATAAGGGGGGTCAGAGCAAGGCTCGAGGTCGGTGTGGGAAGCCTCTGGGTTCTGGACCGTGTTGCTGTTCATCTCCTCGCCACGGGCCGCGTGGCGCATCCTTGCTCGGAGCTCACCCCCGCTTCCAGCGCGCCGTCAGCCAGCGGCGAGGCTGGGAGAGCGGAGTGAGCCTCGTGTGAGCTCGGAGAGAGTAGAGGAGGGACGACGCCTCGTCCGCGGGGTTGGAAGAGGGAAACCACCGGAGAGGAAAATGCGAAGCCGTGCGCTGTGCCATCGTAAAATAAAGCACCAAACAAGTATCGTCGTGGAAGTCCTTTATTACACTTAGGCAACCGTGACTGATGTAAATTTTATTTCAGAAGGATTAGAGAGCTGACATTTGGCACAACTGCAGTCGAGTCTATACTTAGAACAATAAAAAAAAACAAATGTTCTCATTTGGATTTAGAAAAATTATGGCTTGGGAGATTAATTGGTTTCACTCAGAACAGGTTCAAACTCAAGTTATGAACAGCTTCATGTCTCGTACAAAAAAACTAAATAACATAACTCCAGTGAACCGTGTAATGTCAACTATAGTGTATGCACACTCCAGGAATATTAATGAAATCAACATTCTAATGCTCAAACAAGCAATGATCATCTCTGTTGTGGATCCCGAGCAATAAGAAAAATTATTCTCATTCTTAAGACGGGACACAGTATCATTGCTGGGTTTTGAACTTAAGAATAGGAGCACCGAGCTGGCTCCGTTATGATTCTGGTTTGGACTGGAGTTAAAGCTACCTGTGACTAAAATCGGTTGTCAAGTTACTGTCAGTGCAGTCACCGATTTCACAAAAATACTGGAATTTGGGTCGTCACTTTATTTAGCAAAGTTCTAATTCTTCTTGGTTATTTCGGTAAAGTCACGTAGAATGAGAATAAAACAATAAAAAAGACAATTCTCACGACGTTTCGGCCACAACACAAGTAGCCTTCTTCAGGTGAAGGAACTGTCGGGACGACAGCGCTGTTCCTTCACCTGAAGGCCACTTGTGTTGTGGCCGAAACGTGAGAATTTTATTGTCTTATTTTGTTTTATTCTCATTGTGACTTTACCGAAAGAACCAAGATGAATCCTTGCAGTCACGAAAGCTTTAAATCGAAAGTTCTAGTTGTAAGACTTTAATGTTTTGATGGGTTGACATGCGACATTTGTGGTATATTAAAGGCGAGAATTAGTCTGTGAAGTCATTTTCCTATACTGTTCTCTTAACACGGCGAAAACTGCCAGTTGCAGGGTTCGGAATGGACATTCCTTTAGTCTTATGATACGAATAAGGGCAATTGCAATTCATTTGGGCCTGCTTTTTTTAAGGAAAGGGAGCACTGACACTCCAACTGAATTGCATTTTGCCTTTGTGATGACTGCAATGTGTGCAAGTGATGATAGCACCACAGAGAAAAAGTTTCACAAACCAACACCATTATTGTTCATATTTATTTACAGCAGCCGAAGAGGTTCATGTTCTGTGTAGATTTTTTGTTCAAAAATTTTACAAAGGGCAGTGTTGAACGTTCTTACTCGCAGTGTCACCAAAGGCATCAACGTGAGCGTGCATCACACACACAGCCCACAGCCTCTATTTAACTTTCCAAGTGATAAAAAAACTCTCCAGAAACCAAATGTATGCTTTCGTTTGTGTTAAATAAACCACGAATACGTTTAAAAATATCAGAATGTGACAAGATTCAGCTAGAAAAGTACCTATCTTCCCACCACTAGTTCCATAAGGAGATGGTGTTGGATGCTCCGTAATAATTAATATTTACCCAGTAAAGTCTTCACCCAGTCAAAATTTTTAGAAAGCCTGCTAGGAAAGTATGACTTTCACGGAGTATGAAATAACCAGACATTGAAGAAACCAGAGGAGCTGGAGAAATGCCAAGCATATGAAGGGATAACACTCAAAGATGAAAAGGTTTCTGCTTAGGGTGTTGGTGAATTTACAACAAAGTACAGTACACCCAACAATTAACACATACTGGAAACTATTCTCAAAATTAAAAGACAAGATTTTCTGGGCCAAATAGGCCAGCTATTCCGTAACATACAGTACATACGTTTATGTACATACAATATATTGTGCTAAATGCAATAAATTCAGTTATTAGTGTGAATATAAAATATAGTTTTTTGTCAAGTAACAGATTACAAGAATAATTATATCACTGTAATGTACTGTCAGTGTGCCTATATTCACCACAGCTCAGCCCAAGACTACTGCACCCCATCATGCGGAGCGGTCTTAATGACATGAAACAAAATTAGCTTTCAAACAAGACTTGGCATGGCTGCAGCAAACATTTTTTAACCTATTCTTGCTTCACCTATATTGGCATTTGACAATGTTGACCTACATTGGCACTTTACAATGTTGGCCAACATCACCTGCAAAGGGAACAAGATTTTTTACACTGGTCTCACTTTGTTTTGCTCACCGAGCCTAGCAATACATTCAGAACATCAGCAGCCTCAAACTAGCCATGAAATGACGGCGCATGATGCAGCGTTCCACGGTTGGCATTGAGACTGGATCGAAATAAATCAAGTCACGTGCATGATTAACTCTTGCACAGGCATTGAATCTGGCAGGGACAGTGACCTTGTCTGCAGCATCGAAGCGGCGTTGACGTTTAGAACTTGAGGCTTTTATGAAACGCAGGAACAAGGTGGAGAAGCAAACCCCGTGAGTATTTTCCCCGTGATAATTGTTACTTTGTCACAAAGTAATGAACTTGGCTGCTATAAAATTACAATTCTGGAAACATTTCCTCGAGTTATATTCTTAGTTCTTTCGGTAAAGTCACGTATTATTTTATTGTTTCCCTTCTACGTGACTTTACCGAAAGAACCAAGAATATGAATCCCTGCAGTCACGAAAGCTTTAAATCAAAATTTCCTCGAGTTGTAAAATCACTTTGTTGCTTCTCACCCTTTACACACCACCACCACCAATCATTTGCAGTGCCTTGAATTTTACAAGATGTTAATTTTGTTTCAGCATTTATTTAAAAAAAAAAACATCAAGAAACTTTCCCTTTAACTCTACTGCCCTCATTGTTACTGAAAGGAGAGCTTTGAGGTGTGATCCAGCCGATAACTTTGCTCATCACAGCAGCGTCATCACTGCATGGATTCCATTGCGCCGTGAGTAGTTGGTTCGAGTGTGCGACTCCAGGGCGCAGGATAATGCTTTCCACCCATCGTGTGGTGTGGCTGTCCGCAGGGTATAGCGAACAAGTGCTTGTCCAAGGTGTGGCGTAATTGTGCCCAGAGTGTTGGGTGAATGTCCACAAGGAGTGGTGTGACTGCATAGGGCACGGCGCAAGATCGTCGCACCCAGGGTGCAGTGCTCAGTCTCTCGCGATGTACGTTACTTGTGGCGTACACTTGCTTGTTGTGCATCTAACCTGGTGGCACAAGTAGTGCGACTCCCACGGTGTGGTGCAACTCTCAAGGATGTAGTTCCCGTTTACACACCAGCTGCGATGTAGGCACGGTTTCGCCCAGCGTATTTTCCCTCTCCCACACGGAACCCAAACGGCACCCGCGAGAACCCTCCAGCTCCCCTGACTCTGCGCTCGTCCTAGCTATAGCGACTACTCGCACTGGCGCTGCCGCTGTAGGAGCCGTGTCCGCTGCCGCTGGACGAACGCGACGACGTCCGGCGAGAACGGGAGCGTGAGCGTGTCCTGCTCCTTCTGGAACGAGAGGCACAGGTTAACAGCGAGACCTCATCGCAGACCATGGTACAGGGGGGGGTTAGGGGGGAGATCGTTTTCCCATAGACCCTCAGAGCCTCACACCACTAAACATCCATACAAGTCTACTCAAAGATTGCATCTGTTCAGCATTACAAACTGTTGGGGGAAGTGCTGTTCATCTTCTTCCACTGTATGGTGAGGAGTAGACTGGCAATGTCAATATATTCATGTTGAGGTTGGTGAATGGAGCCAGTGGATGGTTTCAAGGGTATCCTGGCGAATATTTGAAATGCTGAAAGCGAACGATCGAAGCGGCCAGTATCTATGTGATCGAAGCGGCCAGTGAACTTTGGTCGTTGGGTTTGTAGTGTAGTGCAACAACCACTGGACGACCTCTTTCAACACACAATCATGTACAAATACTACCATACCTACATACACCCACGCAAAAAATGCCATAACAGCTACTCACATGCACAAACACACACATCGCCACAGATACAGATTCAAACACACACACTTGCATCCACACACATAAATCCTCACACACCCACCCACAAACTCGCATACCCATGAACAAAGACAAAGATCCCCTGGAAAGATTGAACAGACTGTAGGGTCAAGTGCCATTAGCGAGCACCTATGAAGGCAGGCACGGCAAACAAGGGGGTGGGTGGCCAGTACCACGCCAGGCCGGCTTTGTCTTCCTAGTGGCGATGTTTACACACTGCAATAGATACTCGTTTGAGGCCGAGTCGACCTAGGGGAGGCCCAAAACCAGTTCATAAAATTCTCACTGATGTTGGCCGTGAGTGAGAATCAAATTCGAGTCACCGGGTGTGCAGTGCAGCACGCTAACCGCTGTGCCACAGCTCGGATGAACACACACACACCCAGACACACTGCAGACAGTATTGACGATCGGCTGAGCGAGTTCAAAAGTTGCTCTGCTATCAGTGTGTGATGTGGAAGTGCATGTGGAGGAATGCGTTGTGCCATCACGCACCGTGACCTGTCGCTGTCGGAGGTTGAGCTGCGGCGGCCGCGACTCCGACTCGTACTGCGGTAGCTGCCGTGGGAGGAGTATGAGCGCCTGGGGAGAGATGGTGTGAGTCAGTCATGACAGTGCACACGCGCACAAGCACGTGACCAGGGGCGCAGGGGGGGGGCAAAGACAAAGGCTCCCAAATACTGAATGACAGGAGCGTTTGCTCAAGCAGCTCTTACCTTGTAGCTACACACTAATATCGTGTGTGTTAGACTGATCTACATGGGTTGAAAGCTGTGTTACTGGGGAAAAAAAACCACTTCAAAGTTACAGTAAGTGTCCACATGGGCAGAATCCAGGAACATCACTATACCGATTTATTAAAATATATGGGAGTAATGTTACAACGATGTCACTACAGAGCAATAATGGCGTGCTTCTAATTTTGAAAGTGCTTTCCTCATTCCTGAAGCTTCCAACTCGTGCAGAACAACTTGGGGCACATTTTAGGTGCTGATCTAAAAGTTAAATAATCATATGCATTTTGTCTTGTCTTTTTTGTGCTAAACCTGACATGGAGCATGACAGGGTAAGAGTATTTGGGGGGCCATTACCACGAGTGTGGGTGGAGGTAGATCCTGCTGACTGGGAATGCAGTGACTATACTAACCACTAGATTAGTGGTTCTTAACCTGCGATGCATGCACTCCCTGGGGGTGCGAGATGTCCTTTCTGGGGGTGCGAGACATGCCAGATTTATTTAGATGGTAAATCATCAACACAAATTAAGCACGGGAAAGTAAGTACAACGACTTTGTTTCATCAAACCTATATATTTATTAACATTATAATTTGTTTATGGTTGAGAACCAAAGAGGCACAAGGCTGCAGTAAAGGTTAATAAACACTGCACTAGATGAAGATATTTATTAATTCTCGTTTTTAACACCTCACTTGTATTGTTTAAAACAAAAATTAATCTAATTCGTAAAGCATTGTTCACTTCATTGGCATAAATGTAACACTAACAATTTCGATGAATATTAAATAGGCAATGTCACACGCATGATTATATACATGTATAATTATCTTAATGATCAATCACCATGGCCATGCCTACTAGCCACCATGCCAACGCTGCCATGTAGATATCACCATCCTCATAACCATCTTCAACACTTTCTTCATCATTAGCATTCCCTCTATTACCAACTTCATCAACCTCTCATTCATCAACACCAATATGATAATCATCACCATAATTTCATAGATGTTAGGTACTGTCTTCAGGTGGTTTGGGCCAAAAATCGGTTCTGCTCCAGCCGAGCTTGAGAGTAATATCAAGTTTCGATTTAAAGCTTTCGTGGCTGCAAGGATTCATCTTCTTTGGTTCTGTCGGTAAAGTCTCGTAGAATGAGAATAAAATAATAAATTGAAAAAATAAAATAACGTCGTGAGAATTTTATTGTGTTATTTTATTTTATCAATTTATTATTGTATTCTCATTCTACGTGACTTTACCGAAAGAACCAAAGAAGAGTAATATCAAGCTTCAACATTTATGAACCTGGAGATATAACTGCCATGGATGACCCTTCCAATTCTCTTCACTCATAATGCAACGGCACAACCACTCAATCTTGGTAAGAGCAGAGTGCAATGTTGTTTGTCTACACAAATTATCAGAACAGTGCGTGCACAAGCTCGCCTGGTGTTAATCATTATCAAAGCGCTTACATTACTTAAATATGCAGAGCCGCACAGGCTTTGTGTTTACAAGACCAAAGTGGCGACTTTATTGGATCACAATGTGCACTGTGGACATGACAGCAATGCACATGGGCATGGGACATCACTACAGGGCCAGTTTAATAAATGGGCTCTTTTAAAGGTGTTCAAGCCCCAGTTCGCCAACAATGACTTTGAGTGAACGGGTCACAGTGGCGCGGTGCAGCTCATGAGCATGCCGTGCGGTGCTGTGGGTGCTTGCCAGTGTGGTGACAGCGTTTTCCAATTTCCATGCTGGCATTCGTGCTATGTTGATGTGGGTGCTGCCAGTGAATTCGGTGATTGTTGTCACTCTGGTGTGGCGGCGGCTGCTGCTGGTGGTGCTGTGGTGTCGGTAATTGACGAGCGAGTTTTAGCGAGAACTCGATACCTCGAGTGGCTGCGGCGGCTGTGGGAGCGGCTGCGAGACCGTGACCTCGAGTGGCGGCTGTATGACCTGCGGCGACAGCGACACGCGCGCGTTGGAGGAAACCGAAGTACGTAGGGGAAAACCCGCCACTCGCATAATGGAGAACAAGAAAAAGATCCTCTGTACAGACAGGTCAAGGATCCGCTTGCTGTCCTGCCATCTCCTGGACACTCGTATCCCAGCAAAGTTTGAGAGTTGCACAAATCTCTACATAATCCTTTAACCCACGCCTCGAAAATGGTGAATGACAAGCCACCATGCAGGCTTAAACATTTTTTTCTCAAGAACTAGGTATCCCTTTGGTTCTTTCGGTAAAGTCACGTCGAAAGAAAATTAATTAAATAGAGTACGACGTTTCAATTGCAACACAAGCAACCGTCATAAGGGAGAACTAAATTTGAGAGAGAGACAAAACACACAGACAGACACACAAGCAGAGAGAGACAACACAGACACAGAGAGAGACACACAACATACACAGAGAGACATACAACACATACACATTTATCCGTTTTGGGGGGCAATGTATCTGCATTCACGTCGCGCTCCTTGTCAGTACCAGGGACCCCCCTCGGACGCTAGTGTAAGTATGTTGAAATTATTTTGCACCGTACGTGGCCATCTATGCTAATCGGAGGTGCGGGATCCAAGCAGTGGACCGAATTCTGCGAGGACAAACTTTACGAATCCTGGTCTCACTGCCGCCACCAGCAGCACTGACGTTGTGCAACCCTCTGGTTTCCACGCCAATGGGCCCACACTCTGGGTTCTACAGCTCAACGTCGAGGGTCAGATGGCAGCAAAGTATAGTATAGTTGCAGGGGCCAAATAATTAAATCTACCCATGAACAGTTACAATTGCCACAAATCGCTTTGGATGCGTTTTTTTCCATTACCTGGAAAGCATACTATTACCACGCTCCAAGATCCTACTACCCACTTTCTCCACCACCCTTGACCTGAACGGGCCCCCCATCCCTCCCACTTCACCTCCTGCGGCGCCGGTAGCTGCGGTCAGAGCTGGATAAGCTTCTCCACGAGCGAGCGTGGCTCCAACTCCTCCGGCTGCGTCCCCGCACGCGTCTTCGGCTGCTGCCCACGTGGCGCCGGCCGGACCTGCACCACGCCGTGAGCGACATGACAATTCAACAATTCGCTCCTGCTCAAGTCCATAAACTGGCTCTATACGGGGTCACAATCTGATAAAAAAATGTTCAGCATAGAATGCGCATGTAAACTCTACAGTGTGAATCTATAGCGGTGTGAATGCATAGACTCCTTAGTGGTGCAGTGCCGAATGTTCTGCGCTATGAACCTGCCTATCCTGAGTTTGAATCCCAGCTACGGCTAATATCAGTGGTGATGTCTGAACCAGCATGGTGAAGTATTGATAAACAACTCCCATAACGAACATGGCATGGCGAGGCCTTCATGCAGCAGTGTATTAACAATGGGTCTTTGTTAAGCTTATAAATATATTGCGATATATAATTGAATCTAGACTAGTATGAATCTATGATGAAGTGAATATTTGGAAACTCCAGTGGTACAATTCTATATCAGTTGTGTTAATTTATAGAGGAATAAATCTAGACTATAGGTCAGCGGTCGGTAACCAAAATAACAAGAGCCAATCTTGTTCGAATTTGGTAAAAAACTAAATATTTCAAGAGCAGCGATTACATGCGCATAACGTCACAAAGCATCCTTTAAAGAGCCGCATGCGGCTCTGGAGGGCAGGTCGCCGACCCCTGCTATAGGTGTTTCATATGTGCACAGTGTGCGAAATGTAAATGTATAATTTATTCATGTATGATTTGATGTGGGTGTATGTTGATGTATGTTAGTGGACCTAGCCAAGTCCCTGCTCTCACTCAGGTCTACCAACTCACTCCTCTCACCAGTATACCTTCTCTTTCTCCTCGATGGCCAAGATAATTCTTATTATTGCTCTATTAACTGAGAAACCTACTTATCCCCACCGATTACAGTAGTGTGATTAATCAACAGTTAACTGTGTGTACTTTTAAGTAACCGCTGTACGTATGCTCCATAATTCTGTGGTTATCGTGCTGGATTCCCAAATTGGAAGGTGTGAATAAAAAGCCTGGCTACTATTGGTCAACTCAACCCATTATCCATCTGGGAATGATAAAATTAGAAACGCTTTGTGAATGTGGATTTTGCAAGACTGGCTCAGAGTCACCAGTGGAGGGGAGCACCTCACCACACCATCCACTGGTTTCACATGCAATCGTTTTCCCGATGGCCGGTTTTTACCCGTGCGAGGATCTCGAGCGGCTGCGCGATCGGCTGCGAGAGCGTGACTCGGAGCTGCTGGAGCGGCTGGAGCGCGACGCCCTGCGACTCCGGGAACTCTCACGACTGCCGCTGTTCTGCCCCGGCCGTCGTTGGCGCCGCCTCGAGCTCCGCCTGCTGCTCCGCCGCTTCCTGCCATCCCTCTTGCCACTTCTACCGCCAACACTGTCACCGCCGCTTCCTCCGCCGCCACAACCGTCGTCGTCGTCGTTGTAATCGTTGTCTTCCTCGTCGCTGGAGCCGTCGCTCGACTTGGCTCGCGGTCGCTGATGTCGCCGTTGCTTCATCGTCTTGCTGAGCTCGTCGAAGAGCGAGCCTGGCTTCACCGCTTTCTTCTTGATCATGTCGAGAACTTTCAATGAGTCTTTCCGCGAGGTTTCCTTAGTGGACGCTTTCTCCCGGCTGGTTGCCGCGTCTCCACTGCCCGGCACTGGCTTCACACCCACTCGGGGGAGCTGCCCACCCACGCCGACCACTTTGTCTGACCGAGTTTCAGGTTCCTCCTTCAAGCCAGCACTGGCTGAATTGGCGGGCAAGTTGGACACCGCCACTTTGGGCGATATGTAAATCTTTGGTCCCTCCACAGGTTTCCATTTCAGATTGCCGACAGAAACCGTTCCGCTGAGCACGGCTTTTCCGCCCGCGCCAATGCCGGCACGCATCTTTCGGTTTGCCCTCTCCACCTTGGCAGTGGCGACAGAGAGGACCGCTTGGGTTTCCTTCACAGGCTTCCACTTGTCCGATAAAATGGTGTACGTCACTGCCCTCGTCTCTGGGACGGCGTCACTGCCGACAAACACTGCAGGCGAAGGAGTTTCTGGCTCCAGCTTGATACCCTCCACCTGGAGGGCAGGTACGTGCACCTCCACGACGGACAACGACTCATCCTCATCCAGGCTCATCGCATCCTCCTCTCTCTCGTCCACCCTGTCTGCTGCTTCTGCTCGTCGCTCCTCCGTCTTCGCTGCTGCACCCACGTTAGCGGCCGTCACCGTTTTCAGCTGCTCTGTGACAGATTCGCGTGGAGTGTCTCTTGCATCTCTGTGTCCCCTGCGAGCGTCCACACATGGACTACTCGCGCACTCTACGGCTCCCTCTGCGTCTGGTGTAATTGCACGTGCTGACGAGCATTCACCAGCAAGCTCACAACCGGGCTCAGGTGTCGTCTTGGTGCACAGGGAGACACTTTCGTGTGGGTCGAAGGTCTTGTCCGGTACGTTCTCTGCAGACATTCTAACACAGGTGTCCGTGGCGTGCTCTGTAATGTCCTTCAAAGGTGACACGTCCATGGGCCCTACCTCATCTGGCATGGCTACATTCAACTCCGTGAGCTCATCAGCTGCCTCCAGTTGATGTGCACACTTATCCGGGTCTGCACTTGCGCCATTTATGTTTTCAAGTTTCTCAAACTCCTCAACAGATTCGTCAATCGGAGGTGTCAATGCTGAGCGTTTCTCTTTAGTAATCTCAGCAGTCTCTTCTACAGGGGCAACTGCACCGACTACTCTCGGTGGGATGCCACCTCCACTTCCAATGCGCACGTCCGTGCTGCTCACAGCCTCAAGATGGACCACCGCTGCCGCCGCCGCCACTCCAATTACACCACCACCGCTATCAGCACCACGAGACACTTGTTCGGTCACCATGTCATCAGCTCTGCCCTCTCCTCGACCCTGTTTGTCACTGGTGCCAGCTGCTGTGACCAGACTGTCACCACGCGATTCTTCCTCTTCTTCCTCCTCTTCCTCCCCGTACTCAAGAGGTGGCTGCCAGTGAAACGTTCCCTTCGGTTTTTCTGCCACTTTTTTCTTTCTCTTCTTTTTGTCGCCATCTTTTTTCGAATGACTGTCATGTGCTCTGCCCTTCTCGGTGTTGCCCACAGGCCTTGGGGCGGGGCGCACCCGGGTATTCTTGTCGCCATTGGAACGGGAGGGGCACAATTCAGCTTGGCCTGAATCTGCGCTTGCAGAACTGCCCTCCCTCTCGTTCGTTGCTTTCTGTTGCTTCTTGCGGTGGGACCTCTTCTTCTTGCTCTTTTTCTTCCTCAGGCCTTTCGGCTTCTTCCTGCGCTTGAGGCACGCCACCCCACTGGAGGCGGAGTCCACGTCGGATGGCCGACTTGACAAGTGTGAGAGCTCCCCTTCGGACAGGGGAGGTTCCTTGGCACCACTCACTGCAGGCCGCTCCGGCTCCGTGGGCTCGGCTCGTACAGCCGCACGCCTGGAGTCCGAGGAGGACGTAGAGCTGGATAGAGAGTGGGCTTTGTAGTCAGGGGACCACGAGTGAGACGGAGACCTGGAGCTGGCACGCGCATCCGATCGCGATGGGGACCTCGTCCTGGAGCGTGACGAGATGTGGAGCTCCTTGCCCATGGAAACGGAAGAGGAGCGTGATCTCGTGTGCGACCTGGATGCGGTCTTCACCCTCGCAGGACTGTGCTTCCTTTTCATGCCCTGTGGTTCCTCTATCAGCACCTGTCCATCCAGTTCAATCACCGACTCCAAGGCGACGCTCTGCTTCTGCGGCGCTTGCGGCACCATCTGCTTGTCGCCCTCAACAGCCAGTGGAGGGAGCCAGACAACGGAAGGGAAAGTCGCGGCACTACCACGAGACTCTTTGGTGTTGAGATAGGAAGGCTTCCAAGGCTTTTGCCCCGGCTTCCAACGCGAGGGCGGAGGGCTGTCACTCATGGGGGGTAGAGGTGCCGCAGGCTCATCCGTCGGCACCAATACGGGCGCCAGCACCCTGGCAATCTCGGCTGCTTTGACAGCGACGGGGTTTTGGGGAGCAGCTGGCCGTGCTGTGGAGGGGGCCACCCTGGCCCGTGAACCTGAGCGAGAGCGCGAGGAGTAGGAGGAATGGCCGCGGGGAGAGTAAGATCGCCCGCACGACCGCCTCCGCGAGTACGACCGCCGGCGCGACCTTGACCTCGACCTGGAGTACGAGCGCGACCCCGTGCTAGAGCGCGACCCGCGGTGAGCCCTGGCGAAACGTCCGCGGCTCGAGTGGAAGCGGCGGGGTCTGGTGGAGGATTGTGAGCGGGACGGCGAGCGGGAAATGGAGCGTGACGTGGAGTAGCTTCTCCTGCGAGACCACAGCCGGGAGCTCGACTGCGAACTCGAACGTGAAGAACGTGATAAAGAACTGGAGCGTGACCTTGAACTCGAGATATCTCGTGACCGATCCGAGAGTGTTTTACCGGTGGCGTCGCTGGATTTCTTTAAAACCTTGGAATCTGTTGGGGTTTGGAGAAGGGGCTGTAAAGTATTTTTTCGGCTAATGTCAATGGACTCGGACCTCAGACTGGACTGCGAGGAGGGTGGCTCGATGGATTTTGCCGGAGATTTTTCTTTCTCAGAATCCTTCTTGTGTTTTTTTTTCTTCTTGTGCTTTGCCTTTTTGGTATTTTTCTTCTTGTGCTCTGACTGGCCGCGCTCCTCCACATAGCCGTCGTGCGACCAGGGAGATGGGGAGCGGTGCTCGTCCTTGCGCTCGTACTCTGCCAGCCTGAGCGCACGCAACAAGAGAGTCACTCATGTTCACCCTCATGACCATAACAGCTACATCACTATAAAAGCTCACAGCTGCATAACAACACCACCAACACACACAATACTGTAAACCACCACACAGTATTACTTCCACTGCACAACACCACCAAGCACACACCATCTCCACTGCCACACTGGGCTTCCACTACAGAACATCGCTACACGATACCACCACGACCACAGAGCAACGTAGTGTCACCACACTGTACCACCATACACTACTACACTGCCGATGAGAAACTTTGACGCATGCTGATGACAAACTTTGACACCTCACTTTAGCATTCATACACCGAGGAGCACACAAGACTCCATAACGAGCAGTGCCAAGTGCCAGCAGCCACCACATACTTGTCACCCTTAGTCCAGCGGCCCTGGCTGCTCTGTGCTGGCGCCGTGTTCCTTGTCTTGTTCATCTCCTCCCTCCAGTGAGGGGGGGTCTCGCTGCGCCAGCTCTCCACCTTCCCAGCGGCGGCCTCCGACTCCGAGCGGGAGCCCGAGGGCGTGCGATAACGCTAAGCACAGAGAGGGCAGCGTCAGGGACCGTGGCAATGCTACGCACGCGCAGGGATACACAACACTGTCAGGGACCGCGGGACACTACCTCCACAGTCTTAAGGCACCGCACTGACGAGATTGTTTGGAGAGGGATGGTGACCCGGCAATCACTCACCATAGTGCCCCTCCCCTTGATCTTGCGGCCAGACTTGGAAACGGCCGGCTGGTGTTGGGTGGGTTTGCCCCGGCCCGGCAGGGCGTCACTAAGGAGAGGTCATGGTATGTTAACCATCACGACAGTGAATCGCACAGTGGTGCAAGGCATTACAGGTGATCATGGGTGTGCAGGTGATGCATGCCAATGGTCCAACACTTTGAGAGGTAATGATTGGTAGATCATGCTCAGATTTGTGAATCTCTCAAACCCATTGGGCTGTGAAGTGATATGAAAATACCAATACAACAACTTGGTTTGTGAACTGTCTGTTCAGACCTTTGAGTGTTATCCCACCTGTGTGGTTTTTCACTGGGTACTCTGGCTTCTTCCTCTATACAACACTCATAAATGAAATTCGCCCAACATACCAGAGCAGAAGCCTCCTTAAAAAGCAACGTGAGGGTTTCCAGGTAAATACATTACATTAGTATTAGGCAATACCTGTGTCTTGCCACACCTGCTACATAATAGTGGCGATGTGATTAAGTTGGGCTGTGCAACGCATAGGTCTTGTCGTTGAGCAAAGATACGTTGTGGCTGCGTCAATGTTAGGATATAGCTTCGAGTTAAGTGTTCATTTGCGGTTGGGGGTGACAAGGCGAGCAACATCTGTTTAACATCACAAAGGTGTGAATGTAAAAATAACCATGTTGCCTCTGTTGAAGATGGACAGTTCTACATTCCATGAGCTGTTATCTGCTCTTATAGTTGGGCTCTTGCTATGAAGTACCAAAAACTTCTGGCCAAATGAATCCAAAATTGCTCAATTTGCAAAAGTAGATCCAAAAAAAGGATGCATTTAAAAAATATATATATTTGTAAAAGATTTCACAACCTAAAAACACATCACCATTGGATACAACAAATTTGCCCAACCTGGCCACCAGGTTGGGGTGTAGAGATATCTACATGGACAATTGGAGCCCAAATGTTTCAATTTCTGGCCCTCCATCATGCATTTATGTGTGCTGCTTTCATGGAGTGTGGGAAGGTGGTTGGCCAGGTGGGTGGCTGGGTAGGTGGGGAGATGCCTGGGTGGGTGTGTGGTTAGGTGGATGGCTTGCTGGTTAGGTGACCCCATGCCTCGCTCACCTGCTCTTGGGCTTGGAGTTCCCCCGCAGCAGGAAACTATTCTGCGGCACGGCGGGGATCAGGTCAGGCTGCACGGTGCGGCGCGGACGTCTCGGCGACGACAGCTCCTCATCGGAGCTGCGGCTCGACGAGCTTCACAAACGGAACCGGACATGCGAAGAGGATCATTGACAGGGACTGCTGCACTGTGTTGCATCCCCGAACACGGTGTCTCAAAATACTGAGTTAATTCACGAGTGGAGTGTTCCTGTATATCCGTTTTCATTAACAAAACCCCACCATTTCCATGAAGGCCAAAGCTAATCCGTTTACAGTGCAGTAATTCTGCAGTTGACTTTGAGTTATTGTTCTCAGATTTGTGTAGGACAGGCCGGGGTACCAAACCTATGTATCTAGAAGAACTGATTATCTTCTGGGGGGTATTTGGATGGAATACGATTTCTCAAACTCACCAACTTCACCATTAACACTGCCCTGCAGCACAAAACAAAATAAGCAAAAATTTTGGTCAACCGCCTTTTTCCAAATGTTGTTGAATGTATATTTTTGGTTCTTTCGGTAAAGTCACATACAAGGGAAACAAAATAATATTTTTTAAATATTTTTCTTATTTTATTGTTTCCCTTCTATGTGACTTTACCGAAAGAACCAAGAATATGAATCCCTGCAGTCACAAAAGCTTTAAATCAAAAGTTGTTGGATGTGTTTTTACACCACTGCTAAAGCTGTTATTTAATTGTTTGAGGTGGTGTGTTGTACAATTGTTATACTGGGAATATTGCACTTTTAATCACTGTCTTATGTTAAAAAGGTGTTTATTTGTGGATGTATATGAAGGTTTACTTACCCTCTTCATGAACGATTGAAATAAAAAAACAAAAACTACTCTTAGCAATATTTCCACTTCTATACAAAATTCACAAAATTGGCCTATATTATAAAAGGACATGTTTACTGTACATTCTCAGCATGACAGTTATGTTAATATCAATATTTTTGTAGACACATGGGCATTGACTGCAAAACGAGTGATGAGCAGCCAATAATTAAATCAGTGCCTTTGTAAACGGTGCAAATGAGCTAATTTAAACGACAATCTGGCTAATATTCCCATTTATAATTGAGCGTGAACTGTACTAGTGCTGTGAAGGAAACAGTAGCTGCTGGGACACAAAGAAATGTCGGCGAGTAGGGGAGAGACGACCAAGTACCGCAAGTGCGATAGCTCAGACACAATCGATGCCGTCACCCACCTCCCGGTGGAAGATCTCCGGGACGCCCAGTGCGCCGGCCTCGGGCGCTTGGAGTCTGCACCCCTGGAGGACACGTCCTCATCCACCGCCTTGCGTTTACGCATCCCACCAGTCCCGCCCGCAACGCCACTCCCCCGTTCAGCTTCGCTGTCCGAGTCCGAATGGGACGAGGCCGAGCGGGACGAGTGGCGGTCGCGGCTCCCCGTACGGAGCCCATCGTTCTCGCCTGTAGGCACACGGTAGCGAGTGTTTGAGTCACAATGTCCGGTGGACCTCAGGTGATGTACGTGCCGACGTTACAAGGTTATCTTTCCAGAATATAATTTCCAGTAGACTCGAAAGGACAGACAAGCATGTAACCGACGTGACCTGCACCTCGTAGCTGCTCGTTGACCTCTCCGCAATGCACCACGCGAATGTCTGCGTACGGGAGGCTGTTGGCGTCCGTCTTCTGGTTCTCAATCTCCTTCAAGAGGTCCTGGCCGGATAGGACGCGTCCGAACACGACGTGCTCTCTGTGGCGAAAAAAAAGTGATCGTGACCTCGGACTGTTGACCATTTACTGAACCTACAACATATGCCCCCACTTAATGCATAGGGAAAAGTGATCTCCCTCCCATATTAAGAATACAAATTTAGTCCTTTGTCAATCCACTGATGGATGTCTCCAGCATACCGGCCTTGGGGGTTAACCAAACTTCACCATGCTAGTCAGTGTCGGCTGATTACGGGGGAATGGGGACCGCGGACAGTTTTAGATATCACTCGCCACTGAATTTAGCTGTGCCCAGGAATCAAGCTCAGTTTGCTGGGATCCAAGTGTCATGCGCTAACTACCGTACCCCAGTTCCACACCCTGCAGGCTTAGCATGATACAAATAATTACGTAATTTATATAAATGAGAAAGCACCACCGAGTCTCAAGACTATTTTTAAGACTGTCCTGCATTGAGACATTTGGCCAATTACATGAATTAGTATTTGGCATGTGAGAAGACAAGACTTTACTAGACAATATCAAATATTTTAATTTATATAGTACCATAATTACTAAAGATTATAATGCTCAAAGCTCCGCACAGAAGCCAATATTGTATTGCCATGTACTTGCCACATCACAGCCGAGCCTTCAACACCTAATATTCCTAACGAGCCTCGCACCTAAATACTAAGCAGGCAAAACCTCGCCGATATCTTGTGAGATTAGCTAAATTAAGGATTTGGTCATAGGTAGTGAGGTTTTGTGTTTTTACTTTTCACGAGCACTTTCCGTAAATGCCAATGGTCATTCGTAAACAGGTGATCATACACAAAAGTGGCTGCTGTATTTATAAGGTGGCGTCAAGAACAAGGCCAAAACATTTAAGCTTCAGCACAAAATAGAGCAAGTAGCAGCGCACTGACCCGTCGAGGTGAGGGGCCGGCTTGGTGGTGCTGCAGTGGTCAGTCAAGCGTAGACCGGATCAACACGGGCACACGTGCGCGCGTGCGGTGGCGAGGCAGGGTGGGTGGGTGTCAGTGCATGCGTGTGAATGGAGAGTGGCCACAGAGCACGTGGGGAGGAGGGGGAGGAAAAGAGGGAGACAAACGCACAGATCAACTCTCCGAGCTTTCGCCTCCAGCATCGCACGGCACAAACGCGGAGACGTGTTGGATAACTCACGAGACAAAACGCAATTTGGACCGCGACCGTCATCTATAGGTGGAATCGACATACGAGTTTGAGCGGAAAGCGCCCCTGCCTGCTTCACACAAGCCATCCGTTTCCGCGCTATGCTGCATTACAGCTTTTAACGCCGCACGCCAAAACACATGTCCACAACGCCGCATCTGGTTCACCGCTCCATTGGATTTATTTTTTGCAGGCTACATTGCCACCGTGGCTACTTAGTGACATCCGAAAATGCGAAATCCATTGGCAGTTTAAATAAATCTGTAACGCATTAGTGCACAGTTGTGTAATGAAGATGATGCAGTACATTAACTGCTGAAAACAATTTTTAAAAAGTGCGGATATCGGAGGAAATGCAGCCAATGCAGCGACGCGGGAGTGGAAGGCATGCCAGCCACGAGCAAGGGCTCAAGGGCGCATCTCAGCTGTGACATTTGCTACTGATTAAGAGGGTCACAGGAAAATGGAATTTCAATGTCTGGAACTGAGAGGAAACTGCATCGGATCGGTGTGAAGTCCTGTACATTACCTTGATAGCAGAGGGGGTAACAATGATTCTGCAAATTTTACACAAAAATGGCAAGAGAGAAATTTTAACACCAGAAAAAAAGTGTTAATGTAATGTAAACATTTGCACACATATTCAAGTACAGCAATCGTAAAGTACAATTCCTGACAGAAATTCAAAAACTTAACATAGTCTTGGCTCCAACTCAACCCCCACAGCTTGTAATGGCACATTCCAGCTCTTAGAAAAACGAGTTGATGTGATTTTTTGGAAGGCTGTCCGTTTCTTAAATTAAGCCAACATACCATTCTAACTTTGACAGCAGGAAGCTGAGAAACCAAAGCTGGCATGTTTCTCTTTCACGCTGTGGAGTTTCAGAGGAACACCACCCAGTAATGCACAAACTAATTTACTCCACAGCTTATTAATTGCCAATTCCAGGGGCCCACACTTCGCTGGTGTTTTGTGTGAACCGATTTATACATGAGCAAAGCAGCTAATAACCTATAAAAGAAAGTGTATTTGGTATATATTTACCAGGCACACGTGGGTAAATAACAGGTATTTCAAAATTCACTGCCGCCTGCTGCGCAAATGTCACTATTCAGGATCACAACTTCATGAAATAAAGAAAAATATTTACAACCTCAAACAGCTGTGGGCTCATACTGAGGTAAGCCATATACCCTTGAGTTGGTGTGGCCAGAACAACGCCCAGCAGTCTTTGTCTCCCTAGTTCTGTTTAACACCCTTCGCCCCAATAAAGTAAAAGCTAACGGGAGGGCCCAGTACAGGTTGAGATACCACTTGTCACTAGTGTTATCTACCCATGGCCAGGAACTAAACCCAGATCTCCGGGGTTGCAGTGCAATGTGTGAACTACTGCACCATCGCTGAACAAAGACACACACTTTTAGGCAAATTTGCCCACTGGTTACTGGTATACAGGTCATGTCACACATCAAGCAACTGTGGTTTTGCAGCTACAGAGTTAAACTGTGGCAGGGCCCTGGGAATGGTGTAAAGCAACACGGTTGGATCTACACGATAGAAGACAACTGTTAGTAAAGCAAGATATCAGTGGAAGAAAGATTAATAGTTGGTACATAACATACAATTAACAACATGTACAACATAACATCCTTGTGGCAGCTACATGTCTGGATCCTACTGTTTGCCACTATCTCATTTTACTCAAACCTTGCATTTGGATCTGTTTAAACCAATCCAAAGAAACCATAACAGAACAATTATTGAAACGTGTAATAATCAGTTCATGAACAGAAAAGGCACAAAAGAAACGCCTTTAAAATTACCAACTAAAAAGCTAACACTTCACTAAATAATAACAGGAATCATCTGGCTGGACAGCCAGCTGACAGACAAGTCAATCAGCCAGCGAGCCAGCCAATTAACGAAAAGGTCAGCCAGCGAGTGAACTAAGGAGCCATCCAGCGAATCAATTAATGGGCCAGCGGACAGCTAGTGATCAAACACTCCAACCCGCCAATCAACTAGCCAGCTGGCTAGCTAACAAATGAGCTAGCCAGCCAGCTGACCAGTCAGTTAGCTGCACAGTGCCGCGGCCAACGACTAGTGGGATGGCACCAGGCCCACACGCTGGGTGTGGCCACATGGCCACGAGCCACATACACCACTCACATGAAGAACTGGGAGCCATTGGTGTCCTTGCCCCTGTTCGCCATGGAAAGCAGAAACTCCTGGTCATGCTTCAGTTGAAAATTTTCATCTGTGCCAAAATAAACGTGATTGTGTAAAAAAACAGATCGACTGAGCCCTGACATGTTTAAAAAAATACAGCAATGCAATTCTGTCCATTACTACAATCATTTCCATTCTTAATTAGGTTACAGATAGGTCTATCCTTCTCCATAATTTAAAGTATTGACATTTTTGCATGGAAACATTTCACAATTAATTTATTCTAACAAAGGTCATCGGCATAGCAAGCGCGCTAATAAAAACTCGTCGATCCAATATTTCAAGAGACTCTATTAAACGTACTGTAAACGTTTAAGCCTGAAAAGAAAAATGGCACTTGCAAGTGTTCATTTGGTATTTTTCGCATCATAAGTTGCAAGGCAGATGACCTATGTAATGTTGAACATGTTTAAACCTACCTCTTGTTCAAACACCATTTTTTGGAGAACACAGTTTTTTGTTATGTGCTGTACTCACCTTGTGGAATGCAAAGAACATCGGTCTATAAATAAAACAATAAGTTAAGAGTGTTCAGGTGAAACAGGCAGACAGATGTCAAAGAGGTGCTAAGTTTCCACCTAACACAAAAGCTACCATCGCTGGAAATGGCCTTTAGACTGTGCGCACGCACCAGATATTCAACACACAGCTGAGGATATGCACCGACCAATACTAACATAAATCAATTTAATTTACGCTAGCGCATGTGTTGTGTGCATAAGTGAGGATAGGAGATGTTTTGACAGTGTCAATTGCAGCCAGCAGCTGTAACGAGCAAGGCAAACTCACCTTCAAAGAAACCGCCGTAAATTGATTCGCCACCTCTCCCATTACCTGCATAAAATGACAGAGTTATGGAAATCCATATACATTTTCTTATAACATTGTAATTGTACTGTACATGTACAGCCATTTGTTAATCCACTGCTGAATGAATGCATCCACACACCCTGCAAGGATTGGGAGTCATTTCACCAAACACCAACGCTCGTCAGTGTGGGTTTGAGGCAGAGCATAGATGTGAGCGCATAAAAACACAGTACAAAAATGTGTTTTGATGCACTGCCCTCTTTTGCCCACCAGTTGTAGCACCTATAATGAACAGCAGTCATTGGTAATTAGCTTTGACAATCTGATGAGCTCACGTGCAATCCGGGTGATTTGGTCATAAGCAGATCGATATATACAGTGAGGGAAAAAAGTGTTTGATCCCCTGCTGATTTTGTACGTTTGCCCACTGACAAAGAAATGATCAGTCTATAATTTTAATGGTAGGTTTATTTGAACAGTGATAGACAGAATAACAAAATCCAGAAAAACGCATGTCAAAAATGTTAGAAATTTATTGGCATTTTAATGAGGGAAATAAGTATTTGACCCCTCTGCAAAACATGACTTAGTACTTGGTGGCAAAACCCTTATTGGCAATCACAGAGGTCAGACGTTTCTTGTAGTTGGCCACCAGGTTTGCACACATCTCAGGAGGGATTTTGTCCCACTCCTCTTTGCAGATCTTCTCCAAGTCATTAAGGTTTCGAGGCTGACGTTTGGCAACTCGAACCTTCAGCTCCCTCCACAGATTTTCTATGGGATTAAGGTCTGGAGACTGGCTAAGCCACTCCAGGACCTTAATGTGCTTCTTCTTGAGCCACTCCTTTGTTGCCTTGGCCGTGTGTTTTGGGTCATTGTCATGCTGGAATACCCATCCACGACCCATTTTCAATGCCCTGGCTGAGGGAAGGAGGTTCTGACCCAATATTTGATGGTACAAGGCCCCGTCCATCGTCCCTTTGATGCGGTGAAGTTGTCCTGTTCCCTTAGCAGAAAAACACCCCCAAAGCATAATGTTTCCACCTCCATATTTGACGGTGGGGATAGTGTTCTTGGGGTCATAGGCAGCATTCCTCCTCCTCCAAACACGGCGAGTTGAGTTGATGCCAAAGAGCTCCATTTTGGTCTCATCTGACCACAACACTTTCACCCAGTTGTCCTCTGAATCATTCAGATGTTCATTGGCAAACTTCAGATGAGCATGTATATGTGCTTTCTTGAGCAGGGGGACCTTGCGGGCGCTGCAGGATTTCAGTCCTTCACGGCGTAGTGTGTTACCAATTATTCTCTTGGTGACTATGGTCCCAGCTGCCTTGAGATAATTGACAAGATCCTCCCGTTTAGTTCTGGGCTGATTCCTCACCGTTCTCATGATCATTGCAACTCCACGAGGTGAGATCTTGCATGGAGCCCAAGGCCGAGGGAGATTGACAGTTCTTTTGTGTTTCGTCCATATGCGAATAATCGCACCAACTGTTGTCACCTTCTCACCAAGCTGCTTGGCAATGGTCTAGTAGCCCATTCCAGCGTTGTGTAGGTCTACAATCTTGTCCCTGACATCCTTGGAGAGCTCTTTGGTCTTGGCCATGATGGAAAGTTTGGAATCTGATTGATTGATTGATTGATTGCTTGCTTCTGTGGACAGGTGTCTTTTATACAGGTAACAAGCTAAGATTAGGAGCGCTCCCTTTAAGAGTGTGCTCCTAATCTCAGCTCGTTACCTGTATAAAAGACACCTGGGAGCCAGAAATCTTACTGATTGAGAGGGGATCAAATACTTATTTCCCTCATTAAAATGCAAATAAATGTATAACATTTTTGACATGCGTTTTTCTGAATTTTGTTGTTATTCTGTCTCTGACTGGTCAAATAAACCTACCATTAAAATTATAGACTGATCAATTCTTTGTCAGTGGGCAAACGTACAAAATCAGCAGGGGATCAAAAACTTTTTTTCCCTCACTGTAAGAATAAGAACAGAGTGAAGATTGGTGGTTGGGCGACTCAAGAATTAGGGTACCAAGCCAGCACTGATAAGATCTTGGTATCATATCCAGATTCAGCCAACCTGTGGTTAAACTGGGTTATCAGGTATAGTCAGTTTATGGTCTCACTATGGTCAGCAATGACTGCACAAAAACCTCATCACATTAAATGAGGTCTTTCACTTAATTTACAAAAGGATTCAAGTTTCACTGCCATGTGTACGACATTGCTCGATAGCAAAACATGTTGGAAAGTGTTCCACCTAGATCGTGAAGAGATTACAATAGATTTTTAGTCTAATGATGACTATGATGCTGAAACCAAAATTGGAATAAAATACAGAAATATATCTGTATTAATGGTGTTAATGAAGCCAATGACTAGTAGATCGCAACGTGGACAATGACAATGGAAAAGTAAAAAAATGTGCAAAGAAGCATGAATAAATGCATTTTTGAATTTGCAGAGACAGAAATGGCAGCACATTACAGTAGATACACAAGTTAGAGACATCATATTGGCTTAAGAAATGTGGGCTTGTGCAGGACACGTCGCTAGAAGGGAAGAATTATGTGGTTGAGACTAAGGACAGAGTGGCAGTAAAGGAGGAAATTTGCCTGAAAGGAGATCCACCTCAGAGATTGAGAGATGCACTCCACTTGTGTGCAATTGCTAGATGGATTGTCACATAACAGGACCATGAGATAGAGCCACAGCTTAGTGAGGCCTTCATCTAGCAGTGGATACATTTCTGCTGATGATGATGAACAAATGCAAGGTGACAATATTCCCACTTACAACAAAGAACACCCCTCCAATAAAACTCACCCTCGCTGAAGTCACCACCTTGCACCATGAAGTTCTTCACGATGCGGTGAAATGAGGTGCTTCGAAAATGCAAGGGTTTCCGAGTAATTTTCCCAATTCCTCTTTCACCTGAAGGAAGCATTTGCACTTTTTATGACAAAAAATCTTTAGAATTAAATGTACAACTTTTAAAAAAGTATGACTTATGACCGCAAGAACATGAACAAAAGTACTGGTTTGTCACAGCATTATCAGGAATGTAACTTAAGGGTGGCAGTTATTCTCACTGCTATGCAAAGGATGTAGCTATCATTACCTGTGCACAGACATCGGAAGTTTTCACAAGTCTTTGGGCAAACGTCAAAGAACAGCTCAAACACGATCCTCCCAGCTGTTGGCACAAAGCAAACCGCAGATGTTTAACATGCTTTTCAGATAAATAAATAACAGAGGACCCCTATGCAACTGGTTGACACCGAAATGCAGTGATATTGTTCTGAGTAGGGTGCACTTACCAGGGATTCTGTTGATGGCGATGTCAAAAAAGCACCTTGGTCTTTGCTTCACACCCATGACTGACCATGCGTCACGACCTCCAAAGACACTTGACGTCCTAAACTTCCAGAAAAAAAACCTATCCTTTACGGGATGGCACTAATGAATAAGCAACATCAGCATAATAAAAACACTTTGCGCAGATTACATTTCACAACTTAACATCTGTGCGCACGCACTTGGGCTAAACACAGGCAATAGAATCGATAGCAGGAAGTTAGCTCTGACAGTTAAGGGGAAGTAAGGGTCTTGTTCATGTGCACGCATTCTCTAACGGCAGGTCAGGCCACGAATAGACGGGACCAGCTGTTGGTAAGCGTCAGCCGTGAGGACACAGCGAGCCCAGCGAGTGCCAAACTCGACTACTATTGTGTCAACATTTACCGTGATGCTGTCCGATCCACAGAATGGTTTGACTCGATTATAATTTCCGATTTTAGTTGTAAATGTGGGATATTCAAGAGTAGAATGTGGCTCAAAATAAAAGAGTGCTCCCAGAATGCGTTCAGTTTGCAATGACTTGCATGACAGTCAACTCCCATGTGCACTCACAGAAAAACAAGTGAATCGGGTTGCTCGCTGCTAGAATTAACTCAGCTGCACTGTCCTTTCGAGCTTGACCACATAATCCTTAAGCATAGCGTGAAATGGTGTGTACAAAAGAAAAAATATCGTTTGAAATGTTGTGTTGTGTTTAGTAAGACGGAATGACAAGCCGTACCTATGTGTGAAGCTTGAAGGGGCCACACTGTCAGAAACTGTTCATCTTGGATGTATTTTGGCAGCACTGTGGTATCTCTAGAATACAAGGATGGAGAAGCTTTAATAAACGTATTTTCTACAAGATGAAGAACTTCAAGCTGTGGAGAAACGAGTGACAAGAGCTGAGAAACGAAGGTCAGTTCACAGTTAGTCTGTGGAGCTTGAAGGCAAATGCAGTTTTTCTTCAAAATAATATACATTATATAAGCGTTTCATTCCCCCACAAACTTTGACTGTATATATTTGGAAGATATTTTTCTTAAATTATTGAGTGAAAAACATTTATTTACTTTCAAAAATTTGACTACTTTAAGATACATTTTTCCACGACAAAAGCCTTTCTACAAGACATGTATAAGGATGAAAAAGCATTGTATAGTGCATATTTTCTCATGTAATAAAGGGAAGTTAAATTAAATATTATGAATTTTTTCTTCCCAAAAACACGTTTTGCAACTATGAAACGTTCTGTGCAAAGTTCACTCCCAATAACGAACCGTGCCCTCCACCAATTCAGTATCGTAAACATGTCCCTTCACATATCCAATTAGCTCATGTAAACATTAATTTATCAGTAAAGAAAACGATACGCCGTACTAGAAATCAAAACTGTTTATCTGGTAAAGCATCATGGTCCTCAATCGTAGGCTCTTTAACACAAAACAATGCCCAGGATGGTCGAGTCACATCACCACCATCACTATCAATTCTTCAAAGTGAAGACAATTATAATTCAATAAGAGAAGCGGGCCAGTCTGCAGCATTTGATGCAATCAGTGGACCTAATGTCCACCCTTCACGAATGTTACAACTCAAGAGACCCCGGCATGTGACTGTGGAGTGACTCCCCCGCCCACCCTTTCCCAGCCCCCTCCGCCAGGACCACAAACTCACCACTCCCAACACAAACTGTCAACAGATTCGTCAGATGCTTTAACGCGATATATAAAAGGCGACGTTTCTGATAATTGCAAGAGATATGCAGTGAATTATAGCCGGAGACCATTATTCTACGGGCCCTGATAAACATGGAATTGTGAGAACGTTTCCAGACGGACGACAGTCTTACATTGACCGGTGGTCAAGTTAAGACTGTTGACTCGTTACAGCAGCAGTGGACAACTGTGCCGAGTTTTAGCAACAAGACGAAACCCCCCGCGCGCCCACTGTACAAAAGTGAAGGCCCAAAACCACTGCCGCCTTTTTCTTTTACCTCCGTCCGAACACTCGGCGCGCCTTCCGGCCCCGCCGACCTGCGCCCCGTCAAATTCACGACGAGACAGCCGAGCTGGCTGACGGCAACCACCGCCGGTTTATTGGGAGCAAGCGAGCGAGCGATCAATCGATCGACCGAGCACGACGGCGAATTTGCCACGACCCGAGGCGGCCCAGTGATGGCCTCGCAACGACCACGGGGAGGGGCGAGAGGAGCCGTGACCCCGCGGTGACCCCCCCCCTCCCCGGAAATCGCGCGACACCGGAAACCGTCTACGCGTGTGACGTCACCTACCGTTTTTTTTTTCATATATTGAAATATATAATATCTGCTTATTGTGAAGTGAGATCATAACATGGGATTATTTCCTGGGCGATTGTAACGTGGATTTTAAAATAAAATATCAGTTTTGCTCGGTCATGTCCGCGCTGCTGACGGCAGCGTTACTAGGCGCTTTTAATTTTCTAGAGCGCACACGCGCGCCTCGCTTCGATTGGCCCGCGAGTGTTACGCGCCCAAGAGCTGTATGGAATGCAATTGGCGATTACGTCATCGCCCGCCTTTGGGGGGGGGGTCAAGGGGGGGGGGGACTCCGCGCGTCTACCGACGCACGGCTTGAAACCGTGGGGAACCATCTTTGTAGAGGAACCGAAGGTGTGTACAGTACTGCATTTAGTATCACTTTTTTTTACACTCAACTGAAGAAAACTTTTTTTTACAGTCAACAGTCTTCATTCGATGACCTCTGCAGTGTACGACTTGTGTTGGGTCATCCAGAACAGACCGCACGACGTATGAACACAACGACGCCAACGTGCCCGATCCACAAATAATACACCGACAGCGACGCACTTCTCCAGCGCTCTGCGCTCGGACCACCTTCAATTAATTTGTGAGGCTTTGCGGTTTGTTGCTCGGCGTCCACAATCGGCCCGCACGAAAATGAGGCGCCCTTAACGCTTAACGTAAAGGACTTTCGCACGGTTGCCCCCCTCACGTAAGATGGCCGAACGGAGGAGGGCTCTAACGAAACGAACCGATCGGCCGGCTTGCAGCCTGCCTGGCCACATAATAATAATAAACACGTGCCGCTTGGTACCACCACTGTCCCTGGGAGTGTTGCTTGCTGGTGCCTGGATGGAACAAGTGCCGGGTGGATAACAGCCCGTCGACTAGTCGTTTACGAAACTGCGCTAAAGTGAAACGTGCGGTGGAACTGCTCTTAAACTCTGCGCTGTCCCGTGAGGAATTAACAACGTTTTAAAAGGTAGATGTGATGTCGTTAGCGTGTGTGTACACGTGTGTGTATGTATGTGTGGCTAAAGCACGGCAAGTTGGCACAGTAAGGGGGCACAGGTGGTGTATCAGCCACTCGTCTCGGTCATCTCAGGCAGTCGACCCGTGGCACCTGCTGGGTCTGCCCCGTGACCTCCTGCCAGCGGGCGTTCGACACTCCACGTGGCCTCAAGGTGCACATGGCCTGGCACAAGCGTAGTTGTTGTCAGTGTGTGTTGTGTCGCGGGTTAGCGCGGTGCGCTGCGAACCTGGACACCCCCGGGTTCCATTCCCGCTGACGGCCACCAGCGGTGGCGATTATCTGACCCGGTTCTGGGCCTCCCCCTAGGTCGACTCGGTTTCAAATGATTACCTGGTGCGGCGTGTCGTAAACATCGCCACTTGGGGAGACAAAGGCGGCCGGGCGTGCTGCTGGCCCCCCACCTCCTCGTGTACCGTGCCGGCCTTCACTTGTGCTCGCTAACAGCAGCACGTTTCCCCGACCCCAACAGTCTTGTTAGGGGCTGTACGGGGGAGGATCGTTATCTTGGTGTTGCGTTCTGAACGTGCGCTTGTTACCTACATGCAGGGCGATTGCCCGTCGCCGCTGGTTTATTTTTTGTGTAAGAGACTTTGCGAAGGTGCATAACAGTTACAGGAAATCATTGATGTTGGTTGGTTGACTGCCGTGATACTCCGAAACCTTACTTGCTGTACTTCCTCCTACAAGGGCCACTTTTTTCTGTCCAGAAAACGGCATTCTTAAAGGCAATCGTATGACGCGTTCTTTCACGAACACTATAATTGTTCTAGATTTAATTCTAGATTTAAAGCTTTCGTGACTGCTAGGATCCATACTCTTTGGTTCTATTGGGTAAAGTCACGTAGGTGAAAATTAAATAACAAAAAAATTAACAAAAAATCACGACGTTTCGGCCACAACACAAGCGGCCTTCATCAGGTGAAGGGACGAGACTGTCTGGATGACAGCGCTGGAGTGGAAGAAGCCACGCTTAGATCACGACCTTTAAGCTGTGAGAAGAAACAAAGCGCCTTGACAAAGGAATTAGCATATAATTTAGCATTGAAATGGCTCATTGAAATAGCTAAGTTAAAGTATACACATCCGCAGAGGTACCCCTTGACAAAGGAATTAGCATAGAATTTAGCATTGAAATAGCTGAGTGATTAGCTTGTAACTGGTCACAGAAATAGCTATGTTAAAGTCAGAGCATATACATTCACCGAGGCACCTAGTACTCATCAAACAGGAGAATTTAGCGAAACACAACCACGCTCAGACAGCGGACCTTTAAACTGTGTGCGAGCAAACAAGGTGTTTTGACAAATAAATTAGCAAATGCCATTTGGCGCGGGGGGGGGGGAGTTTACCAATTGATGGTGTGAGAAGGGAATTTATAAGAGCTGCGAAAGTTTGGGGTACCACTACTTGAAAAATATACTGTACCATTGAAATTAGTTTAATGTTTAGTTCGATTTAGAACATCTTTCCAATGGTTGCTTAATTTGAAACCATCCTCTCGGTTGAAATTGTGTCTGTGTTTGTAGATCTGAATTGCTTCATGAACAAATCTCTGATAAAAGCCTATAACTATAATTCTTGACAAATTATACAGCAGTGGAGTAGACTTTACGGACCTCTGCTCTACCTCGTGACAAGATTCCTGAAGGATTAAAGGAAACTCCTTAAGACGTATGCCCATATACCTGTCAACCCCTTATCAGTGCCCTACCACATTACAGACCAATTCAGACCGTATCGGTCACCCCGTGCCCTTATAAATATCAACGCTCATCCTACAAAGGGAGAAACAGACAAATAGACAAAAACAATATTTTGCCCGTATTGAAACGGCTGTACGCCTTATGGATCTGAAAACGCAATTTCCCCGTACAAGAATACGGGGTATAAACCGTATGGGTTGACGGGTATGTAAGCCGTCTAAAGCTGTCGATGAGCTTGTGAACCCAGGGTAAATTGTTCACCGCGGCTGCAAGGGCCATGGTGGACTGGGATCACCGTGGCCACGTTTCGGGCCCTGTCGGCATTGGCGTCTTTACGCGAGTGAACCACGTGCACCACCTGCACAGGGCCCACCCACACTTTTGTTTTGTGTTTTTTGTCCGACTGTGTTTCTGAGCCCTCTATCTGTTTTATATTTTTTTCTCACTGTGTCTCTCTCTTCCCGCGTCCCTTGTCTCAATATATCTGTGTTAAGTATCTTCCGCTTCAGTGTCTGCTTCGTCGTTTTTGTGTAGTTTCTGTGATTTGCTGTCTCTCTGCATTGGTCTCTCTCTGTGTATATTCACTTGGCTTTGTGTTGGCTTTGTGTCTGTGCCTGCCTCTGTAAGTCTGTGTGTCGTAATGTCTGATTTTAAAGAAACCACTTTGATGTACTGTATTGAGACGCCTCTGTCAGTCAATATGAGTATGGAAGAATATACAGTACACATCGCCGAGGACCTATGCGATTGAGTGTTTATATCACGACTTCCGTCTTCAAGCAGCAGTGAATAAGTCAATGGCTAAAGATGACAATTCTAGCTTGCGTGTTTGTCGATGCGTTCTGATTTATTATCGAGTGGGTGTTCAGCATGGAATACGTGTGCTGGTGTGTGCTGCTGCATCACATGCCATGTAAAATACCCGGGCTTGTTGCCAACGGGATCGCAACAAACCCACGTGCTATGAAAAAATGTTCATTGCCCAAAATGTCACCTGATTAATATTTTTACTGTTAAGGCAGTGTTGTTGACGAATGTGAATAAGTTTATTTTGTAATCAGTCAGGTCCCTTCTCATTTCAGGTTTCAAGAAGGCAACCCCAAAGCATGACGTTTTGATGGCGCCCTAGTGGGATAGTGTCCTCGGAGCTTGGCTATAGAGTCTGGCCTGACATTGAAACAGTCTTCATTGTGAAAAGTACAACCATTGATGAAAGAGTCATCGCTGAAAAGAAAAACACTTTCAAAATGCTGAGCCCATTATCATAATGATCAATCGAAAAGTGTATTCATTTTGTGGTTCATAACGTTTTGTAACACAGTGCTTGAAATTTTAGGTTAATGTTGAACTGTATTTAACAGAAACCATTTGTACTGTTCATTGACTTAATAACATGGTAGGCTGCGGTCTACACCTACGATGCTGAGATTTATCTCCTGTGCTCTTGGACCCAGTAACAGCTAACAAACAAAACAGCGTGTAAGCCTAGTATTTTTACCGTTGGCCATGATGTATCGGCTGCATCCCAATTTTTTTCTGGCTCCATCGCTGCGACGATCATGTTGGTGGAGACGCTTGAGCAGCCCGGACGGAATGCCATCACCTCCAAGAACACCAACGTCGTGGAAGTTCAAGCACAGTTTAACTTTATCGGCACAGTCACTCCCTGCAGCTCCGTCTCGTCCGGGGGCTCCGTCTCGTCCGGGGGCTCCATCTCGTCCGGGCGGCGCAAGGTGGCATGGGGAGATGCTGCCGCAGATGCAGTCCTTGTCATCATCGTCATTACCAGCAGCAACGACGTTATTTATGTCACCGTCTTCGCTGTCACTGCCTCCCTTCTCTGGGGACGCGAGCCCGCTAGTGCCGCCAGACCCGATGGTGGAGCGGCTGTGGGCGTGCCACTCGGAGGAGGAGCTGCTTGAAACGTTTGGCCGGAGTCCGTCTGAACTGACCGAGCGGCACGCACTGCACGCACTGAGCGTGCTGTGCGTCCTGCGTGAGCAGCAGTGGCAGTGGTGGCCGCAGCAGCAGCGACAACAGCAAAAGCAAGAGCAACCGCGGTGGCAGCCCTTGGGTTCACTGCAGGAGCACCCGCAGTTTGGCACGATCCGCGCAATTGTCTTGCGCCGGCTGTACGAGATGGGAGATGACGACCTCGTCGGGATTCTTTCTGCCGCACTCAGGTACGGCTTGCAGGGGGTGTGGGATTAAGAGAGCACTTACAGTGAAGCCTCGATAAAACGGTTTAAGATTTTTATGATTCCCTTCTACCCCTTTCCACATCACCCGGTGATTGTATACAATGTAAGAATGCAGGGTCACGATTCCAAAATAGATTTTTGTTTGTGGAGAATTTAGCACCTTTCGTGGTTTCGGTGGACATGTGCATCCTTTGCATAAAACATATAAAAACAATACGCTTTACAACATCCGTTTTTAATTAACGTTACATTTCAACCGTATAACACGTTATATGACGTGTAACGGTTTGGAGATACATACTTAATGATGTCATCAGAAGGAGTGGAGTTGGGGAATCACATTGGAATGTTTGGGATTTTCCTGCTGCAGGCTGAAGGTGGATCACCACGACTCGCTCGTGCAGGAGCTGACGATCGAGGGCTGTCGACGCATTGACCGGTGAGGCTTGAATCTCGTTCCCAATGTTTCACATTATTTTTCTGCATGCTTCACAACATTCTTGTAACTTTATACTTCCACATTTGGCATCACACCTACATCTAAAATTTTACATTTTCTAAGGTCTTCCAAGGAAATATGCCCCCTCCCTAAATGTTAGGTGTTGTTCCCTTGTGTATTGTGGCCACTGAAACAACTACAGAGTGTGCAAAGCACAGAGAGTGACAAGAAGAGGAACACTTGTATGAGAGAACTAATGGAAGTTGGAGCCATCGCTTTAAGAAATAATGGCATGTGGTCAAGACTAATGATGGAGTGGCAGCCAAATAAGGAAAACACCTGAGAGGATATTCACTACAGAGATGGAGCAATTAAATCAGCATATGTGCAGGGGCTATATGGATTGTTTAATTGCTGAACAATGAGTGATGGTGATGGCTTAGGGAGACCATCAGCCAGCAGTGGCTTTATCATGGCTGATTCACCACTTGATTTGGCAAAATGGCTCTCGGGAGTTTGCACCGTTTGCGAAAAATGTTGACACTTGGTGACCCCCGTTTGGCTATGTGCAGGGGCAAAGACCTCTTGTTAGCTCTGCAGAAAATTTGTAGCTATTGAGTGTGCAGGTGGTAAACTGCACTGGTACCCATAGCTCAGAGGTGAAAAATTGGACAGCGGATGTAATTAAATTCCGTGCTCCAGGGCGATTGCCACCTATGCCACGCTACTGCGAAGGCTGGTAACATCGGTAGGGGGTGGGGGGCTTGGGTTGGGCGAGAAGCTCATCGTCGTGGACTGTGATAGAGACTCGTGTATCCTGCAGGCTGCCGCTATGCCAGCTGTCCAAGTTGGCGATGAGCCTCATGGATCAGCATCTGCATAGGAGCCGTGCAGCCGGGCGCATTGCTGAGCGCTTGCGGCTGGAGCTGCACAACTTGAATATTAGGTGAGCACTTGAGCGGTGCACCCTTACACGCGTATGCATGTATATGCCCACACACGTACGCACATGGGTGCACTCATACTTTGGCACATGCACCTGCATATGCACGTCCACACAGATTTAAAGTAGAAACTGGCACACGCATGCGCACATGAAGATGTACAGTACACACACACAGCCACTTTATTCCAGGGTCTCAGATATGGACAAACATTCACGCCACCATCTCTCTGAAAATCCCAGCCTTGTCTCTCATGGCACAGCAGGCTCGCCAAGCCTGCGCATCCATCCCATTTCCTCTCGCAAGCTCTCTCGATCACCACCTCTCCCTCCACCACCCTCTCCTCCATGCCCCACCTCACCACCTGTCTCACCATCGCATTAGAGTGCTGTCGAAGTTCATGCTGGCGACAACGCAAGTGGCCTCGGCGGAGCTGCGCCTTCAAATGGTGGACGCCGCAATCGAGCAGCTAGACAAACTGCAGCTGCAGGAGCCATCGATGCAATCAAGAGCGACACAGGAAGTCGACCTTGCAGTAAGGCCCACCGAGGAGATGGAGAGTGATGGCGTGGAGAACTGGAAGGTGGAGCAGCTGCGCCTTTACCGATCGCTGTTGTGGATGCTCAAATTCCTGCAGGGGTCGCATCACGCGCAACAATCGCTCCTCGACAGCATTGCCAAGCACCTGACAAACGTACGTGCATGCTTGCACACCCTAGGCATGTTATGATTCGTTGATTAAAATGTATTGTTTATTTCTAAAACAAATTTGTCCAATTGCTTTCTCCATGCTTTTTTGTACACTTCTCTACGTTTTTTCTATTGTCATTATACATGATCATGATCCATGTGTCGTTTCGTTAACAAACACAATGTCTTTTACCAATTCTAGTCCAATTTTGCTATCGAGATCATGTCATGAAACTTATTCCATTTAAATCTCTCACAGAGCAGTGCAGTCAGTCCATTGTGGTAGTGAATAGCCCATAGAAGCTGATATCACAGAACTACTTCTGAGATCCCTTCAAGTGACCTTTGGTCTGCACACTCTCCTACCACTCTGCAACGAAGAGTAATATTCATCGCATGACAGTTAAACAGATGTTTTTAATTCTTAGAGCTGCTATTAAGTACAGAACAAAATTGTATGTCATGTTTTTTTATGCAGTCATTGGTGACTAACCTGAGACTAGCAACTAAACTACACTCCAGAACCTAATTTAATGACGGGTGGCTGCCTGGGTTGTTAAGTTAGGGTTTCTCACTACAAGTGCCATTCATCTGCGCATAGCACTTTTATCACATCTTGAAAAAAAAACATTGTAACTTATCAATATTACCAGTACGTTTTCTATTTTTAAAAAAGCACAAATACATTTGAAAATAATGTGTCATTGACATGCTACTCTTACTACACATGAACAAAATTCACAATGACGTGTAAAATGTTCATGTTATTTCGGCTGTGCTTGAACGATACCGGCTGAGTGCAGCTGCTGCCGGTGATGAATATAGCGAAGGTGTGCACGGTGCTGCGCCACCTGCGGGGCCTGTCCTACAACAGCACCTCCTTCAATATGGCGGCGCGCGAGCGCTTTCAGAAGCTGCTCCCCCCGCACAGCTGGTGCGACGACGGCCAAAAGAGCCATGGGGCCGACGAGACGCAGGTTCTGCAGGAGCTGGATGAGGAGTCCCGGGGAGAAGACACCGAGATCATGATGGGCATCTGGGCCGACCCGATGGCGCACCCGCAGTCCGCACTGCGCGTCTTCACCGTCTACGGGCCGCTCGCCGGGCCGGACATCCGCAGGAGGTCAGCGCAGGAACTGTTAAAATATATATAATAATCTAAGTCGTGCACACGTGTGGATTCTGAATTGCGTTCTCACGTGTTGTCCTTGAGAGTATTCTCTTAGTATGGAAGGCGACTAATATAAAGCATTTTCATATTCATGAATAGTCAAACTTAGCACTGGTTTGTCTCCCAAGTTTGGGCAATTCTTTAATCAGTTTGGCTTGTAGGGTCCATTATAAATTGTGTTTTTTATTATTACCAAGAAATTGCACTGTTATCTTACTCCTTTTCGCTCCTTGTGGAGCATAAGGCCGCAACAAGCCCATGGCATGGCGGACGGTCTTTAGCAGCTTTCTCTGCTTCACCCCAAATTGCACTTTGTGTTCTACTAAATGCGCTTCGGTCTCTTGCCCACCCCCACCTCTGTTTGTGGCCCCGACAGCCTGGAGAAGGCCATACTGAAGCACATCGACCAGTTTTCGAAGAGTCAGTCGACGTTTTTCATGGAGGGCATAGCAGAGATGAGATGCAAGAACCCTCTTGTCATCCAGAAGTAGGTGTCACCGGTGGTGGTTCAAGCGTCGGCGTGGAAAATTTCACCCTTTGCTCCAGCGATTTTGTTTGAACGGTCCCAACTGTCGATTCAGTAATTGATTATTTTTTACGTCATGTATTTCTATCTTGTTTATAAAATCCGTTGGCCTAAATGCAACATTAGCATCGTTTATAGAGCATTATCAGTTGACTCACTAAACCAAGCCAATCCCAAAGATCTGCCATGAGCGTTGTTTTTCTATACTTAACCATGCTTGTCAGTGTGGGTTGGTAAAGCCGGCAATCCCAGAACTGGCTTCAATATCACTCGCTACCGATGTCAGCCATGGCCAGAAATTGAAGCCAAGAGATCAGGAGGAGATCTTTGTGTGCGTATGCGCGCCATGTATGTGCGCATTTGTATACACGTGTGTGTTTGTGCGTGCGTGCGTGCGTGCGCCAGAGCAATGGAGATGATGCGCCACTACCTGCCCACGTACCGCACGACTGAGCTGGTGCGCGTCACACAGGCCGCGCTGGAGCTGCGTTGTGTGGACACGGCGCTCATGCCACTGCTCGCATCACGCATCCTCGCGTGAGCACGGCGGGGGACATGGGGACGTGCCACTTACACTCACTCGTCCGCTTCTCTTTCAACGCTTTTGTTGGTCTCTTCCCCCTCCCTACCCAGTTTATTCCATTTGTGCTATCGACGTCATATCCTGAGTTGAAGAATCAATTTGTTAAATCACAGAGAGCAGTTTAACGCGTGTGTCCGAGAAATACTTGGGAATTGTTTCCTGCCTGTCGGCTTAGACTTGAGTCTCTACAATAAGACAAACAATAAGAATGTAAACATTTGCTCCATATAATTTCAGTTGAAAATAATACATTCTCACGACTCGATGTGTGTCATCCACAGTATAAAATAGATTTTAACTGATGAGTGGATGAACCATTACAAATTTACTCGCGTGGCTGCAACCTTTTACTTAACCATCACCGGACACTACTTATTGAGCGAGGTCAACTCTTCAGAAGTGAAATTGTGACTCTCTTACATCTACCCTCTTCCTCGATGTGCTCTCCTTTCCCGCTTTTATCCTACCTCCACCTCCCCTGTTCTCTTCTCTCCCTTATCTCCCCTGCCCCTCCATCTTCAATACTGTTAGTTTTATAAATACCTGAATGTGATTGTATCTCAAAACGCCACACAGATGTTTCCTTCCTCCATTCTGCCCCCCCCCCCCCCTTTTCCCAACCCCTGGCCCTCGTCTCCCTCATGCCCACCGCACAGTTTGCTGCAGAGTGCCTATGGGATGAACGAGGCGGGGAGGCTGGTTCGCCTGCTCGCGATTTTGCCGATGCCCGCGCACGCGTTCCTGGGCTCGCAGGCAGCGGCCGACATCGTCTCGTCGCGCATGGAGGCCTTGATCCCGCAGGCCAGCCTCGCGGACCTGGCCAACTTGGGCACGATGCTGGCCAAGTGGCACGCGGCGAACCGCAGGGTGCGAACCCTCGGCGCCGACAGGTGAGCAGCTCCCGGGAGGGAGTGAAGGGGCTCCGGGGTCAGGGATCGCTGGCATTTTGGCTGAGTTTGCAGCGTGAGTGACGGGTGGTATCCCTGGGCTGGATTTCTCCTGTTAGGGAAAGTGTTCATAGTGGATATCTGTTAAGACTAATGGTGCTGGAGGGGGGTTGTGTGGCCACGTCCAGCACCATATTAGCCGCCTTTCCCCAGTGTACATGTTCTTACACTGCTTTGGGTGCTCAACGAGGCTTAGTTGATTAAGGGAAGGCCAGGGACACGTTCAGGTAACATTTGCCACGAAACTAATCGTACAAAGACGAGTATCGCACACTCAATTGGTTTTTCGGAAGCCCACTGTTCTAAGGCCTTTTACATAGGGACATGCGCTGAAAGTACATAAGCACCTAATTTAATGAGTCTTTACAACCATTTCCAAGATGTCATGGACATGAATCAAATTAATGATTTCCATGACCACTGTTGATCACCGTGCATACATTATCGCCTTAGTCGGGAATCCTTTGGCTATAGATCAGGGACATTACTGTAACCTCCACCCCCGGGCATGAATTTGGCCTGCAGCGGCCATAGCTGAGCGATGTAATGGACCCCGGCTTGTCCTTGCGAATTTACTTGATGTGGACCACCCTACCCCCCACACCTTTCCCCCCTCGCCCACCCATCCCCAGCAGCCGCCTGTCGCGGCTGTTGCCGCAGCTGCGCAACATGGCGCTGTCTCGACTCGAGCAGATGGAGTCGCTGGACGCGTTCTTGGAGGAGCACCACCTCGTGAAGGGCACGTGGTTCACGGAGGCTGTGCTGGAGGAGGCCATGCATGCGCTGCACCGCCTGGCCCCGCAGGTACACCCGGGGAACCTACTGCGCTGTTGCGAGCTGCTCATCAGCACCTACTACCTGCAGCCGGAGGTGCTGGACAGCATCGCCGCCGTCGCCATGCGCAACATCAAGCAGGTGGGTAGCGGCGTCGGTGGCGCATTAATCCTCACGATCAGTTGCACAGCTCTCAAGTGTGTAGGAGTTGTAACTGCACCTGGGCAAAGAGGGGGGGAACCCCCATTTTTCTATTATGTTCGCCTGCTGTTCTCCACTGTCCGACTTACCACACAGTAACTTTTGTTTTATTTGTGCTGCCTTAAGCTCTTTATTTCTCCATTCACAGATTCACTATAAGACCTGCTACACAGTGATTCTCCTCTTTGCGCTGATGAACTACGAGCCTCCAAACGGCGAAGAGTTCTTCAACGTCTGCATCGAGCACATCACTCCACATCTGGGTCAGTCCCTGCACGAGCGGCCAAAGCATCCTCTTTGTGTTCATAAAATAACATTTATTTTTTTATATAGGTAGCACGATTCATCCATTAACGTTGATTAATATGATTTAGATTCACGTTGCATTCACTGAATGGTACGTGTAAAAGTAAAAGTTTTTTAATCCATGTTTTGTAATGGGCTGGCATTACCCCTGCAGCCACTAGAGGTGCTGCCATTTACGGCATTGTTTAAATAGATAAATACAAAATGTTCCTTGAATCGAATTGTGATGCCGAATATTGAAAATTATTAGAATCGCCAGAATGGTGAAATGTTCCAGCCTTAAGGATTTACTTGAACCCAGCCCAGGAAGAAAAGATAATTTATTGCTGAATTCAATACTTACACGCACAGACATTAAATTTTGTCTGTGTGTGTAAAAGTTTGGGAATCTCACAATTCTATACAGAATTCACCATTCCTTGCCTCCAAAGTGCTGCTTCTCAGGCATAGACAGGTACTCTCTGCCACTGCTCCCAGCCGAGGTGAATGGACACACGTGACTTGCTGCTGCTGCTTGTCGAACACGTGGCGATCTGCGTGCGTTTACGAACAGATCAGCGCAGCACGTTCCACCTGCTGCTGCTGGGATACGTCCTGTCGCTGCTCAACATCTACCCGGAGTCGCTCACGCGCACCATCTTCTCCCTGCCCTTCCTCACGCGCCTCGACCGCCACATGGAGTGTGAGGAGTTGTGCTTGTTTATTTTTGGTGATTTTGTTTGTACGCCAAACAACAATTTTTCGATGGTGCTCAAGCTCAACGGAAGACGCAGTCTAGATAAAAAACACTGTAAAGATGTTATCTTGTGGGGACTCTGCGTGCTATGATACATCGACTAATCAAGCTTAGTATACATTAGTTATGGTTTACGTAGATTATTTACAGATCATATCCCGATGATATGCTAATGTATATTTTATACTAATGGGATAGACAGTTATTTATCAAATCTCATGTGAGACTGAAGCCACAGTGATATTAAAACAACCTAATGGTACACGTTTGACAGTCATTAAGAGGGCTGGGGCAGGATGCGTCGCTAAAAGGGGTGATGGCCGGTGGTCAAGACTAACAATGGAGTGGCAGCCAAAAGAGGGAACACACTCCAGAGGAAGTGTTTTCCTCTTTGACGGCGCTGTAGGTGCTAGATGTCGTGTTGCATCACACAACCATGAGAGATGGTGATGGCTTGGGGAGCTTTGCATTCAGCACTGAATTGATCATATCTGATGAGATAATGATTTTATAAGTCTATATGTTTTATGAAGCGTCAAACTGGCATCAGGCAATCTGTGATGCACAGGCTAGGCTTGTATCAACAAGAGTTTATTCTTGGGCTGTGCCTCGCTGTTCCTTTACCCGTCGCTTATGGTCTCATGTCTGCATTCACCCCCACCTCCCAAAAACCCCGACAACCACGACCCCCGTCCCGGCACGGCCAGTGGTGCCGGAGAACCTGCAGCTTACCCTACAGGAGCGACTCATGGAGCTGAATCGCAACGTGTGCCTTGAGGCGCCGGAGTTCCGGGTGCCCTGGTTCCATGAGCGCCACTGCCAGCAGTCGCTTACGAAAGGTATCGCCAAGAACCCCCCCCACTTTAAAATCGTTTGTTCTCCGACACTCACATTCTTGTTGTCCCTCACCCCCAGTGCCTTCCATTTCTATCACATCACCATCACCAGGGTTTAATTTCAGCCGGGTCTGTCTGGGTCAATGGCCTGCAAAATATGTCAGCAACATGCACACCACATCCAGTATAACTCACTGTGGCTGTGTCTACTAGGTACATGTCTTCTTCAGTCTACCAGGGACCTGGAAAATATTCAGTGAAAATTTAAGCCCTGACCACCACTGTCTGCTTATTGAGTAGTCTGTTAACATTTGGGGGTGGTACAAAATGTTCTGAGCCTAACACACATACAAAGTACGTACACTAATAAGAAACACATGTTTTCATCATCGTCTCCCTCTTATGAAATGGCAGTGATAAAAGTGGTTCATAGTAGTGGTCACGACCCTGCCTTCAACCCTAACCCTGCCCTTATCCCTAACCTTGCCTTGACCCCTAACCCTGCCCTAACCCTGCCCGAACTCCCTAACCCTGAACTTATCCCTGCTGTAAAAACGCTAACGGTGCCTGTGTTCCCCTCCCCCGCAGAGCGCAGCTCCACGTACCCAGTGAAACGTCAGATCTACAGTATCCTGTGTGAGGTGCTGGGTGGCATCAGCTTTGCCAAGCTCTCTGCCATTACGCCGTACTACCACGTCGTCGGTGCGTGCAGCCTCCTCGTCGTGAGCGTCGCAATGGCGAGCTCCCGGCCACGTTCGTTCGAGTCATTCCGTGGAATAGCAGAGTCTAGATTTGAAAGAAAACCCAACGGAAAAAGCAATAGGATTACCTCATTCTAATGAACCACTTACGGACCTGGTAGAAAGTTCCCTATAACAGGGTATTCACTGGAACAGGTTTAATGACATTTTGAACTGGGCCTTTGAAGAAGCACATGAGACCATTAATACATTTCCACGTATGTGTACATTTGTATGTGTACAGGTCTGCCCGTCATTCAAAAGGTAAACAGTACATACACACAGGTACATGCATACTGCATCGTACACTGTAAAAAACAGCGATAATTAGGAATGTTTGGCAGCTCATACGGTCATTGTGAGGTTGCTGACATAACACGATCGCTGTGTGGAATTATAAATCCACACGAAAATGTGTTATTGCACATACACTCGTTATTAATTGGGTATCATTATAAGCGTGGTTTGTATGAATAAGGTAGTATTCTATCTTGTAGATATGCGCGTAAGCCATGTGAATGAGTATGAAGCTTTGTTAATTGTGACATCACTCCAATGTTTTAACAGTCAATGTAGTGATCTTGCGTTTAACCGTTGTTTCATAGGCACAGCCTAGATGAGTCTCGACCAAAGAGCTGTTTATTTTTCGATTTAAAGCTTTCCTGACTGCAAGGATTCATCTTCTTTGGTTCTTTTGGTAAAGTCACGTAGAATGAGAATAAAATAATAAATTGATAAAATAAAATAACAATAATATTCTCACGACGTTTCGGCCACAACACAAGCGGCTTTCATCAGGTGAAGGGACGAGACTGTCTGGAGGACAGCGCTGGAGTGAAAAAGCCACGCTCAGATCACGACCTTTAAGCGCCTCTACGGAGAGGGATTCCACACAACCTTAAGATCATTCAACAGACTCCGGGATAAGAAGGCTCAACTAATCGAGTCTCTCACCTTTCTGAAGAGATGCCGCGACTCTAAGCTTAAAGGTCGTGATCTGAGCGTGGCTTTTTCACTCCAGCGCTGTCCTCCAGACAGTCTAGTCCCTTCACCTGATGAAGGCCGCTTGTGTTGTGGCCGAAACGTCGTGACAATATTATTGTTATTTTATTTTATCAATTTATTATTTTATTCTCATTCTACGTGACTTTACCGAAAGAACCAAAGAAGAGCTGTTTATTTTATTGCATTGTGACTTTCTTTAACCGTGAATCCTATCAACTGCCTTTTTCATTCAATGTGATCATTCTGATTTCAATTATTTATCCAGTAAAGCCTTGGCAAACATCAAGACAATTTTTGAGTAGAGTATTACACTGGAATATTGGGCCAATTCCATTTGTGAGTGTTTTGCTTCATGTCGGAGAAAACAGAAGGTTCTGGAGAAATCCCATCACGCATATGAGGGTGTGATACTCAGTACTGCCATCTTCTGGCCACACCTCGCGACCTCACTCTTACAACGAGTGTTGGTGGTCACTCACTTGGCTCATACCTGCTTAGCATCTGGGATACAGTGAGATCGGGTGCATTCAGAGTGATTTGTTTGTAGGTGGTCTGCAGGAAGAATTAGTAAGTAGCACAGACCACAGAATTGACAAACCCATGTTGGCACAAACACAAACCCATGTTAACTCTGACACTAACTTGTATCGCAGACTTTGAGTGCATCTTAGACAAGCAAGGGCGGCCGGTGCCGTACGTGGAACGCGGCTTCATGCTGGGGCCCGAGGCCACACTGGGTCCATGGGCGTCTGGAGATGCTGGGGTCACGGGGCGTAGGGAACTGCCCCCTGGAGCACAGAGGTGAGTGCCAAGATAAAACCGGGAGGTGGGGATGTTGCGAACTAAAGGCAGCAACATTCACCACACGGGGTTACGTGAGCCCATGATATCATCAGCCATGATCCGCTGCTAGATGTAGGCCTCCCTAATCTGTCACCATCTGTAATGGTCCTGTGTTGTAACAATCCAACTTAGCACCTCCACACAAGCTCATTTCATCGTTCCACCTTCTCGGTGGATGTCTCTCAGGTGTGTTTCTTTCTTTGGCTCCCACTCCATCGTTTGTGTGTCGACCAACGGCCATCATTCCTCCTTGTAACATTTCCCACCCAAGCCAATTTTCTTAACCAATGTCTGCTAAATTGCGTACGTTCTCTAATCCATGCGCTGCTGTATCGCAATGCAATTCTAGGCTTACGTCTCTCCATGCTTATTTTCAGTGCTTGATGCATTTTTTTTGTCACCATGTCTCTGATCCGTACGTTATCTGACCGTGGTCGTAGGATCGCCGTGCAGTTTCTGGACGGCCGTGCCTTCTGTAAGGGCGAGCGCCGGCTCAAGGGCCCTGTCGTCGCAAAAATGCGGCACTTGGAGATCCTTGGTTACCGTGTCGTGCAGGTGACCACATTTCCCGGATTGACAGTTCTTAAATCGTTGCACTGGATTCCTCTTCAATTCAGGCCTGATTTGATCAATTTCTCAAATATAAATAAATCTCATCTGTCTTCTCTCAAGATCCCTCACTTCGAGCTCAACTCCATGGAGCTGTCGAGCCGGGCCGCCTGGGTCCGCTACATCAAAGAAAAGCTCTTCGCTCCGTACGAAATAGGACAAGAAGGATGGCGAGGACGAGCAAGAGAGTGACGAGACGGAGGAGAGACGGAGGAGGGACGGTGACAAGGAGATCGACTGGCAGGATTGTGTCAACATTGGTCTCCACACCGGCGATTTGGTTTTGTGTCTACCCTCCCATTCCACCCCTACCCAGTTGTGCCTAACGAGCCAATGCCATAATCAGCCCGACCTGCTTGCCTTTATTAAGAAGATTTCAAATGCCCGAGGGCTGCAATGTACTTATGTATTTATTGCTATGCGTGTCTAGTGTAGACAAGCTGTGTATATTGCTAGTCCGTTGGTACGTGTGCACACGGGTATATGCTGTATTTGCAGTTTCACATATCATGTGAATACATAAATCTACACAATGAACACGGTGAGTAATTGCACACCAAAGGTCCGATTCACGTGCTGTTGAATGCTTATTTCCATCCAGTGTTTTGCAAAAACTTTGTTTCTGCCATCAGTAATGGGCCCTTTTGTCAAAATGACAATCCAGCCCCGTGCGCACACCTACAAATTCAGCCGTCTGTACCAGTGCCAGATTAAGCTAGTGCGGGGCCTGTAGCATATGTTATAAAGGGTCCCTAAATTGAAAAAAAAAAATGTAACACGAATGTTTTACTTGCATAGTAAAGTAATTGTATTTTTTCATGTGCTATACAGCCAGATAATACGACAAATCGATTACCTTAAAAACCCAGTCGTTCATAAAAGTTGAAGGCTGTATAGTACTGTAGTAATAGAGCAAGTGCGGACTCACTGAACCGGAATTGATAGCTTGAAAGCATTTAGCGTGGGGCTAAATGCTGTGAAAGTGCAGAGCCCGTAGCATATGCTACTTTTGCAACTAGGATAATCGGCACTGCTCTGTATTCGATACGTGTAAAACATTTGTTTCTGTCCTCACATCATATGCTGCTTGGTGGCAGGTAGAGTACTGAGCTGTAGCCATACAGCATTTGGAGTTGTATAGTGCCTACATGTGTTTGCAGCTCAATATGCCTTCATTGCCCAGGGCCCCACTACCCTGTTTTAGATGATGCTACCCAGCACCTCTTGCCTCTGGTATTTGTACGACATTAGAAGGCCCAAAACCCGACAAATACAATTTAGAATAAGAAAGCATCTAAATACCACTGCTAAAAACACGATAGAAACAGTGGAATTTATTTTATAAAGGTGCAGGCAGTCAATCTGCAGTCCCTTATCTGTCCACTGCTGGATGAAGGCCTCCCCAAAGCCTTTCAGTTTTGAGGGTTGTTTGACCATACTTCCGGCTGGTCGGTGTGGGTTTCGTCATTGTAAGAGGTGCAAAAAGGAAGCTCTTGTGCCTGGACTTGCACAGGGGAAGGAAGTCGACAAGCACGGATTGTGGGAATGCCATCCATGACTTGCAGACATCTCATGGTGATGCCCATCTCACACACAAGACGGGTGTTGGATATTCGGCGGTACCACTGGTATTAGCCAGGATAACCTCTTACCATGGTTATTTTCTATTAATACTGTATATACACGTACACGTTTATACACGCGCACGGATAATTTTTAGATGTCCGTAAGAGACCTCGGGTTTATGTATAGCCTGGTTTGTAGATATTTCATCATGACATGCCATATGTATATAGTGCTTGTCAACATCCGTAGAATTATGCCTTCTAAACATTACAAAATATTTTTGTATTCTGGACAATAAACTGTATATAAGTGAAACTGGCTTCTTGGTCAACATCCATCGATTCATATAATTACAGCCCTTTCTCAAGCCACTGCTGGTTGATGAAGGCCTCCCCCCACACCATGTTGGGTCACGATGACTGAACATGCTTCACATTAGTCTGTGAAGGGTGGAAAGTGACAACCCACATTGACCAGCGTGGTCAAGTAGTGTACATGTATGGTCAAACTACCCCCATGGTTAATGCACATGGGGCGGTCTTCATCCAGCAGTGGACAAAGGGATGTATATGATTGGGTGGTCATGGTCTTCCAGTCAAAGCATTGTAAGTTAAGCGCTGTTATTATTAAGTAAGTTGCGGGGGCATATCTAGTTGTTTTCAACAGGTTCCTGAATATCAGGAGGGAGAGAGGTTAGATGTGAGATTCCAGTGGAAGCGGGCAAAGTACTAGAGGAAATTACAGGTGAGAACGAAGACAAGACTAGAAACAACCATTGGAAGATAAAGGTGTTCAACAGTCATGCCAAACGTGAGATTTAGGGACTTGTGTTTTACCAAGCGTCAATTAAGTCAAGGAGACGTAACAAAATCTATCGACTTACACTGCAGCCGCTGACAATCTGGTGACCTTTTGAGGTTCGTTCGGCAGCTTTCCTCGCTAAGCAGCTGGGAAAGCTTTGATGCCGCGTGGAATCGTGAAGAAGACGAGGAACGCCGTAGAACAGGGGGTGGGGAACGTCCGAAATCATTTGGGTCTCTGGCCCTGCCAAGGCAACCGCAGGTGGGACTCGAAATTCAATAAATCTAGGAGAGCAAACCTGGAAAAGCAAGTTGCGAGTAGCAGCAACATCGTCAATACCAGCTAACATCATCAATACCAGCTAACATCGTCAATACCGGCTAACATCATCACCGCGCCTCGCCAAAGAGAAGCAGTTCCAGCCCATCGCATTAGGGGCGAGTTAATCAAACGTTTGACCAAATAATATAACGGGCTAATTTTTAAGCTGATCATTTTGTAGGGCCCGCGAATGATGATGTTATAAATATCCAAATGGCCCTCGGCAGCAAAAAAAAAGGTTTCCCCAACCCCTGCGGCGTTATAAGACACTGGACGGAGACAACATCCGTGTGCCCGGGCAGTCGACAAGAGGCGAGTGTTGATCGTCGATCGTGGTGGACTTGAGCAAGAAGAGAGGCAGGCAGGCAGGGAGGCAGAGCGGACGCCCGGGGGCAGGAGGAGGAGGCAACCAGGCACCGACTCCGCCCCGTAGCCCAGGCCAGGGACCCCCGTCGCTTCGGGGACAGCGGAGCACAGGAACCACAGCACCCAGAGGCTCCAAACCCTGCGAGCCCCGAGACCACAGAGGCCGATATCCCTGACCGCAGACACACAGACGGGTACCAAACTCCGCTCTGAAGCCTCGGACCTCGAAATCGTCCGTCCCGTCGCCCGCTAACACCCGGGAGGATACGGCTCCTCCCGGTGACGGTGAACTCCGTCGCCTCGGGGAGGGGGTCCCTGACACACCGAAGACCCCCTTACGGACCCCGTATATACACACACACCTCCTGAGGGCCATGCTCGCGTCCCCGTCGCTCACCATGGTCGCCTGCACCAACTTCTTCCTCATCCTCGTCGCCCTGCACCCGTGCCTCGCCTCGCTCGGCGTCCTCAACATCGACGAGCTCAACGAGATGAAGTATGGCATCGAAATCCTGGCGGACCCCGTCGTCAAGGGCCAGGTGAGGCGGTGGAGTGTCCGCGCGGGAGGGTGGCCAAGCCCCCCTCGTCACCGTCGGGCCTGCGAGGCCTGAGCGGTGTGGTGTGGGGGTGGTGGTGGCCACCCTCCCCGTGCTCGGATAGAAGCGGCGGCCGGGCTTGGGAGCGAGGGGAGGCGGCAGAGGGAGGCTGGGTGGTGGTGGTGGTGGTGAGGGGGTGACCGGGGCTCACCTCACGGCGAGCCTCGGGGACGACGTTTCAATTGACTTAAGTTTGTGCGTGCCAGGACGCTGCCGGTGTCGATTGTCGGGTGTTGTTTGTGTTGATGTCGCGAGTTTATCGTTGAGTTGAGGGGGGTAAACGAGTGAGTGTGGGGTTGTTGCTGGCCGGTGAACCTGAGCGTATCGCACATGCGAGCTTGTTTTTACAACAACAACACAGCGCTGTGTATTGCAAATGCTTGTTTTTGTTGTTGTTGCTTTAAAAAAAAAACCCTGTTGTATAATGTACACGCCGTGGTGTATAAAGTCTTACGCCTTTATCGTGCCATATGTTTGTAAAACGTGTTACGATGCAGCATACAGCAATACATGGCTGAACGAAGGTCCGCTTACAGTACGGTAGTCAGATGAATGTAATTGGGCGTGTAGCTACTTAAAGAGACGATACTCTCTTTACAACGATACTCTACAAACTAAAATTGCTTAATTTCCGTACTGTCACATTCATTGGGCGTTTGGTTAAGAACATTGCTGAAGAATCCCAAGAATGCCACGCTATACTACAGTCGTGGATATCCAAATGCATTTCTCACTTGGTGAGATTTAAAAAAAGGACTGCTCTGGATAATGGATGTCACTTTTAAAAGATATTTTTTTAAAAAAAGTCTTATTATTACATTGATATCCGTTCATCACATAATCTCATGCCGTATCTACTTATTCTTTAACTGTTTACGCCGTGGGTAGCGTTAAGAGGCTGCAATTCATATCGAAAACGTCGCGTGAAACCACACCGTCTATTATATCTATGTTTTATCTTGACGTGGCACAGAGTGGTTGTCGTGCGTTTATTGGACGTGTTGATGTAACAACCTGCACGATGAGCTACCGTGTGAGCCATCCCGCCTGTGCGAGGCTCTTGATTACTCAGCTGTTCACACGTGTGCAGCTGCTTATTCGGGTATTGTATTTTCAAACAGACAGGTGGAGGGAGGCTTTACTTCAACGTTTACACTTCCCCCATCCCTCCTCCTCCGCCACATGTTAAATGAATGAATTAGATAATGCCTCGTACAGTGAGTGAGTGGTTAGGGCGCTGTGCTTATGAATCTGCCAACGCGAGTTTTAGTTCCTGGCCAAGGGCTAACATCAGTGGCAAGTGATATCAGAACCAGCACAGCCTTCAACTTAACCAATCCCCGGCACTGACCAGCATAGGTGAAGTATGTTTTTTTTACATCACAATTACCAACATGGTGTGGGAGGCCTCAGTCATTTGTTGGATTGAGAATGATTGGAATTTATTACATTTTAAAATTGTATGGTGTATACTTCATGATGTTTGCCCCAAATGGTCAACTGGTGTACAAGTCAGCTTAATTGTTAACCAAGTCAACAGCGCTGTTGATATCCATGCGTTCTTGATGTTGCTGCCCCTACCGTAATTTTACTGCAAGAATGTGGGTTGTATTTTGTAAGTTTAATCCTAACAATATATAGGGTAGTTGCTCGCACAGCACGTCTTATTTCTTTTAAACACCAGATCTCAAACTACACTCTTTGTTTTCCCATAATCCGTTTTCGTGCTTACCAGTATCCGCTTAAAAGTAATTAGGACAATTGTAAGCGCCTCACATTTCGTGATTATTAATGCAGAGCAACGGATCTTGTTTGCTTTGCATTCTATTTGGGTTTATTACAGTTCTGAGAATAACAAAAGATAATGGTTTGACTGCAGTGCCATTATCTCATACCAATGTTAATGGGAAAGTGCTTCCCCTTCCTTTATGTAAAGGATAAAAATGCCACTTGAATAGTTTTTTCTTGAAGAAGTCCTTTGACAAATCTGTTCTGCAGGTAATTTTCTGCAACATGGGAGTTCTACTCTGTAAGATCTCCAAATGTATTATTTGACCTATGACACGATGGCGATAGCACAATTGAAAAATAAACATTAAACAAATAGAATAATGTCATTTATTTTACATGTGTGGGGGTACTATCAACCACAAACAAAGAATCCTAGAAGCCGAGAAGCACAGTGTCACTTTTTTACAGCACACACGGCCACCATTATCCAGGGTACACTCCTCCTTTGCACTTCGATCTCTTGACGCTTAAAAGTTTTCTTTACTTACAGTCGAGGCCCGCGGAGACGCTGTTCGTCTCCTCCAAGTACGGACAGCAGTACGAGTGTCAGCTGCCGCCGCAGGCCGTGTTCCGCTCCACCGGCGAGAGCTCTGGTGGGGAGCATGGCTCGCTCTACCAGGGTCTCGCCATCCCCGAGCTGCTGAAGCCCATGGCCAACGTGCCGTGCCTCCTTAAGGTGCCAAATGTGCATGTGTGCATCCTTTTACGATGTGTACAGTGGGAGTAACAAGTGGTGCACCTACCTCCGCACCTCCGATTAGCACGGTTAGCTACATATGGTGCGAAAGAAGTTCAACATACATGCAGTTCATTACGAGGAGTCTGTCCCGTCACCCCCTGACAGTTTGCCTTCTGCAGTGCATGTGACCTCAAAGTGCACCTAGCCTGGCATAAGTAATGTGACTGCCACTTTGTGGCAAATTGCATTTGGTGTTGTGTATAGCCGAGGGGGAAAAGAGTAGTGTGGGTGGTTATCATGCACACCGCACCACAAACCCGGCAACCTCCGTTTTTTTTACCAGCTGTGGCTAATGTCAGTGATACCAGATCCAATCCTGTTCCTCTGCTAAGCCAACTTATTCTGGCAAGGTTAATAAAACACCAAGGTGGCTCTGTGAGGTGCTGGGCATACCACGCCCATATATGCCGTACAGACCTTAAGAGGTGCTCACTAACAGAACGGGAGTCCTTTTTCTGTTATCTTTGTGTTCTTAGGTGTTGGCTGTTGTTAGTGTCCGAAGTGTGTGCTTTGTGAGGATTGCACTTGGAAATATACTGGAGCGGTTTGTGCATTACAATATATTCTTTGCTGCCCGGATGTGATTCCTGACCACACACACAGTGCAAATTTAGATTTCCTCTTGATTAACTTAACCTCAGAATATGAGTACTGTACATTGTACTCATTTTACTGTTTAGTATTTGCTCAACATCAACACTGTGGAGACAGACACTCGGGAATAGTGATGGCACCATCATCTCCTTGTCTGTCATGACAGTCCTAATAGGAATTCCATAGCAGTTTCAAGTTGTCATAGGAGTTGAGTGCTAAATAAGGTGACCTCTTTGTGTTTGCATATGGTGTGCAACTGTACATCTCATTACGTTGGTGTGTGTGTTTTCTCTTTCTTTCCAACACTATAGACGAGGGATTGGTGGACGTATGAATTTTGCTATGGGAAGGACATTAAGCAGTACCACATGGAAGGTACAATGCTTGTGCCATGAATGAGGATTTTTAATATAACCAGCATCATCATTGTCAATCAATATTATCATTACAGTCACCGATATGGTATATGTTTTTTTAGCCTCGAGATTAATAGTGCTCAATTTAAATACAATAATGAGTTCTTGTTAAATATGAATTATGTTTCCTGTTGTCGTAATTTGGTTTCCAGTAAGGTTTTACCAACGATATTTGATGCAACTAGTTAAGAGGTGAAGTTTAATTTTGCATCCCATTGTCTTAAAGGTGTGTGTGCCCTTCTTTATAGGATCAGAGATAAAGGGTGACATTATGCACCTCGGCTTCTACGATTCGGAATTTGACTGGAGCAATGAGACTGCAAAGGTAAAGGTACCTTAGCTCGCTTCACTTAACACATTCTTATGTACACACACAAATATATATGTTAATATTCTTTGGGTCTTTCGGTAAAGTTACGTAGATAGGTCCAAATGGGCAATAAATAAATAAATAAACTTCGCCGTTTCCTTCCAATGACGATCGCTTGTGTTGTGATCGAAACGTCGTAGTTTTTGTTTATTTCATTTTTATTCATTTGAACCTATCTACGTGACTTTACCGAAATACCCAAAGAATATGAATTCCTGCAGTCACGAAAGTCAAGATATTTTTGTTAAGTGTGTTTACATATTAATAATTGTAGATGCAAGTGTTCCGTTATCCCCTGGTATGCGTGGATTTTCTCCGAGTTACTCAACTAACTTTTTATTTTACCATGTTAGGCCCACTGAGCTATGTAGCTCTTTTTCAAATGCGACCTGGCCACTCATAAGAGCCCAATGAAGTGGCTTTTCTTGTGGAAATGTATAGCAGCCAAATACTCTAAATGCAAATGAGTTATCCGTTCCCTCCCACATACCACACACTTTATTGATGGAGTTGCAAAACATCCCAATGGAGTACACTGCTGAACTAGTCTTGTTACTTACCGAGGCGTTCCATGGTTAAATGATTGGCATTATTAAATAATTGACAATATTATTACATTTAATTCAAGAGGATATACATGTGTGTAAAGTAAAAAAATAATTACACAATTTGACAGTAAGCTGTCATAGGCAGTGAACTCAAGCACGTACACCAAGCTCTTAAGGCTAATGGTTACTCCGACTATACAATCCGCAAAGCTATCACTCAAACCATGAAGAAGGACCCTCTTGAGGAGCCTTTCAGAATCAGAATCAGAATCACTTTACCCTACATTGAGGGGATCACAAAAAAGATCTCCAAAATCTTGAATAAACACGAGATCCAGGTCCGTTTCAACACATTACATAAAATCCGTGATCTGGTTCCGTCTGTAAAAGATGTGATTCCGGACATACAGTACCTGGTGTCTACAAACTAAGTTGCCTCTGTGGTAGTAGTTACATTGGAGAAACCAAACACCATGTCTCGGACCGCATTCGTGAACACAAAGCAGACCTTAAACACGGTAGGACCAACACCTCGGCCGTGGCAGATCATTGTTATAATTCAGTAGGCTCACATGACATTGACTTTTTCAAGACAGAGGTTCTTTGTAAGCCATCTGGCTACCATGAGAGATTCGTTCATGAGGCTATCCACATATACAAGCACAGAGACAATTTCAACCGAGAAGATGGATTCTGGCTTAGCAATCATTGGAAAGATTTGATAAACCATTTCAGGTCTTAATTGATTGTTCACGCTTACAGTGGCTTTCAGACAGCATACATTAATTTTTCGTCTCCCCCTCCTCTTTTCAGAACATAGATGGACTAGTCCTTCTAAATAAACTGCCAAATCGCTGCGTGTGGCGCTGACGTTTTTTATAAATAAATAAACACGCCGTTTAAAAATAAATAAATTAATGCGAACCGACAGACCTGATGACAACCGTTTGTGTTATGGTCGAAACGTCGTGAGAATTTTTATTTTTTATATATATTTTATTGTTTCCCTTCAACGTGACTTTACCGAAAGAGCTAAGAATATGAATATTAAAATGTACTTAATTAAGTACTTTAGGTGACAATCTATACATTTATTCAAAACGTAGGCTGCTTAGTTTATTACAGTTTGTTACCATCTCTTGTTGTATGCTGTGTGTGTGTGGTGTGTGTGCTTGTGGGCATGCAGGCTGGCAAGCGCCACCGCCTGAAGCGCTATCACAGCCAGCTTTATCGTAACGGCACTCAGTGTGACCTCAACGGCCGCCACCGTGAGGCTGAAGTCCGGGTAAGGAGATCCACAACCTCCTCCTATGTTACCGACTTCTCCAATTATCTATCTGTGTTCACTGTTAGATTAACAATAGGCATGTGACGATTCATTCTCCCCCTGCCCTGTAATGTGTATGCATTGCTGTGATTTGGTGTCACAATTCAATACAAGAATATATTTATTTTACTAATTTGTATAAAGGTTCCACGCTTCTGGGAGGCTCAACCAGGAGACATGGTTAGTTCATCGGCCCAGCCTACTTTTTATTAGCCACGTCCACTCAACAGCTAGCCCTGCCCACACTGTGGTCTTAACCAATTTAATTGCACATAGCTGAAACCCAGATTCGTATCCAGATTCTCAGTCATGTCGGCTGAGTCCTCTGAATGCTGAGACACCCGGTCACCTCTCTCCGGATTCGCTTGTATAAATATTGCTCTCCTGCCGACCCCTCCGCATCAGTTTGTGTGCGAGGAGGGCGGCTCGGGCGACTACCTGTCGCGGGTGGACGAGCCGCAGTCGTGCATGTACGTGCTGACGGTGCACACAGTACGGCTGTGTGCCCACCCGGACATGCGCATCCCCACGAGATCCAACCCCCAGCCCATCCGCTGCCAGCCCAGCCTCACCCCCAAGGAGTATGAAGAATATTTTCGCACGCGTGTCTGTGAGTTTCCTTGCTCACTTAATCACTCGCTCGCTTATTAACTCGGTCACTGATTTGCTCACTCACTTGCTCGCAACACTCGCACGATCGCTTACTCCATCACTCACAAGATCACTCGCCTTATCATTCACTCGCTCCAGTACATATTGTCGTGAGCACGTGGTGATAATTTAATTTAAGAAAAAGTGTAAACTATTTGAGAAAATGAGTAGGAAGTCTAAAGTTAAAAAGTGTTATTTTAGTCTCAGCACCAGGAACAGGAAAACAGGAGGTATGGTAGTCTGCATGGTATAATGTGCAGTGATCACATATGTAGGTGATTTGTCCTCATTAAGCTTAGCGCAGCAGTGGCAATTACACTTGAAAGTAACCACGTACAAACAACAATGCCACTTCACCGTTAAAAATCAAGAGTTGTAACTTTGAGCGATTGAGCAGTAAACCTCTGCCTTACGAAATATCCAGTAATTCTGGTAATCACCTATGTTGTTTCCAACTGAGTTTGAGCTCATTTTGCATTAAATTGTGTCTTCTCTTGCATTTGCGTTCTGGCCGGCGCCTTGGTGAGCAGCGGCCACACAGAAGAAAGTGGACCGCATGGCGCAAGAGCTTCGCTCGCTTGACCACTTATTGGGGCAGGAAGAGGAAAATGCCCACGAGGAGAAGGATACCTCTACTTTCTCCAACTCCAGGGGGAGCCCCCAGCAGGAGGTGGAGGAGGGGGCGACGGTACCTGGTGGAGAGGCAGATGCCGGAGGAGCAGGTGAGACATCCCGTCCCTTTCCCATTGGTGTCTTTCTTGTGCCTTCACTGTGTAATTTACACACAAACTGTATAATCAGGGCCTATGGCCACATCTGGAATTTGCGTGATCTCGTCAGCTCTCGGAAGAATTGAGCCTGTATAGTTCTTCGATGGTCAACCACCATGTTATGATGGGTCTATGTGGTGGGCAGCAGAGGGCTGCCCACCACTGTTTCTATGCTCCCACATCTGTGATACCATTTTTCACCAACCCACATTGATTCGTGTGAAGAAACGTGGTTAAATAACCCCCACAACACACACGGCATTGGAAGGCTATCATCCAAAAGTGGATTTATGATAATCCTTGAGATGTACATGATATTTCCAGGAGAAATCCACTGTGAATCACACTCGTGGCAAAGTAAAAAGCGTTTACAGCATTCACGAAATTATCAACTGATATTTTCCTGAATACTTACCAGGGTGGATGCTTCTGTCACTTTTGTATAATAGGTCCTGGGAAATAATCATAAGAATTCATGCAACTGATTTGACCAAACGTTCACGTAAAACTCGGTTAAAATTACATTTGCTAAACATTGTCATGTTATGACCCATGTTAATGAGGTTTAGCAGTTGTATTTTATAATGTAAAACTTACATTATCTCGTGTAAAAAGGACTTCTTATTTAAGACTGGTGGTTTAAACTTTTATGAATGAGGTATTCCAAGTACAGACCGCTTGCATTTTTCTGCAGTGAGCATTATTAAAGCTGCATTTGTTAAATATTACACGATAAGTACACAAGGCCGAGGTTAAAAAAAAGCCAAAATAAACAGTGGTCAAGTCATCGTGACCTTTTACCAACACTGTCCTCGAATGTTTAGTTTGTTTTGCCTCCTTGGTGCATTGTCAGCGTAGCACAGCGATGAGCATGAAAGTTTATATTTCATACCGATACGTATGTTTGTGTCGTATAGCTCTCTGATGGGTTTTCAAGTTATAGACCGTGTTATTCGATGTTATGTCCAGCGCGATGCTGTACATGCTGGCTGCTTCTTTATGCAATGAAGATGCTCTCACGTGGAGTGAAATGTCAGACAGCATGCAGACCAATACGCGGTACAACGAGAAAACACATCGGAAAGCTATAGCTCGTTTTATGTTTTACGTTTTACGTTTGAGCATTCCAATGGTGCCACGATGATGTTATATTACTCCTCTTCGCTGTTGTTTCCTGCAGACGGGGACCAACATGAGGCCGTAGAAGAAGAGCAGACAAAGGGAGAGACCAATGCCCTCAAGGATGGATCTTCTCCGCATCAGGAGGTGGATTGTGGCATCAGCTTTTGGCAGCTTATACTAATAACACGTTTTACCATTTGTCAATTCACTGCTGGATGAGGGCCTCCCCACGCTGCGTTAGTCATGGAGGTTGTTTAATCGTACTTCGCCCGACTGGTCGGTATGGTTTCGTGAAGGGGAGAAGTCTAGGACCAGTTCAGATATCACTTGTCACTGATGTTGGACGTGGCTTGGAATTGAACTCTATTTATAATGCAGTGCACTAACCACTGCACCACGACTCGCCCTGTGTATGAGTCTCTTCAAGGTTTTATTCTGTCTCATAATTCAGGGATGTTCTGTTCCATGTACATGTCTACAAGATGTGGCTCAGAAACTGCTGAAGCAGTAGATTCAACTATCTTTAAAAAGTGTAAATATCTACTTTCATCATCAACTCCATGCCAATATCGCCCTAAATGAAGTCGGCATCAGTGCACATTACAACAGAATGGGAACGGTACGGGGGACATGGAGCAACAGGAATAAAAAAAAGAAACCCGTCACGACCTCAGCGGCTAACACAGACTGAGCAAAGTAAATTGCAGCCAGGTGTGCCATCATTTCACATGTGGATGTTAACGACCACCTCCCTTAGTGAAGTACTTTGTTGAATCCTTGACGAATGCTCAGGGTTACGGCACGGCCTGCCCATGTAACACGGTGCGTGTGAGAAAAAAACGCATGAATGGTGATTAAGTGCAGTCTTTTCCTACCCTGTTTCCTCATCTACCTGACTCTCCATCCCCTTTCTATGTTTCCCCATATTCCCACTATTTCCCTGTTTAATTGTGCTCCTGGCTTTGCTTCTCCATTTGCCCCCCACTCTCCAGGTGGAGATAGTGACACTGCGGTCTGTGCAGGATGCCCTCAAGAGGACGTTTGGAGAAGATGTCCTGGAACAGCCAGGTGTGGTATTGGGAGGATAGCCTCACAGCATACATAACCAAAACAACCAGACATCTCGTGTAGCTGCACACCTAGGCTTTGCGTCCCTGACTGTATCACGAGTTTGAAGCTTTGATAACTGCAAAATAGACACTGGCGCTCTTCACCAACCTGCAGTGACCATCACCGTGAAGTACAGTATGGTCGTGGGGAAGTACCCAAAGGGGCTGTACAAGTAGTGATACCACTAGAGATTGTTTGAAAGAAAATTAGATCGCTTGTATCTCTTTTGGATATCAGATTTTATCTCGTCGACACTGATCTAGGCTGTGTCCTGGGCTGTCCAACACAAGGTTAAAAATCAGTGATGTCACAGCACTCTTGTTTATTAACACGCACCAACGGGTTAACACTTCCAAATAATCCATCTATAGTCGACTACGGTTCCCAGTCAGGACAGTTGGTAGACTGCTTGACAGGCGACGCTGAGATGGTGAAGACGGAGACGACGGTGAAGACTCCAGCAGCAGCACGACGGGATCCCACTCCAAACGACAGCCCCGAGGTCCCCTCTCGGGGGCCCCTCTTATACTGTCAGCGTGGCCTGGCTCTGCTCCCGGCCACGCCCCCTTTCTAGAACCAACCCGCGGGTTCCCGATGTGTCCTTTACGTGACCTTTCCCCTAGATCCCCCTCTGGTCTATCACCTGGCCTGCTGCTGTCAGGGCTGCTGTATGCTGCAGATCCCCTTCCCCGCCAGCAGCCAGCGCTAAGCTGCTACATAGCTAATTCTATGTCACTACATCTGTATAAATTCGTGTGAGAGTGACATGACTGGAGTATCACAATGACGCACTTAACAGTAACTTTAAAGTCTTGGTTTTCATTAACAAAGCTTAACAAATGTCGGAACAGCTCAGACACAGCCTACATACATATCGGCGAAATAACAAGCTGCTTGCATTTTGGCTTGTATTTTTAATTCAACCGCTTGCAAAATTATTGAACAGATACAACGGTGAAAGTTGAACATTGGAGTGGCATGAGAAGGGTCGTGGCACGGGATTCAGGTCGTGGATTAACGGCAGAGTCCGTGCAGCAGTAGTAACAGGGGTGGGTAGTGTGGAGGCTGAAGATGCGTGGTTTAAACACCCGTTTTGTCTGCGTGAGCACGCACACGCACACCGGGAGAGGGAGACAGACTCCCAAAGCAGTAGTAGCTGTTCACCATCCCACTCCTCCCTCTCTTATTAGACACTTCCTACATAGAATGTAATCACATCCCAGCAAAGGGATGGACAGCAGATCCTGAGCACACACACACGCCGTGCGACATTGACATGCGGCATCATCGCCTGTCACGGAGTGTGCGGTTTGTTTTAAAGTGTTGATGACGGAATGGACTTGGTGTTGCCTTGTTTTTGATGGCTTATATTTGCACGGCGTTTTCCTCCCGACAGGCGATGATGACCAACAAATGCAGTTTAAAATCATCAGGAATCAAGGGGATCTGATGAAGTTCTTGGAGGAGATGCAAGAGAAGAAAAAGAAGGTTGTTCACGCTGTCAGTCGGATTGTCATTCTCACTGTGATCTGTCGTTTTTAAAGTCTAGATATCATGGCTGGAATGTTCCCGTGATGTTAAAAAAATGTTTGCCAAAGCTTGCAATCCAAACCATGGCACTGACATTTTGTACAGTTGAGGAATTGTCTTGTTAAATTGTTGCATTTAGCAATTTTTATTTTTCTGCCACATGTTTAGAAAGCAGCAAAAGGAGACCGAGAGAGCAAAGCAGCTGCCCCCAGCAGCAGCAGCAGCGACGACAAGATGGATGTTAGCAGAGAAGGATTTACAGAAAACTCGGCCCGTGACACAGGCAGCGACAATGTGGCTGAGAACGACATTCCAAGCACACCGAGCCGAGACGGCAAGACGGAGGCCAAGAGCTCGGAGGAGGAGAGAGGCGAGGAGGAGGAGGTGGAGGAAGAAGAGGAGGATGACGATGATGTTGAGGTGCTACGGGAGTTTGTGCAGGAGCTGCGGGGCATGAACCTTCACTCCTCTGATATCCAGAATGTCAAGCAGCATCTGCAGCAGAACATAGAGGGGGAGTTTGACTCCATCTTGGAGGAGGTGAAGATGCATGATAGAGTTTATCCATTCCTCACTGTGAGCTACGACATGACATTTATTTTTGTGTAATTCAGAGTTCGAGTGCGTGTGCTGTGGTTAGCACGCTGCTCTACGAACCCGGTAACCCGAGTTCAATTCGCGCTCACGGCTAACACTAGTGACAAATATCTGAAATGGTCCTGAGCCTCCCCTTGGTCCACTCAGCCTCAAATGAGTACCTTGTGTAGTGTGTAAGCATTGCCACTGGGGAGACAAAGGTGGTCGTGCATGGTGCTGGCCACACCCCCTTGTGAACCGTACCGTCCTCATTGGTGCTTGCTAACAGCACTTGCCCCAGCAGTCTGTTTAGGCTATACAGGGAATGTTTGTCTTCATCTTGTCGCTCAGAGTGTGTGTTTCATGGGTTGTCATGACATGTTTACGTCATATTCCTTTCATGTGTGCATGTGTGTTTCGTTAATGTATGTTGAACTTATTTCGCATCGTGCGTAGCCAACCATGCTAATCCGAGGTGCTCATTTTATATCCCTTATAATTTCAAGAACATCGCGTGATTAATCTGGACGTATTGATTGGTTAAAAAAATCCTCATATGCATGACCTTGTTTAGCGGCACGTGACCCCATGCAATGGCAAAGCGTTCACACGCCAGCAGAGATGGCATCCACCCAAGAGAGGGAGCATCCACCTGGTGTGACCTCCATGTTATAATAATAAAGCAATATTCTGATTGTGGGATGCAATTTCTACATGGGCAAAATAATATCTCTTACACTTTCCGCACCTGATTAGCACGATTGGCTACGTATGGTGTGAAAGACGTTCAATATACATGTACATACATTATCTGGTGACTCTGCCTACCGGCAGGCGGAAGCAGAGCTCGAGGCGGAGGGCCTGAAGGGTGAGTTTGACAAAGAGGAAGCCACCAAGAGCTTGGCGGGCACGCTTAACCGACTAATGGAGAAGTTGGACGGCACAGGGGACTCTGGGCCCGGCCCGGACAGCGCACGGGAAAGGCGGCATACCGGCGGGACGCAGCACGTCGGCGCCGCTGCCGACACCGTGTCAGCCACCCCCGCCAGCACCGCCGCTAATCCGGCAAAGAAGGACGGTGGTGAGCGGGCCGCGCTTTTTGCCGCCGTCTTCGGCTCTGGCGCCAACAGTCGCGACTGCTGGGCGCATAACGGTCCATTGATTAAAATGGGTTCTTTAAAGCGCATGATGCGTGCGTTGTCGGTTGTACGTGTAAGAGTTGTTTTTATGTCAATACTTGAGGCAAATGTTTCCTCGAGCTTGATGGTAGCGAACGAGACAGGAACGAACACATGGAACTCGGCTTGCCCCACGTTGTGCTGTGCGGCTAGACGAGGACCTGATGGACGTGGGACGCGTGCGTGTGCGCGTGCGCCGGCTGAGATCTGGGGGCTCGGCCCAAGGCGGGGAGTCTGCCACCAGAGCGGGGGGCCACTCGGGGGACCAGGTCCGCAAGATCGAGAACGTCGTCAAGGAGCAGCTGGAGAAGGCCGGGATGCGTGCTGAGGGTGGGGCATTTTTAAGCTACACTTAACTATTTTATTTTACCCCGGGTAAGGCTTACCGAGTTATATAGCTCTTTTTCAGAAGCAACCTTACACACAAATGATAGTCCAACAAAGTGGCTTATCGTGTGCAAATGTATCGCAGCCAAATACTCTTAAGCGCACGTTTTCTAAATGTGGAGGGAAAAAACGGAGGACCCGGAGAAAAATCCGCACGATCACGGGGAGAGAGACACGCGCACTCCAAATATACAAACGTCAGGGTTGGGATTGAACCCACGATTTCCTGTATACCAGGCGAGGCAGTTGACATCTCACCACAAGGAGACACGGGGGCATCGAGGGTGGGAATACAGGGAACGCGATACGGTGACGGCCATGTGGGGCATGCTCATATAGAGACATAGGGCCAAATAAGCAAGGGGCCTCTGGGGACATGGGGGAGTGGGAATGCAGGGACGTGGAGATATAGGAACACAAGGCCATAAGGAATGGTGGTTATATGTGGATATGAATACGCAGGGGATATTGGGATGTGATATGGGTATATTCGAAATTGACAGCTCGGAGGTTTATTGGCGTTACCTCGTAGGTGTCAGCCTGGCGATCTAAATTGCTTGAAAGCTTGTACGAAACACTTCTTACACGTATGGTCCACAACGCTTTTACACGTATGGTCCACAACATCATTGTCCCAAGTATATTTTTTACTCTAAAATGATGTGTGTTTGCCTATATCTTACCAACTTGACATTATTTGGATTTACACCACTTGCTGTGCCAGAAGAGCTGTGCCAGATAAAAAATATTGTGATCTTGCATTGTGTAACAAGTCGTCAAGTTGTGACTGGTTGTACAGCACATTGATGTGCATGCTCATCTCGAAGAACGTACAGTACAACCCAAAAAGACATCGAAGGCACTATTCAATCTAGATTGAAAACTAATTTCCTCTAGATCTGCTTTTTGTGTTTAATTTGATCCTTCCCCACACCTCCGATGAGCACTGTTGGCTACGTACGGTGCGAAAGAAGTTCAACATACATACGAGGACTATAGAGCATCACTGCAAAACCATACGACAGTAGAATCGTTACGTCGTCTACTTGGCAAGTTATGGCCGTTGGTTTGTCCTGGGGTGTTGTGCTACAGGACAGCGGTAGTGTCACTGTAAGCTCGGTGCGCTACGAACCTGGCGACCCGATTTCGCTTTCCACTCGTGGCCAACACCAGTGATGATTATCTAAGCTGTTCCTGAGCCTCGCCTAGTTTGACTCAGCCTCAAGTGATTACCTGGTGCAGTGTGTAAATATTGCCACTAGCAAGACAAGGGTGGCCAGGCGCAATGCTGGCCACCTACCTCCTGTTGTGTCATGCCGATCTTCATAGGTGCTCGCTAACAGCACTTGCCCTAACAGTCTATTGAGGCTACACGGGGAAATTTTTGTCTTTGTGTTCTGCAGGGAAGATCGACGTGAAGTTGGTGTCCTCGGGAGCGCTGGGCGGGGATGACGATGACGATGGCGCGTGGCTGTCTGACGAGGACACGCGCTCTTTCAGAGACATGCTGCTCGGATTCCTGGTCAGAGCTCAACCCCCCAAACCCCTTCCTCACCTGTCCCCCCCCCCTGACTGCTGTGTTACATTTCATGAGGAATGCATGAGTGGGTCTTGAAGATTAGTTCTACTGAACTGTTTCAAATCATTTGGTTTAAAATTCAAGATGAGTACAAAAAGTACTGTCTCATGGTGGACATGACTGTCACCCAGTTTTTTTAAAAGAGATGTTCTGTTGGTGGAGGGTGGGAGCAGTGCCACACTGGTTCACGCACTGCACTACGAAACCGGCCACACCTGAGCTCGATTCCCTGCCATGGTTAACATCAGTGGTATCTGTACCAGTCCTGAGTATCCATTTTCCTGTTTCGACATCAGCACTGGGGAGACGAAGGCTACTGGTTGTGGGGCTGGCCACACCACCCCTTCGCGCACCAAAATGGCCTTGCCATTCGCCAACAGCACTTTTCCCAACAGTCTGTGATGACTACACGGGGTTTTTATTAGTTGAGTGCTCGTGTCCATACACGTGCCCACGTTTGCATGTGTAACTTGTGCGCACGTGTTCGCGCATCCTTTTATGCGTGTGCACGCACGCATATATGCTTGCGTGCAATGATGACGATGACATGTGTGTGTGTCCCGGCGTGTGTGTGCGCGTTAGACGGGCGACAGCGATGAGATGTACCGAGAGCAGCAACGGCAGCAGCAGCTCGAAGACAACTACCGCTTCATGCTGGGGGGCGATAGCGCGGCCGGGGAACACAGCGGCACACAGGGGCAGCCCGTGCTGGCAGATGGAGATGACGCCGACGCGTAGCCGGTGCCACAGGCGGCACGGCGCCACCCGTGGGAGTCGTCCGTCCATTTGTCTCTTAGTCCGCCAGCCTGCCAGCCTTCCTGCCCACTTGCCCCACCAGCCCCACCAGCCTCCTTTAAACCCTCCAACCTTGCCACCAACCCTGAACTGTGAAGGACGAGATGCAGCGAATCCGTGATTTTCTTTTTTCGCCGACGCTTTTCGGTGGAGCAAAATGTGAAGTGGGGGGTGGTGGCTGGGTTAACTGATGGAACACGTATGTGTGTGCGTGTACAGGAAACATGTCTAATTGGGGCACACAGTGGTTGGGGGGGGGGGGGGTTTACTATGTTTATGAGCTGTGATGAATCACTCAGGATTTGTAAAAGTGGCTGGCAGGGTTTCTTCATCACTGGGAGGAGCATAGCAATTGCTGTGGACTTTGAGAGCCAACTTTTATTTAAAACGATCGAGTTACGCGGAAAAGAAATGTTAACTCAGAAGAGCAACCTGGACTGAGTTTCTACCCGAGAAACCTACGGCAAAAACGAAGCCTAAATCTTCATCCCCTTCACCCGCGCACGGCCCCCCCTCGCAGCACTTCCGCCGGAGGCGACAAGAACGTTGGCGCATTTTGACGACACGAGTTGCAAGCAGCGCTGCCTAACGCCCATCAATAACCATCAAAAGTTCTTCATGAGAAATTAGCTGCAACGGTGACAAATGGCTACGATAAATGTAAATACGAGACTCGCTCATTGCTTCCAGTGTCTTGACATTGGGGTGGCCACCCGACGGAGCAGGCACTGGGGATGGAAGAGCAGTGTTTCCGATTCGGAACCTTCATGTTGGCCGAAGTGCCCCACCATTCCCAGTGACGGGCGCAAGCACCCCCCACCCCTGCCTCCCCCCCACCCCCCCCCCCCCGAGATAGCGGGAGCACTTGTGACTTTTTATAAATCTGTGCACGTCGCGGTTGGGCAGAGCGCGCTTCGGTTGTGTGCACACATTTTTTTTGGGGGGGCGTGGGGGTGGGATGGGATGGCACTAGGAGGATGTGGGAATTGGGCGGATGCTGTGTTGATAAGTTGTCCTCTCTGATTGATCTGAGAGAGATGTTCAACCAGTCACTGGCACTACGTATTCGCCTCACCGTTTGCACTTCAGCCATGGCCAATTGTGTGTCCCGTTTGCAAAGTAATATTTATTTTAGCCCATACCGCTGTTCTCAAATAAATGTTCACTTTACGAGGTTTTCCTAGCGGTCATTAAAGTGTTTTTATTTTATTTCTCAAGCCAAGTAAAAGTGTCTTCCCATTCAATCCGTCATTGGGGTGTGCTCTTTGGGCAGCTTTGGCAAGTGGTGGAAATTGCACATTTCCATGGCTCCATAAAACAACCACTCTTGACTTCTCACGGAGCTGTACTTATGTTGATGACTCCAGAAGGATGGTCTACCGAGCTGACCCCCGATCGAGATTTTAATCTCGCTCCCTTGCAATTGAGAGGTCGTGTTTTCACCACAGTACCATCCTGCCAGATAAAGGATTTTGCCTCGCATAAATTTACATCCAGCAATCGCACATCAACATACTGTTACCCAGGAAAGCCTCACAAGAGTCCGCATTGGGATGTTTGGTAATTCCGAAAATGCTCGTTTGGCTTATGAGAGGAAACCAGAGAATGCAAAGGAAAACCACGCATACAATGTGGTGACGCTAAAAGCTCAAGTTTCCATCTGCCAGTGTACCTCTGGTTACTTCGCAGCCCAAGTCTACAACGTCTGGAGACCTTAAGTCCTAACCAGGCTCAGTCCAGCGAAGCTTTTGGGAAGTGACTAAGATTTGACGCATTCAGATCGATTTGGTCGTAGGCAATGAAAGTGATGAAGACTGCTTTTAATTTGAGGGCATTTTAAGGGCACGTTTCAAACTTAATTGTGGCGATGTGGTCACTCGTGACATTCCCACTATGATGGGCACATGCACAAGATACCTCGCTGTTTGTCAGATCTACGGTTCCCATTCAAGTTGACGCGATACGGGAGCCTGACACTGCACCTACCCTTTGCATCATTTCTGCATTTAGCGATGATACTCGGAGGATAGCCTGCAGCGTCGCCATTTTAACATTTACCCACTCGGCATCGGTTTCCGATAGGTTCGGGTTATGTCCCAGAATATGTATCTGGAAATATGTTGGTGAGCGTGGCTTTCAGCTGTGTTTAAATGTTCTTGAATGTGGCGACCCGAGTTCGATTTCCACTCAGGCCAACACCAGTGACAATTATCTGAACCGGTCCCGGGCCTCCCCTAGGTCGACTCAGCCTCAAATGAGTACCTGGTGCGGTGTGTAAACAACGCCACTGGGGAGACAAAGGCGGCCGGGTGTGGTGCTGGCCACCCACCCCCTCGTGTGCCGTACCGGCCTTCAAAGGTGCTCGCTAACAGCACTTGCCCCAAAAGTGTGTTAAGGCTATACGGAGGGTCTTTGCGTGTGAGTGTGTGTGAATGGGTCATCTACAGAGTGGGGTGTGAGAGTGAGTCTGCACATGCTCATGAGTGAATGTGAGTATGATTCCGTACGCGAGTGTGTTTGGGTGCGAGAGTGAGTGCTTGGGTGGATGTGAATGGTTGAGTCTCTCAAATAGTTGAGTGTGTGCGTGGTTTTGGTGTCCTCGTGAATGGGGGTTGTCATTGAGTGAGCAAGCGGTTTCGTGTGCGAGTGATGGAGTGTGTGCGAGTGGTTGGATGCGTGAGTGGTGGAGTGTGTGAGTGGTGGAGTGTGTGAGTGGTTGGATGCGTGAGTGGTGGAGTGTGTGCGAGTGGTTGGATGCGTGAGTGGTGGAGTGTGTGAGTGGTTGGATGCGTGAGTGGTGGAGTGTGTGCGAGTGGTGGAGTGTGTGCGAGTGGTTGGATGCGTGAGTGAGTGGTGGAGTGTGAGTGAGTGGTGGAGTGTGTGAGTGAGTGGTGGAGTGTGTGCGAGTGGTTGGATGCGTGAGTGAGTGGTGGAGTGTGAGTGAGTGGTTGGATGCGTGAGTGAATGAGTGGTGGAGTGTGTGAGTGAGTGGTGGAGTGTGTGCGAGTGGTGGAGTGTGGGTGAGTGGTGGAGTGTGAGTGAGTGGTGGAGTGTGTGCGAGTTGTGGAGTGTGAGTGAGTGGTGGAGTGTGAATGAGTGGTGGAGTGTGTGCGAGTGGTTGGATGCGTGAGTGAGTGGTGGAGTGTGTGCGAGTGGTTGGATGCGTGAGTGGTGGAGTGTGCGAGTGGTGGAGTGTGTGAGTTGTTGGATGCGTGAGTGGTGGAGTGTGTGCGAGTGGTTGGATGCGTGAGTGAGTGGTGGAGTGTGAGTGAGTGGTTGGATGCGTGAGTGAGTGAGTGAGTGGTGGAGTGTGTGAGTGAGTGGTGGAATGTGTGCGAGTGGTTGGATGCGTGAGTGAGTGGTGGAGTGTGCGTGAGTGGTTGGATGCGTGAGTGAGTGAGTGGTGGAGTGTGTGAGTGGTGGAGTGTGTGAGTGAGTGGTGGAGTGTGTGCGAGTGGTTGAATGCGTGATTGAGTGAGTGGGTGGTGGAGTGTGTGAGTGGGTGGTGGAGTGTGTGCGAGTGGTTGGATGCGTGAGTGAGTGGTGGAGTGTGAGTGAGTGGTTGGATGCGTGAGTGAGTGAGTGAGTGGTGGAGTGTGTGAGTGAGTGGTGGAATGTGTGCGAGTGGTTGGATGTGTGAGTGAGTGGTGGAGTGTGAGTGAGTGGTTGGATGCGTGAGTGAGTGAGTGGTGGAGTGTGTGAGTGGTGGAGTGTGTGAGTGAGTGGTGGAGTGTGTGCGAGTGGTTGAATGCGTGATTGAGTGAGTGGGTGGTGGAGTGTGTGAGTGGGTGGTGGAGTGTGTGCGAGTGGTTGGATGCGTGAGTGAGTGGTGGAGTGTGTGAGTGAGTGGTGGAGTGTGGGGGTGTTTCTGTGCGTGTGGTCTGCGGTAACACGACCCAGGGGCACGTGGTGTGTGCGGCACTCGGAATAACCTCGCGTCATCAGAATCGGGGTGAAGTCTGTGAAGATCGCCAAGCTCACTCTTTTCGAGTGTTGTTAGCGAGCACCTATTACGGCACAGGGTGGAGTGGTGTATCCAGTACCACGCTCGGCCGCCTTTGTCTCCCCAGTACTGATATACAACATAATGTACTATATACTCATTTAAGGCTGAGCCGACCTCAGATAGTTCCTGGTTTAGAGTGAGATATTAATGATATCTGCGGTGGTAAATTAAACCCAGCTCGTATGCTTACCGCTCCTGTAAAATAGTCCATGGGCCAGAGCAAAACTTGGTATCACTTAAGGTTTCAAAACATTACTTGTGCCGATGTTATTTATTTATACAGCTAATACCAGTGAATTACTTGCTATCCCACTCATGCCAAAGGGTTGCCTCTTAATTCGCTGTTATTGGCCACATCAATAAATTCAGAACCGCGGAAAGCGATGCCTCGTTAGGTGGTGTGCCGGCAAAGTGAGAAGGGGCCACCCATAAATGACGTCACGCGATTTTGGATGATTTTTGACCCCCCCCCCCCCCCCCCCCCACGTCATACGGCGTCACAAAAAGTCAGACCCCCCCTAAAATATGACGTCACAAAGCTCTGCCCCCCCCCCAAACCATTTTTTCCATTTTGAAAATAAAACATGCTTCAAATCGCTTTAAACTTTTGTCATTGTAGTGCGTGTTTAATGTGGCGCTGCACTCTGATGTTGTAGGAGTGTTGTTATAACAATTCTATATTTATTTAAAGTTGCGCATTTTGATGTGACGTCACATTTCTCACCCCCCCCCCCTCCTCGTCACACATAGTCACAAATGTCTGACCGACCCCCCCCCCCCCCCCCCAAGGTGCGTGACGTCATTTATGGACGGCCCCGAATATCCGATCCGGGCCCTTGGACTAAACGGAGAGGCGTCGTGGTCAGTGAATCGCGTGGCTAGGACGGGGGGGGGGGTCTCCTCCACTTGACCCCCCCCCCCACCCTCCGGACGCGTTCCGCATCAGCGCAGCAGCGTGAAGTTTACGCGCGTCCCCTGCGTCGCCACGAGTAACGCGCGCGTGTGGTTCGCTAGGGCGGGGAGAGTCCTGCTTGCCCAGACTCTGGGTGTCCAGCATTCACAAAAGATAAAGATCCCCCGTGTAGCCTTAACAGACTGCAGGGGCAAGTGCTGTTAGCGAGCACCTATCAACGTCGGCACGGCACAGCGCGCTAACCGCCACACTACCGCTCCCCACATTGCACACACACAGACACGTACATATGAGTACTACTGGTGCACGCGTACGTAACACCGGTACATACACACATACACACGCACACATACACACGCACACATACACACGCACACGTACACACACATACACAAATACACACGCACACATACACGCGCACACATACACACGCACACAAGGGTGAGAGTCTATTCAGATAGGTGAGTTTCTATTCAGCCAGGTTAACCTATTCTTTAGGTCTTTCGGTAAAGTCACGTAGATATGTTCAAAGAAAATAACAAAATACTACGACGTTTCGATCGCACCACAAGCGTTCGTTATCCTGATCATCCTGATGACGAACGTTTGTGTTGCGATCGAAACGTCGTAGTTTTTTGTTATTTTCTTTGAACATATCTACGTGGCTTGACCGAAAGAGCCAAATAATATGAATTCCTGCAGTCACGAAAGCTTTAAATCAAGAATTAGACTTTAAAGTCTGTTCGGACAGGTGAGTTTTTCTTCAGATAGGTGAGGGTATGTTCAGACAGGTGAGCGAGTCAGTTTCATAATGGGTTGAGTTTCTTTTTAGACATGTGAGTCCGTACATGCGACAGAATATTCACACAGATGAAAGCGTTCATAAAGGCGTCTATTCAGACATGTGCGACTTGTGAGAGTATTAACACGAGTCTGTTCACGAAGTGTGAGTGTTTATTCGGACTGTGGAATTCCTCATGCCCGCAGCAAGAAAACCAGGCTCTCCATACGATGCATCGCTCGTTTGTCTAATCATTCGGATGACACGCGAATGATGTGCCAATGTCACACGTGGGCTCACGGAGCGGACTCAGTTGCCAACACGAGACATAAACTCAACGGATAAACAATGCAAAGGACACGGTAACAAAGGGCTCGAAAATAAACGTTTCTCAGTGGAGTCGGGACGATTCGTCGGATCCTCTGGTCGAGTATGATGGGGGTGTCGGTGGGGGGGATGGGGGGTAATGGGGGTATCAGTGGGGGAGAGTGATGGGGTTATCAGGGGGGGGGGGGTGATGGGGATATCGGGAGGTTGGGGGTGATGGTAAAAATATTACCAGGTTGTAAAGGCAACGACTCAATGTATGGTATCTTTATACTATTACTCAGAACCGGTCGCGAGCTTCGCCTGCTTCCTATCGAGTTTTAGCGTCACACTCAATGGAAGGCGAATTACTCGGTTCACCGATACCGGGGATCGTGCAATGTGCGAAGTTTTTTAGCGCGACATCTGAGAGCCGAGAGGAACCTGACTCTGACTCTACCCAAATGAGTGAAACCAAATCAACCTCAGGGGCGTCAATTTTGGGGACCCCATACTTTTCTTTTTTTTTAAATTGCGTTCGGATTATTTTTGTTAGTTGCTCATTTGCGCAAATAGACTCAACTGTCCGCTTTAGCCAAATGTCAACATTCTTAACCCCTTCCGGAACATGACTTCATCATTAGAACTGAGATCACTCGTACTAAAAGCGCTTCTGGAATAACCGCGCGTCTTGGTCTTTGCTCCGTTTCCACCACAGAGGGGGCCCACAACAACAGCGAGCCGCGTCTATATCGGGACGCGCGCGACACCCAGTATTTGAACCTCCTGACATCACCGTTGTTGGCAAGGCCTCGACAGCCTCACCAACCCCACCGAACAACTGCACCCTTCCCCGACGCCAACGTCACACAGCAGCCCGCGTCGCCATTCGTACAGATATCAACCAAACCTTGTCAATCACCCATTGGGACATCTACAAATTCACCTACCCATAAAGTCACCCATCAACTGATCCACAATGTTACACGCAATAATTTACTCGTCAAGCCATCGTATCGAGTCACTTCATCAAGTCACCCATCAAGCCATCCATTAAGCCACTCGCGTGCCCAGAGAGCAACTCAGCCAGGACGAGACGTCCAAAAAGACGCCCATAACGTCACGCACCAAGTCACCCACGTGCCCAGACAACAACCCAACCAGCTCGAGTCACCCACCATGTGACCCAGCGATCCAGATACCAAGTCAACTCACCCACCGTCACTCAAACCAACTCAACTCACACACCAACTCAGTCACTCACCCATTCGCCCGCCACCCACTCATCAGTCGGCCCACCCACACGCCCAACAACCGAGTCCCTCACCCAGCCACCAAACCCCCACTGCAACAACTTCCCCATCAACTCACCCACAAACCACGACACTCACCCACCACCCACCTACCCACGCATCCATCAGCTCACCCACGTGCGCACCGGGAAGTCCGCCCACCAAACAGCTGTCGTCTCTCTCGCACAACTGTTGCTGCGCCCATCCCCTATTCCCCTATTCCCTACCCCGCTACCCCCCCCCTCGACCCCCTTCATCCGAGAATCTTCCACGCGTGGCTAATTATACACACTGGACACACACAACGCGTATATATGTACACACACGGACGCGTCTCCGCACAGAAGCAGAGCGCATGGAGAACAATTGGCATCTGCGGAAGCGATTACCTTGCAGGAGGCGTAGGTTAACATCGCGACGCGTTAGAAGCCAGAGTCGTGCACACAGAGAATAGCGGTGCCGTGTAGACGAGGTTGCTATATGCACAGGATAGAGGCAAGCCCTGAGTGTGCTTTGTCTGGTTCTGGCTACGTTTAGGAATTAGGTATTTTTGTGGCCGAGAAGTGTGGCAGTTCGTTCATCATTCCATCAGTCTGTCCGCTCATCTGTTCATCAGTGCGTCTCTTCCTACATTCGTGTAAAGTCACCTCGTCATCATAAAAGGCTTGGGGCGCATCTGACTCCTTGCCCTACCCACCCACCTACCCGATCCGTCCGTCATTCCGTCGTCCCCTGACCATCACCCTTGCGACGCCTGCACCCCCCCTACTCCTCCTCCTCTTTCCACCACCATCCACTCCCCCGCCCTTCAACACCCCCACCCAGAGTGGCCACCACTCCACTGCTAAATTTATCCTTCACCCAGAAATACTCGGGCCGCAGTAGACGCCCTCCACCCTTCCACCCGCGCCGCGATTCCTCGGGCCTCTTTCTTTTGGCCGCGCGACCCCCAGGCATCGGACGCGCATCTTTCGCGAGCGAGAGACAGAGGCAGGGAAGATCGCCGGCCGTTATGGATCCCCGCGTCGCTGCCCTGAAAAGCATGGAGGAGGAGCTGCGCGTGTACCAGACCACACTGCTGCAGGACGGATTCCGAGACCTGCTGGACGAGGGCAAGATGATCGACTGCGAACTCAAGGTGGGCGACAAGAAGCTGCCCTGTCACCGGCAGGTGCTGGCCGCGTGTAGCCCCTATTTCCGAGAGATCCTTCTGTCGGAGGAGCCGGAGGAATCGGGAAAGAAGAAGGCGACCGTGACCGCGAAGAAGGAAGTGGTACTCGACGACGTCGACCCCACGGTGCTCGAGATGATCCTGCGCTACCTCTACACGTCGGAGATCGCCATCACGGATGAAAACGTGCAGGACATCTTCGCGGTGGCCAACATGTTCCAGATCCCGTCCATCTTCACGGTGTGCGTGTCCTACCTCCAGCGGCGTCTCGGCCTCAGCAACTGCCTGGCCGTGTTCCGCCTGGGCCTCCTGCTCGACTGCCCCCGTCTCGCCGTGTCGGCTCGGGACTTCATCGCCGAGCGCTTCGGCGCGCTGTGCAAGGACGCGGACTTCCTGCAGCTGAGCGCCCAGGAGCTCATCCCCATCGTGGCGTGCGACGGTCTCAACGTGGAGAAGGAGGAAATGGTGTGGGAGGCCTTCGTGGGCTGGGTCAAGCACGACAAGGAGGAGCGCGTGAAGAGCCTCCCCGACCTCTTCGACTGCATACGATTCCGCCTCATGGCCAAGGACTTCGTGCGCGACCACGTGGAGAAGAGCGACCTCGTGAAGGCCAACCCCGATCTGCAGAAGAAGCTCAAGCTGGTGGGTCATGGGGGGGGGGGGTTATGAGTGACGGTGGGTGGAGGTGGATGATGATGATGGGTGATTGTCGGTGATGTTCGATGGTGATGATGGAGGATTGGGGAGGAGGATATCAACCCCCTCACTCACGAGCAGAGATGTAACGATCGCTCACACCAAGCCCTTCCTCATAACAATCATATATTGTTTGAAATCTATTTAAGAAAAACATGCTCAGTGGGAGTGATACCTGAACTCAGGAAATGTTAAGATCCGAGCCAGAAATTTAAACTCGTGCATTCCGCGTATTAAAGGAATCCTCTGTGAGCGTCATATCCCCTCGTCATACCCCCTCGGCTCCAGCGCCTCAATACCGTTGGAGCTAGTTAGGCGGGCAGGTAGATACTTTCTAAACTGTACGATGTTTGCAGTGATGTCCCCTCGTATGAATGGGATTTCTCCAAGATGTTCAGTGTCTACATGGGCTGCGAGGTGGCCAGGAGATAGCAGTATCTATTAATTATTTAATCTATCTTTGCGGAATCTTGAGAAATATCGTAGGGATGCCTGTATGTTGAACTTCTTTCGCACCGTATGTAGCCAACCGTAGTAATCGGTCGTGTATACTGGGTTATTTGCAAGTACCCCAGTATCCTATCACATTAAGTCAATGGAATTGACTGAACATCCAATGTAGCCTTGCTACCCATTGAGGCTTTCCTGGATAACAAAAGGCATTGTTGTCACGATTTTATATAAAAATGATTTGTAATCTATTAATAATGCCACTTGCCACGTGTTAGGAGTGGCTGTGTTTGGAACTCGGGCAGTCAGATTCATAGCGCAGTGTGCCAACCGCTGCACCACCACTCCCCTCATTGTCGTTACATCCCAAGTGTAAAAGTTTGTGTCGCGTTGATGGACAACGGGTGAAACGGTGGAAACACCCTTTAACAACCACGTAGGTGGTGCCAATCCTTCTGTGGCTCAAGTGGTGGCATTCGGCGTAGTTAATCGATGTGAACGAGAAAAGATGTTTATGCATATGAGGCAGCTGCATATAAAACAGCGTGGTGGTCGCCCATCCAAGCAATATCCAGGCTCAAATCTGCGTTGTTTTCCGAGATCTCAGGAAATCGGCCTCATTCCAGGTGATTTGGACACGGGCTTAGGAGACGCCATAGTTGGTGCCAATCCTTCTGTGGCTCACGAGGTAACACTGGGATCCAAGCGGACTGTGTAGCTCAATTTGGCCGAGGTTTGGTGACTCTGCACGACTGTAATCCAGCGCTTTAGAGGCCGAAAGTTTGTGGCTCAAGCCGAGCTGTGTGAAACTCCCAGCCCCACTGGGCTGCTTGAGAAGTAACCACGCGGTGGCAGCACAGCAAGCGGGTTTGTGAAACCGTCCGTGCAACGAGGTGGGGATTCTCCGATCACCCGTGGTCTACAATCAAATGGAGCCAAAACAGTCGGTTGCAAAAAAAAACATTTGTCAAACATCCCAATGCGTGAATGATATCATACAAGCAAAGTTAAATTTGTCCGAGCACAACTTTCTTTTTTTTAAAAATCGATCACGGAATATAATACCTCGTCACGAGCACTGCCCTAACAGAAACATGATATACAATATTCGACATTTCGGGCAATGACCCTACAACGATCAAATGCATATCATGTATTTCGTTTGAAACCCCATCCCACTCCACTCAAAAGCAGGCAGAAGAAAAACAAAATCAATCTCTCGCTTTTTTTTCTTTCTTCAGAATAAGCAACTTTTATAATGCGGTGAATGGGGGCAGTTAAGAGTCGGTATCGGGGCACGGGACACGAGGGAGGGGGCGAGGGAGGTAAATTTAGCAGCGCGCCGCTTCCCCACCAAAATAGCGACGACGCATTCCAGACGCAGCGGCGGCTGTCGATTGTGAGGGTCTGGGGGTGGCGGTGTGGCCGGGGGTGGGAGCCGGGGGAGCAGGGCAGGGGGCGAGTCCGCTGTTGGGGGCACGTACGTTGATACTTCTTTCGCACCGTACGTCAGCCGACCGCGCCAATCGGAGGTGCGGGGGAATGACAACAAATTAAACACAAACATTCATTTTCGATCTCGACGATTTCAAGGTGCCATAGCTCCAGTGGCTTCCTAATATGGGAAGGAAGAGCGTTCCAGACGGCCGCAGGAGCGCGAGATGCAGCGACCATCTTTGTTCGATGGCTCGACAATTGCCGCTGCAGTGGGGATGACCCCAGGGGGAGGGGGGAAGTGTGAAGAAGGCTCACTCTTGATTTGAAGGCTTTACTCTCTATCGACTTGAACGCATGCGGGTCGAGGGGGCAGGAGTAGAGCGAGAGGAAGGTTGTGGCGGGGTGAGGGATCACAACCGACGGTGCTGTTCCCGATTCGTGGAATTGAAGATGGACGAGATGTAAAAATAACTTCCAGAATGATGATGCTCATCACGATTCCGATACCAGTGATGAATGACGATCATCGCGATGATGACGTGAAAATGATGGAAGATGCAAAAGGCGACCACGACGATGCGAATGAACGCCACGATTCCTTGATAATTGGATTGGGTGATGACGACGACGACGATTTAATTACTGTATCTGTACTGAAAATGATAACATTCAAATTGTGACGATGTCAGTGACGACAATGCTGCAACCAATGGCGACGATGATGTTGGGGAGATGATAGCAGTCAGTGTCGCATTATCCTCGTAGCAAAAGTAGCTACACATGTAGCAAAAGTAGCTACATATGTAGCAAAAGTAGCTACACATGTAGCAAAAGTAGCTACACATGTAGCAAAAGTAGCTACACATGTAGCAAAAGTAGCTACACATGTAGCAAAAGTAGCTACACATGTAGCAAAAGTAGCTACATATGTAGCAAAAGTAGCTACACATGAAGCAAAAGTAGCTACACATGTAGCAAAAGTAGCTACACATGTAGCAAAAGCAGCTACACATGTAGCAAAAGTAGCTACACATGTAGCAAAAGTAGCTACATATGTAGCAAAAGTAGCTACATATGTAGCAAAAGTAGCAACATATGTAGTAGCTACGGGCCCCGCACTTTCAAGGGCCCCGCGCTAAATGCTTCCAAGCTATCAATTCCGGTTCAGTGATTGTGCACTTGCTCTATTGCTGTAGTACTATACCGCCTTCAACTTTTATGAACGACTGGTTGTGTAGGTTTGCGTATTATCTGGCTGTATAGATAATGACAAAAATACAATAACTTTACAATGCAAATGAAACATTTAGGGGCCGTCCATAAATGACGTCACGCGATTTTTGACGATTTTTGACCCCCCCCCCTCGTCACACGGCGTCACAAAAAGTCAGACCCCCCCCTCAAATATGACGTCACAAAACTCTGCCCCCCCCCCGCCCCAAAAAAATTAAACATGCTTCAAATCGCTTTAAACTATTGTCATTGTCGTGCGTATTTAATGTGGCGCTGCAATCTGATGTTGTAGGAGAAACATTTATTTTTAAAAAAAGTATATTTAATTAAGTAGAACGTCTTGTCTTTATTTATTTAAAGTTGCGCATGTTGATGTGACGTCACATTTCTGACCCCCCCCCTCCTCGTCACACATCGTCACAAATGTCTGACCCCCCCCCCCCAGGTGGGTTGACGTCATTTATGGACGGCCCCTTATATGTTTTAATATTTATGTCGGTTTTTAAAAAAATTTAGGGCCCCTTTTTAACATATGCTACAGGCCCCGCAGATCGCTTAATCCGGCACTGATAGCAGTGGTGCGGATCACAACGACAACAGCAGCAACGACGATGGGTGACGCCCAATTCACAGCGAGGACGACGACGACGACATTGTGGACGACGACCAGGGCGAATACGCTGAGGACGACGACGACGATGATGATGTCCATGCCCCCTCCGCCCCCCGTGTCGCCAGGTGAAAGACGCCTTCGAGGGGAAGATGCCCGAGCCCCAGCCGGTCGCCACCGTCGGCAAGTCCAACACAGATGGGAAGGCGGGCGCCACGGTCAATGGAGACGTGGAGGCGGTTGACGACGAGCAGGCCGCCCTGCTGCCCAGCATCCTCAACGACAACAAGCGGCTGGGCATGTACGCGCGCCACCTCATCCTCCTCGTCAACGACGAGGCGGCCGTGGCATACGACCCCACGGAGAACGAGTGCTACCTGGCGGCGCTGTCCGGCGAGCAGGTGCCGAAGAACCACGTGAGCCTGGTGACTCGCGAGAACCAGCTCTTTCTCGCCGGCGGCCTCTACTACGACGAGGAGAACAAGGACCAGCCCTACCAGTCCTACTTCGTACAGGTGAGCCCTACCTGTCAGGCGCTCCCTACCAGTCACGTGTCGTACAGGTGAGCCCTACCAGTCAGGCGCGCCCTACCAGTCACGTGCTGTACAGGTGGGCCCTACCGGTCAGGTGCGCCCTACCAGTCCTACTTCGTACAGGTGAGCCCTACCGGTCAGGTGAGCCCTACCAGTCACATGCCTTACAGGTGAGCCCTACCAGTCACATGCCGTACAGGTGAGCCCTACCAGTCAGGTGAGCCCTACCAGTCACGTGCCGTACAGGTGAGCCCTACCAGTCACGTGCCGTACAGGTGAGCCCTACCAGTCACGTGCCGTACAGGTGAGCCCTACCAATCACACACCATGTGTGTGTGCGCGCGCGTGGTTTAATTGTGCCTGTGCAGCTGTGTGTGTTGTTTTGTGTTTGTCGGTCTGTACGTACGTGCGAGGTTTGCGAGTGTTCACCTTTGGGTGAGTGCGTGGTTGCATTCCGTTTGCGTGGCTCCGTGTGTGCACGACCCCGCACCATCGGTGCATGCATCTCCCCCATCGCCCCTTGCCCCCATTGCATGTACAGCACGTAGCCAACCGTGCCCGTGTATTCCTGCCCTACCCCCAACCTCCACCCCGCAGCTCGACAACCTGGAGGGAGACTGGATGGGCATGCCCCCCATGCCCTCCCCACGCGTCCTCTTCGGCCTGGGGGAGTCAGAGAACTCGATCTACGCGATCGGGGGCAAGGAGCTCACGGGAGACGTGACCTTGGACTCCGTGCTCTGCTACGACAGAAAGTGCGACCCTGCGCCCGCGCACAGTAGAAATCCGCGGAAGTTTCGCCCTCACACACGCGCACACGTGTACTGTGTTGCGCGGCGAGGTTGGCCACCAGTGGATGAGACGGATCATAATGGTCGTGTCACAGACGCTGAGTCCACATGACTGGGAATGCTGGGAATGTGGGTCCGAGCCAATGATCTGTCTGTATGTCGCATGCTCTCCTAGGGGGTTATAATCAGAATCAGAATATTTCAGAAATCAGAATATGTATTCATACTGGAGGAATCCGATGAGCTCTGAAGTTATTTTGTCACAGATGTCTGCCTGTTTCAGAGACACTGCGTTGGTACCACTGTTCGAATCAGAATTTCAGCATCCTGTGATTTATATATTTTTGGTGCGTGATTGCACACACCAAAAATATATATATATTACATTTGATTTGTCATTTAATCATGATAAATTCCAGCTTTGATGATAATTCACGAGTTTGATTGCCATGAAACGAGCGCCACTATGAGTAGGGCATGTGAGGATGTAAGAACTACCCAGTGAAAAAAAGAAGCAATTGAAGGGGACCTCAAAATGAAAGTATTTCTGTGATGTCATCTTCCAGAAGTTATTCTATAGTACACCACCTTCCCTGAGAATTGCGCATGGAATCGTGTTCACGACAACCAACAGCTCGATTAGCGTAAAATTATTCTCAGCCAAAAGTTCCATTATTACTGCATGGATTGTTTTGCACGAATTTTCTTTTAAAACTTCCGGATTCAAACCCAGGCTTTCAAAGTGGACAGCTCACTCAGTGGTATTTATCTCCCTAAGTTCGCCTGGCCACCCACGAATCGTGCCTGCAAGATGCCACGAGTTTGCCCTCTGAGATTCCCGTGTCCCCATCTGCTCAGGTCCTTCAAGTGGGGCGAGTCGGACCCGCTCCCGTTTAAGGTGTACGGACACACGGTGGTGTCCAACAAGGACCTGGTGTACGTGCTGGGCGGCAAGTCGGACGACAAGTGAGTGGTGACGCCTGGTGGTTTTACCACGACCAAGAGCAATTGGTCCTGAAATGCCCCCAGATGTCGTCCGATCTCAGAATACATTTTACAAGATGATTTAGATTAATATGGCGTCTGTGTGTATGCATGTTGAGCTTCTTTCACGCCGTACATCGTCAACCATGCGAATCGGAGGTACGGGAAATGCGATCGCGGCTACACGTGATCGCAGCTTAAGATGCTGCAACAAGGAGTGGTGGGCATGTTTAGTTTACGGAAAGAGGCAGTAGGTTAGAGGCAGAGGGGAATTAATGGACTCTCCCGAGACTGGACTGAAGCAGGGTCAGCGAGCTGACAAGTTGGATTCGCTGGGGGAAGGGAGGGAGTTCCAGATGACAGAGCTTCCAGTGGAGAATGAGTGACCTCCCGCTGAGCAAAAGGTTGAGTGTGGAGGCTGTGACAGAGATGCTTGTTTGGTTGCTGCAGTGGAGAGAGTATAGAGGCATGTAGGCTGGGGCTGCAATGTGTCCAGGCAATGAGAGTACAGCAATAGATTTCTAAATCCATCTGTGTGGCGCTTTGAGTGTTATCCCATCATATTGCATGGATTTTCTCCAAGTGCTCCCGTTTCCTACTGCACGTTAAACACGTATTACACGTATTAATAGCACTGGCCGAAGATCCCTGGTGGTGATGATGATGATGGCATTCGGTTGATGCTGGCGAGCAATTGAACGATTGCAATTGACACTTCGCCTTGCCGCCATGTGGATCAAACTAAATGATAATAGTAATAATTAAAAGAATAATGCAATTTCTTTACCCCAAAAAGTGTCCCTAAGTCTCATTTTCGGAAAACATTTCCACGCCCGGCACACCACGTCCAGTATACATCTCGCTGTGACTCAGGCTAAAGGTCATGTGCCTATTCCAGTTCACCAACGACCCGGAAAATATTCGTCCAGAAATGAATCCCTGGAATGTTCTCATCAGAATATGGCGCTGAGCCCTCTCTCCTCCCCGCCCTCGCCCCTGCCTCCTCCTCCGCCTCTCCGCTCCGCTCGTGACACCTGCAGGAAATGCCTGAGCAAGGTCATGGTCTACAACCCCAAGAAGTTCGAGTGGAAGGAGCTGGCGCCCATGACCGTGGCGCGCTCGCTGTGCGGGGCCGTGCTGCATAAGGGCAAGGTGTGGGTGGCGGCCGGCGTGGTGGAGGGAGGCCTCACCGCCTCCGTGGAGGTTTACAACATCGCTACCAACAAGTGAGCTGGGTGGCGGGGGGGGTTGATGTATGTGTGGGTGGGTGGATTGATAGGTGTGTTGTTGTGGGAGCGGTGGTGTAGCGGTTATCACGCTGCACTACGAACCTGGCGACCCGATTTCGATTCCCGCTCACGGCCAACACCAGTGACAATTATCTGAACCGGTCCCGGGCCTCCCCTAGGTCGACTCAGCCTCAATTGAGTACTTGGTGCAATGTGTAAACATCGTCACTAGGGAGACAAAGGCGGCCGGGCGTGGTGTTGGCCATCCACCCCCTCGTGTGCTGTGCCGGCCTTCATAGTTGCTCGCTAACAGCACTTGCCCCAACAGTCTGTTAAGGCTAAATGGGGGATCTTTTTTTGTCTTTGTTGTTGAGTAAGTGGGTGCATAAATAGGTAGGTGTGTAAATTGGTAAGTGGGTGGGTAGATAGGTGGGAGAGTAGGTGGATAAATAGGTGGGTGGGTGATTGAGTGAGTGGGTTTGTAGGTGTGTAAGTGGAAGGTGGATGATTTTTAGTGTGTGTGTGTATATATATACGAGAGGCTGTGGCCGATTGGTATGTGTATAAATAGGTAGGTGTGTGATGGGGGGGATAGTGGGTGGATTGGTGGGTATGGGTAGGTGCATAATAGGTGGATAAGTATATGGGTGGGTGGGTGGATAGTGCACAGGTACATGGGAGAGATTGTGCGAGGGGGTGGGAGGCGAGCAGGACGTCCCATTTCATTCCTTGCACCAGCTCCCATGCCAACCTCACTGTGCCACTACCTCCACGACTACCACCACCACCGTCCCTAACCCTCCCACCCTGGCTCCCCCACCCCCACCCCCAGGTGGGAGACGCAGACGGAGTTCCCGCAGGAGCGATCCTCGCTGAGCCTCGTGAGCATGGACGACGTTCTCTACGGCATCGGGGGCTTTGCCATGGTGCAGGCCGAGGGCGAGCAGCAGTTCGCGCCCAAGGAGATGACGGACGTGTGGAAGTGCGTGTCCGCATTCGCGCACTCACTCACGAGCTCACGACGACACGATCACACTTACACACGCCTGTGATGATGATTTTCCTCTCTCTTGTTGCTGCTGCTGGTGGTGGTGGTGACGATGATCTTCATAATATCGCTGCCTCTTGGAGATGACAATGATTATCTTTAAATATCTTCGTAATGTGAGAGTGATAGTGTTTCTGGCTGCCGACTGCTGCTGCTGATGTTGATAATGAGTTTCTATGATGTTGTCACGACTTCTGTTGCTACTGTGAATGACGGCAGATGATAATTTTCCTTTCTTTTGCAAACCATGAAGTATGGATGTTGAACTTCTTTCGCTCCGTACTTAGCCAACCGTGCTAATCGGCGGTGCGGGAAATGATGGTGAGGATTGTTCACTCTCTCAATCTGCTGCTGCTTCTGCTGGCGATATTGATGATGATTTTCCTTTCTCTTGCTGATGATGATGATGCAGGTTTGACGAGGAGAAGAAGGAGTGGGTCGGGCTCCTGCGTGAGATCCGTTACGCGGCCGGGGCCTCGTGTCAGTCCGTCAAGCTCAACGTGCTCAAGATGGCCAAGCTGTGACAGCACACACGCACCGATACATACACTTAAACACACACACACACTGACACATACATACACACACGTACGTACGTCTAAACACACACGCACACACCGATGCACAGCCCTCGACCTACATGCATATTCACACGCGTCTGCGAGCAATCCACATCGTCAACCTCGTCCCGTCATCGTCGTCCCACTGACTCCTGCCCCGTCCCCAACCTCTTCCCGTCGGGGTGTATATCTTCGCGAGATATAGTTACGTAGCGATTAACACAAACGTGTACGGCTTTGCGTGCAAAACAAAGACAAAGATCCCTCTATTACCTGAACAGACTTTTGGGGCAAGTGCTGTTAGTAAGCACCGCTGAAGGCTGGCATAGCGTACGATGGGGTGGGTGGCCATCACCACGCCCGGCCGTCTTTGTCTCCACCCAATGCTGATGTTTACACACTGCACCAGGTACTTATATAAGGCTAAGTCGACCTGTTCAAACATTCGCCACTGTTGTTATTTGTGAGTGGGAATCAAACTGGGGTCGCCGGGTTTGTAGGGCAATGCGCTAATCACCGCGCCACCGCTCACCCAGAACCAACACAGGTAAAGGCTACTGACAGCGAGTACCTTCAAGGTGGTGGTGTCCTCGTTAACATCAACACTGGGGAGATAGAGGCGACCGTTCGTGTTGTTGCCCTTAATAGGTGCTTGTTAACAGCACTCCCAGTCTATATCGCTCTCAGTGGGGGAATTTTATCTTAGTGTGTGTGTGTAAATGGGTGGATAGAAAGTGGATCGTATAATCGTGTGTGTGTGTGGAGCGGTTGTCGCGGTGGTTGTACGTACGTTGAACTTCTTTCGCACCGTACTTAGCCAACTGTGCTAATCGGAGGTGTGCGTGGGGAAGGACAAAGAAACACGCACAAAACAGTTTTAAAGAAATGGTTTAGTGTACTACGCCACGAATTCGATTCAGGGCCACGGTTACCATCAGTGGCCAATTATATCTGGACCCGATACGAGCTGGTTAACACTATCCCATCGTGTGCCGTGCCGGCCTTAATAAGTGCTCACCAACAGCACTCTGGGGGGATCTTTGTCTTCAAAAAGATGTGTGCGTATGTACGTATGTAGAGTGTTGAGTTGTACGCGTGTGAGTCTGTATTTAGATTGATTTTGTGTTATTCATTAAGTGGGCTTTATTAATGACACTGCAGATGGCATTGACACAGGATGAACAATTAAACTAAATTCTTTCACAGAACTCGTCCCAATGTTCCCCTCTGCTCAATCACACTCACCCCATGACGCATTATGCACGTGATTAATGTTCTAAACACCTTCTCGAAGGGCTTGAAAGCTGAAATTGTACACACATGTTTGTCCAGTCTTTGCCAGTCTAACTAATTACCAAAAGAAACTGTGAGCTCGGGAAGTTGATTGGTCTCACTCATAGGACAGGGTTGTCCTACATTTCTGCGTGGATTCAACTTTCGAGTCTCGTGCGAAGCACAAACAGAAAATCTGCATCATCAATCGTGAACCAAGTAAATTCGCCTCCTGTGGAGGGTGACGCTAAAGCCAATAGAAATGGGACAAAACCCGCTACCGGATACCACCAATATGGAACGAGCTGCAATCCCATCAACGTTACCGGAGGAAATTATTAAAATAAAGAAACCGCGGTAGTATTATTTAAACCGAAGAAGGCCGTTAGGAACGTAATAATGTATCTTACTCATTGATCCACATTGATTCGTTACTCACGATGCACGCACCATTTCATTTTCATTTATTAGGTATAACCCTGTGAGCCATGCGGCTCTTGACTCGGGTGAAACCGCAACAAAACAAAAACATGAACAAGAAACATCTTAAAGTGACTACACGCAACAGAAAAATCCTGGAAAAAACAGCAAAGTCTTCCAGAAAAAAACACCATATTTCAACGCTGTGTGCAAAAATCCCAGTGGGATGCAAGTCAAACAATAACAACCACAAGACAATGTAGATTAAAGTTATCAGGCTAACGCTGTACTACAACAAACAAACATGGCTAAACCAAAACATTTTCAAAATCAAAATAAAGCTATAAACACAATGTAACAGTGATCATAGGAACTGTGATTCAAATTTAACAATAAATGATATACATAACATGTACGACCAAACGGTGTGGTGAGAAATAATATTTTTTAGATTCATATACAGCATATTACTAGGTTAACGGGACATTCCCAGCCACTAGAGGCCGCTATATTCACGAACAATGTTATAATAATACTGTACTGTAAAGCCCTCCATTTGGCCGGTGAAATGTCCACTTTGTATTGTATACACCTGCAGAGAAATCAAACAACGAACTTTAGTTATTGTGTTCGGAAAAGTGTGGCCTTGGGAACGACGCGTCGCAGGAACGGGAGGGAGCTTTGGCCAAAAGGATGTAGCCGCTCTCGAGAGGACCATCCAGCGTGTAGACGGAGCGGTGAGAACACCTGGAGCAGCATGGATTGTGGCATCTCACCGGACCACCTTGAAGGGATGGCGACGGGTTGAAGAGGAGGCCTTCATTTGTCAGTGGACGTATGTTGGCCGATTCTTATTATCTTGCAAATGCAATACGTGCAGTCCTAAATTAGATTTTCCACGGAGCGAGGAGTAAATTAAGGGGTGTCCTAGAAGCACTTGATGTCAAAACAGACGTTTCATTGTTCAGAGAGCAAGGGTTCGGTTGAGCAAACCACGGCGTTGCGTTCATTCATTGTGCGGCCACGTGTGGGGGATACGACTCAATACAAATGATCGATGGTTTGTTATCAAGTTTTTGAATGAAAACAATATAGTTCAGTGTATATTTGTATATATTTATTTTCTATATGCGGGTTATCAAGTCGTTTTTTTTGTTTCTGGGTGAACCTTCGCTTTGCAAAGAGAAGTCGAACAGTCGCAGCAGAAACACGGAGCAGCGATAGATGCGCTTATGTTTTTTTTTTATCCAGGAAATCCTCACTGAGCCTCAGGACTCTTTTGTCAGGACGTGTCCCGACAAGTTTTCGCTTTAGGGAAGTAATTATTGCTTGTAAATTCCAATTGAATAATTTGAGGATCATTTTTCAAATTTGATAAATTTGCACCATTGACACCGACACACGATGGCCTACTCTTGCGAATTTAGACACTGGATCTTCAACGTCCATTGTGAAGCAGATTAATGTATTTTTTTCACGGTTAACACACTGCGCAGTAATAACCAGGGCAACCGCTGGATTTGGACCGTGAACCTCTGCAACAAGTGGCGAACGCGCTACCGCTTCACTGCCCCAACTGAAAGAGAACCAAAGGTCTCAGCCTATGAGCCTCAACATCAACGTGTTACAGCAGCGTTTGTTAAAGCAGACACACTCCCCTTACCTGAGACTCATCAGCAGGATGGTGGTCTGTTGAATAAATGCTGCTGGGCCTTGCAGCATTGGACTGTCGCAAGACCCGCAATGGATTATAGATGGACATAAACACTTTATTTTTTGATACTTTGGGTAGCAACCCACACTAACCAACGCGGTGAAGTATGGTCAAACAGCTCCCCCAGGTAAAATCAAATCTGCTACCCGCACAGCGTGGGAAGGTCCTCATCCACCAGTAGACTGCGGACTGTTGCGTTGAATCGCGCGCGTAAAAAAAAATCACAAATTTTGTTGATTTATGTGAATTATTTGCTGAGGACAAATTCGGAACTAAATTGTCTGAACGAAACTCGGTACAAACGAGATAGACAAAACGAGAAACAATACAAACGATATGTAAACATATTCTTGGTTCTTTCGGTAAAGTCACGTAGATAGAAAATAAAATAAAAATAATCAAATAAACTTAAAAATAAGTGGAAAATAATCAAATAAAATAAAACAACTATAAACATAGTAAAATTAAAAAATAATTGAACATAATAAAAGCAAAAAACCCACCACGTTTCAATCGCCTGATCAAGACCGCTTGTGTTGCGATTGAAACGTGGGGATTTTTGCTTTTATTATTTTCAATTAATTTTATTTTACTATTTGTATTTTTATCGTGGTTTTTCGCTTTTATTCTTTTCGATTGATTTTTTTTCTTTTATTATTTTTTTTTTATTTTTTTATCCACGTGACTTTAACGAAAGAACCAAGAATGTGAATTTCCGCAGTCACGAAAGTTTTAAGTCAAGAGATGTAAACGTATTCCCAAATTCCAGAGGTCGCCGATGGGATGTTCAGTGGTGTGCTTGGCATGGTTCCTGGGGAAAAGTATGACATTGGGAGCCCCCTAATCCAATTTCCTTCATTGCTCGGTGCCTGGGCCCCGTGGGCCCCTGTGCAACTGCACCGCCTGCAATCTCGATGGCTCCGCCACTGGGAGGGCTCAGGGAGAGCCGTGTGTATTCTAGATTTGAAGCTTTCGTGACTGCAAGGATCCATACTCTTTGGTTCTATTCGGTAAAGTCACGTAGGTATGTATGTATGTTGAACTTCTTTCGCACCGTACGTAGCCAACCGTGCTAGTCGGATGTGTGGGGATGGACAACAAACTCAACACAAAAAAGCAGTTCTAAAGAAAGAAGTTTTCAATCAAGATTTAAAAGTGCATAGCGCCAGTGGCTCCCTAATATCGGATGGAAGAGCGTTCTATACGGCCGCAGCAGCGCATCTGAAAGCGCGCGATGCGGTAACCGTCTTTAAGCGATGGCCAGCCAAAAGCCGCTGCGAGGATGACGGGAGTTCGCGTGATGGTTTATGCTCGTTGACGAGCTCAGCAAAGGTGTTGCGGTTCACTTGCGGCACGCACATTGTGTGTGCAATGAGTGCGAGCTGGCGCCGGAGCCCTCACGCCGTTGCGTCCCAGAGGCCCTGCAGGGTGAAACCGTCTCGCAGTTTCTCGATGGCGAGGCCCAGCTCGGTGGAGAAGACCACCTCACGGTCCCTGGGCTTCTCGCGTCGCCGGGCAGGGCGGGGCACCCGGGGAAGAGATGTGACGTGGTGGTGGTGGTGGTGTTAGAGGAATGGGTGGAGATGGTAGAGGTGGTGTCGTGGGGGAGATGGTGATGGTGAGGGTGCCGTAATGAATGGGTCATGGTGGTGGTGTTAGAGGAATGGGTGGAGATGGTAGAGGTAGTGTCGTGGGGGAGATGGTGATGGTGAGGGTGCCGTAATGAATGGGTCATGGTGGTGGTGTTAGAGGAATGGGTGGAGATGGTAGAGGTAGTGTCGTGGGGGAGATGGTGATGGTGAGGGTGCCGTAATGAATGGGTCGTGGCGGTGGTGTTAGAGGAATGGGTGGAGATGGTGAGGGTGGTGCTGATGGTGAGGGTGGTGTAACGGGTTGGGATTTTAAGTGATGAATGATGGTGATGTAAGAGGATTTTTGGTGGAGGTGGTGATGATGAGGTTGTGAGAGAAGACGTTAGTGACTTGTTCACATCCAACTTGAATACCTTTTTGCAAAATGTATATATATACTCTCTCGCAGGGAGGTCATCTGAACACTTCCTCACACTGCAACTCATTTACATGTTACAGTGTAAAAGAATGTCAAGAGATAATTACCATACCTTGTTCTCATCAGCAAAGTAAGCCTTCAAACAAAGAACACGTGTTACTATGGATTCTTACATTCTCCCTCAAAATATACATCATTTATAGAACTGAAATTGTGCAGCGACGAAAACATGACGTACTGAGGGATGGTGTTGGCTTAGGGAAGCCTTGTTCCAGCAGTTAATTGATCATTATGGTTGATGATGGCGAGATAACAGATCTTGAGCGTGAATATACGCGCGTCCTGGAATTTGGAAAATTGGCGCAATGGGGGCCTCAAATATAAAGCCCGGTACCCTGGAGGCTTGTGTGGCTCAGGATACTAAAGATTACCATGCCAAAACTACTAACTATTAAAGAAAACTATTTTTTATTTAACCAGGTAAGACCCACTGAGCTATGTACAGTAGCTCTTTTTCAGAAGCGGCCTGGCCATAAATGATAGTTCAACGAAGTGGCTTATCACGTGGAAATGTATATCAGCTAATTACTGTAAGCGTATGTTTCTAAATGTGGAGCAAAACACCGGAGGACTCGGAGACAAAATCCACGCGACCACAGGGAGAACATGCAAACTCCAAACATACTTCAGGGTCGGGATCGAACCCACGACCTCCTGCATACCAGGCGAGAGAGTTAACACTGAGCCAGCACTGCTGAGATGTTTGGTTGCAAACCACGTTCCAGCACCCCCGTGATTAAATCGTAAATAGAGTTTATGGTTGTCAACCCAGTCATTGATGACTGGGTTAAATCTGTCTCATTCCAGCTCTCACAATGAACGGACACCTCAATGGCAGGGCGTGTGAATAGGTGACACCACCTCGTGTGGAAAGTGGTAGTTGAAGGGACCTTAGGAGTATTGCTCTCAGACACTGTGATGTAGTGCTTTCTGCGAGAGACGCCAATGGAATCGTGTTCATCTCTTGTTCATTTTGCGCTTCTGCGGCCGTCTGGAACACTATTCCTTCCCGTATTAGGAAGCCAATGGAGCTGTGCACTTTTAAATCTATATTAATAAACTTATGTCTTAAGAACTGCTTTTTATATTCTTGGTTCTTTCGGTAAAGTCACGTAGAAGGGAAACAATAAAATAATAAAAATATAAAACAATAAAATTCTCACGACGTTTCGACTGCAACACAAGCAATCATCATCAGGTGTGAAAACCACAGCAAGAAAATTTGAGAAGATGGATTCTGGCTTAGCAATCATTGGAAGGATTTGATAAACCATTTCGGGTCTTAATTGATTGATCACGCTTAAGGTGGCTTTCAGACCGCATCCATGATTTTTCGTCTCCACCCTCCTCTTTTACGAACATAGATGGACTCGTCCATCTGAACAAACTGTCAAATCGCTCTCCGTGGTGCTAACGTTAAAAAAACGCCACTTTTTTCAAATTTTATTGCTGTTGTTTTCACACCTGATGATGATTGCTTGTGTTGCAGTCGAAACGTCGTGATAATTTTATTGTTTTATATTTTTATTATTTTATTGTTTTCCTTCTACGTGACTTTACCGAAAGAACCAAGAATATGAATCCCTGCAGTCACGAAAGCTTTAAATCAAAACTGCTTTTTATGTTTAGTTTGTTGTCCTTCCCCCGCACTTCCGATTAGCACGGCTGGCTACATACGATGCGAAAGAAGTTCAACATACATCTCGTGACAACATGACACCGATATAACAGCCGGAATACATTTTTGAAATAGACAAAATCGTGGCCTCCAACCCATTAATTGAAGTGGGAAAGCGTCCAAAGTGGAGAAACCTCCTGAAAAAGATTCTTGAGACTCAGTGAAGCTTTCATCGGTAATAAAATGCAATAATATTATGATTAAAATCCGAACGTTTAAATGTAATATCTGAAGTGACTATATGCAGTGTTGAATGATCTAGAAGACAAAAGGATAAGGGTTGACGAAAGGGACAGAAGATGATTATGATGGTTATGAGGATGACGATTGAAATCTGCGATTGGCCCCACGCTTGTGGTGGAGGGCCAGGTACCGTGTGAGCATCGCTTTTGGAGAACCCAGGCTCCAGCTTCAGGTCATCGTCCTCCTGCACCTCCGTCACTTTCTCCAGTGGAGCCGGCTGCACAGTGGGGGTGGGTCAAGGAGGATCGGAGGAGGGATGGGGGGGGTGGGAGTCGTGGCAGGAGAGGAGGAAGATCAGGGGATCTGTGGTTCGTCTTCACTCACTGAAGCGCTGGGGGTCTGGTGTCCCGTTAGGCCAGGAGTGATGTTCCAAGTAAGCAGAGCAGCACCCTTCATGAGGTCTTGAATGAATGAGAGATGTGTTTGGAAGGTCAGACGACCCTTTTGAAGTAATGGGGGTGGATCTGAATGTTTGAAGGACATACATGCATCTGTGAGATATATTTTGGTGGATACAAGGACTTCGTGCACGTTTTGGAGTGGACTTGCATGTATTTTATTGGATTTCGATTGTTCTAAAGAGCCAGGCTCCATGTGCTCTGGTGAGGTCTGAGTAATCCTATATGGAATATTGGATGTACGTGCTTGGGTCAGTGAGATGTGGGTCAATCTGAGTTATGTATATTGGTTTCAGGAGGTCTAGAGGCTTCTGAAGCCTGTGGAGTGGATCTCCGTGTGTGTCCGATGGATCAGAGATGCACCTCGTGACCTGAGCGATGCCTATTTGAGGTAGTGGATGAATGTGCCTTGGTCAGAGAAATCTGTGTGGGTCTGAGAAAGCGTGGGACCTCCGTGGAATCTTTGAGGTGCAGATATGACGTGAACCTAGGACATGTGCGTGGGCCTGGGAAGTCATGGAGGTCATCCGCACCATCTCCTCCATGTGGAAGCGCACACCCATGTCGGGCTTTGCTGCGAAGACGCGGTGCAGGCTCTGCAGCTCCTGCGACAACGTGCGCATGAGGTCGGGGGGGTCGGCACGGAATCCCAGCACGTAGCCGCCACTCTGCGAGGCACGCAGAGTCCCACGTGAGAGTCCCCGGGGCAACTGTCTACACCACTGCAGAGATTGTCGCGGTTATGCTGTGCAGCTCTCCCATGTGTTTTTGGGTTGTCTCGCCTTTTTATTGTTGAGCATGATGTCCGACATTTCGCTCCATGTACTGGGAGTCGAAAGTGGTTTCTCTATGGATAGACTCACCCCCCTGCCGTAGGAGTATTAAATTGTCATCACTGGCTCAGGGTTGTAAATAAAATATCGTGCTCATTTGACCAGGAAATAACATGTGACTTTGACTAACCTCCAGCCGAAACTCGAGGCCGAATCAGAACCCCTTGCGCATGGTCGAATGACCTCCCTGAATGCGCTCAACCTGGCCAGATCGCGGAAGCTCAGCAGGCTTCTGAGCCCGGGCATGACTTGGACAGACAACTACTTCGTCTCATTGCAGGCCTCCTGAAGAAGGCTTCAGACTCCGCGAAGGCTCTCCTGGGTCAATGAAGGGGCTCGTTGTTAATGTCCCCACCTCACCTGCTGTGTGCACTCAATGACGAGGGCGGCTCCAAACTTTGAGTCCCGGAGCTTCACGGATCGCTACGCAGCGGGTACAGCAACGACATCATCGAGAACAACGATGGACCGCACGGGAGAAAGAAAAGTGAAACCCCAAAACCTGACTTCTATTTTCTTGTAGCTGTGCGTCCCCGGGCTGTCTATTCTTTAAGTTATGGTCAATCTTGCCTCCTGTGGTGACAGAAGTGGCTGAGGTATGTGCTCGTGTGCAGTATCTGAAAGATATATTCGGTCCTCAAAAAGGGAAATGGTCTCCATCCCTGCTTTGTGTTGTGTGCGTTGCTGTTGATAGAGCTGTAGTGGTCGTGGGGAGCGGTAGCGTCGTGGTTAGCGCACTTTGCTATGAACCCGACAACCTGAGGTCACTTCCCACTCACAACTGATATCAGTGACAACGCCCGAGCCGGTCGTGGGCTTGTCCAACCTGAGCTCACTTCCCACTCACAACTGATATCAGTGACAACGCCCGCGCCAGTCGTGGGCTTCTCCGAGGTCGTCTTGACCTTAAATTAGTTCCTGGGGCGGTGCGTAAACATCCGCACTGGGGAGACAGTGCTGGCCACCCATGCCCTCGTGTGCCGTAATAGCCTTAATAGGTTCTCACGAACAGCAGCACTTACCCCAATGGTCTGTTAAAGGCTACACGGGGGACATTTGTCTTTCGTGATTGCGTGGGCGGCCACGTTACGCACGATTTGCAGGAAGGGGATGCTGACGTTGAAGCACATGTTCATGGCTGCGAACCACACGACTCGAATGTTCGTGATGAAGAAGCTACCCAGGTTGCCCTGCAAGAGAGATGACACTCACACCTGTATGGACTCGATTACGATCATGCATTAGTATATATTATTAATATTGCTCTCGGCATATGTCGAGAAGTAAACAAAAATAAAAAGTGCACAGAGAAGCGTGGAGAGGTGTGCATGCTTGGAATTGCACAGAGAGGCAGGAAGAGGAACACTTCGATTAGAAAACGCAAAATAAAGACCTCATATTGACGGGTTTAACGATCGTGGGCTTGGGCAGACATCTCTAGAGGGGGGTTATGGTCGATGGTCGAGACTAACGTTGGAGGAGCAGCCAAGGGAGGGATACACGTCCGAAAGTACATCCACCGTGGAGATGGCGGCGATGAACTCAGGTCCCGGGTGGATGGGAGAGATGGCGATGACTCGGATTGATCGTGGCTGACGATGATGATGACGATGATGGCGTTAAGGCACGTGCTCCCACCGTGGAGATGGCAGCGATGAACTCAGGTCCCGGGTGGATTGGAGAGATGGCGATGACTCGGATTGATCGTGGCTGACGATGATGATGACGATGATGGTGTTTAGGCACGTGCTCCCACGCTTATTACCGCGAGCCAGTGTTTGCGAACCTGCTCGCTGGACAGGTTCCACACCCCATCCAACCGCCGGCACAGCTCTTCTCCGGGCAGCAGCCGCAGGTTCCCGTCGCTGACGATGGCTGCGCGCAGCTTCAGGTCCCGGTACATCTTGGACGTTCCGTACGCCCTGCCAGATGCCACGTTGGTGGTCAGCTACAGTGAGGGCCGTCCATAGGCGGGGTGCGAGGCCCGAAGCAAATCCCACCGTGTGAGCAGCCCCTATACTTTCAAACTAAACCAGGCCTGTATTACATCTGACACCATGACATCGAAGCGCGGCCCCCCCCCCCCCCAAGCGCGGGGCCCGGGGCGTCGCCCCGATTCGCCGCACCCTATGTTGGTGGGGGGTCGTTAGTGATCACTGTCAGTCACTAGATGCCATGTTGACCACCAGTCACTAGACACCATGGTTTGGGTTAATTAACTACCATCGGTCGTATGTGGCCATGTCGGTGGTCAGTAGCAATCATTAGTCACCACATGCCACGCTAGCGGTCAGCGATGACACGTCGTCACGAGACGCCGTCGCGGCGGTCGGTGGCAATCGTAGGGGGCTCGGTGACCTGCACACGGTGATGATGGAGGTGAAGAGCCGCGGGCTGCCCGACTCCAGGTTCGTGAAGATGAACTCGAAGCGAGTGTTTCCACACTTGGTGAGGATGTACAGCGCCTCGGTGTGTCCGCGCAGCTTCTGCACGAGCCATTCATCCATTCGGTCATTAATTCCGTCGATAAAGAGGGACCCTCTTGAGTCCCCCCCCCCCAACTACGGGGCCCAGGGCATTCGCCCTAATATGCCATACCCAGGGGACGGCTCAGGTCCCAAGTCCCAACCTGCGTTCCAAGGACCATTGGTAATCCACAAAGGCGTGGGAAGTGGTCCGCTGAACTATAGAAATTGCTAAAATGAAGAATAGTTTTCATGTATTTTTGTAAATCTATTTTGAATGGTGCATTGCGGTCCTTTAAAATCTTTTGAGTGTTGACAGCGACAGCCAACGCGTCCAGAAAGGTTGCGAACCACTGCTATAGAGGGTATGTTGGCCTACTCTTCTACATTGGCCAGGCATCTTGGAAGAGGTGAGGTTGCTCACACTTTACCCCACCCCATTGGCCTGCCACTGGACTGTGGTGAGACCCATTTATACTGCTGAGTGCATAGAGGCGGTGGTTGTGGTGGTGGGTGGGTGTGTGGAAGGGGGATTGGGTGACTTTAGGAAACCCGCCCCATTGTTTCCTCTGCCGCGCCGGCAGATCGAATTGAACCGGCGACCTCTGGACTGCTCGTCCAGTGTGCTGCCAACCATTACACCGCTGTTGCAGCCTCGTCCCTAAAATGTGTCACGCCGAGAGAGGGAACGGTGGCTCGGTGGGTGATGACGATGCCCGTAATGCGTGTGCGCGCTGGCGACCAGGTATCGCTACACCACCGCTCCCGGTGCGAGCCGGGAGCGGTGGCATAGCGGTTGGCGTTACGCTGCGCTACGAACCTGGCGGCCCGAGTTCGATATCCCGATCACGGCCAACACCACCGGTGACGAATAATTATCTGAACCGGTCCTGGGCATCCCCTAGGTCGACTCAGCCTCAAATGAGTACCCGGTGCAGTGTGTAGTAAACATCGCAACTGGGGAGACAAAGGCGGTCGGGCGTGGTTGCTGGCCACTCACCCCCTCGTGTGCCCTTCCGGCCTTCATAGGTGCTGTTCGCTAACAGCACTTGCCCCAACAGTCTGTTCAGGCTACCAGGGCCGGATCAAGGCACGGGGGGGGGCTTTAGGGGCTGCAGTCTAGGGGCCTCCGCCAGCTGGAGGGCCTCCAGAAATTAAGTGAAAAGTTATTTCATTTGTGAATGCTGAATTTTATTTGTTGTTAGCCTTGTAAAAATTAATTGTATTTTTCTTTAACTTTGTTTTCCTTTTGAAAATATTACTGGGGGGGGGGGGGGGGGGGGGGGGGGGGGCTCACAGTACCTGTAGCCCAGGGGCTTACAAAATCTTAATCGGGCCCTGCAAGCTACACAGGGGGGGCGGGGGGGGGATCCTTGTTTTCGGTGGCGACCGGGGGCAGTCGGGGCCGGCTCGCAGTGCCGCGCTCACCGAGTTCACCATGCGCTTCTCGATGCTCATGACACAGTTGAAGCCGATGGCTGCGTGATGGAAAGAGCGGTGTCAGGAGCGGACGACTCGGGTACGCGGTGGACATCATCATCATCATTATAATCAACAACATCATCATTATAATCAACAACTTCATCATTATAATCAACAACATCATTATAATCAACAAAATCATCATTATAATCATCATTGTCATCATCACCCGTGGTGACAGGAATGGTGATGCCGCCACTTGCTGCTGCTACTCCCACTGCTGCTGTTGATGATCGTGCTGCCGATAACGAGTAGTGCTGCTGCTGATAGAAGATAATTATTGTGGCTGCTGATGGTGATGATGACATTGATGGTTATGATGATGTGACAATGTTTCCTGATGATTTTGCTGCCGCTGCCAAAGCTTATCCTACTGATGATGATAATGCTGACGCTGCTGCTGATTGTGTTGCTGCTGTTGCTGATGATGACGACGGTGATGCTCATGGTGATAATAACGAGGCCTACGATCAATTTGGGGGCCGTCCATAAATGACGTCACGCGATTTTGGACGATTTTTTGAGCCCCCTCCCCTCGTCACACGGCGTCACAAAAAGTCAGACTCCCCCCCCCTCAAATATGACGTCACAAAGCTCCCCCCCCCCCCCCCCCAATATAAACATGCTTCAAATCGCTTTAAACTATTTTCATTGTAGTGCGTATTTAATGTAGCGCTGCACTCTGATGTTGTAGGAGAAAACATTTATTAAAAAGTCTATTTCATTAAGAAGAACGTGTTGTCTATATTTATTTAAAGTTGCTCATTTTGATGTGACGTCACATTTCTCACCCCTCCCCCCTCGTAACACATCGTCACAAATGTCTGCCCCCCCCCCCCAGGTGCGTGACGTCATTTATGGACGGCCCCTTGATGCCACTGCTTCTGATATCAATGATGCTGCTGCTGATGATGGTGACAGTGATGCTACTCCTGATGGAGACGAGGACGAGCCAAACTTACTCAGGTTGATGCGGTAGAAGGAATGCGAATTCCAGAGCACGCGCAAGTTGGTGACCACCAGCCTCCCTGGCAGAGGGGTGATCATCTCGGTCACACATCTCTCTCTCTCTCTCTCCATCGCTCATCAGACGAGACGCTGATCCCTCGCTAAAATAACAAGACAACGATCCCTGTCCAGTCTCGCTGTATATTTTCCGGGTCGCTGGTAGACGACAGTAGGCGCGTGACAAGAAGGCCACTTGCCCGAGCGAGGGGAATACTGCACGTGGCGTGGTGCCGGCCACATCATTATTTCCTGTCCAGGAGAGATCGGTCTGAAAGGAATCCCCGTGTCTCATCCCATCAGGAGAGACACCGATCTCTAGCCCGCTCATCACGACGGGACACTGAACAATCGAAACTAACTAATGTTGGGATCAGGTGAAATAAAATTTTAAAAAGTATTATGTTCAGTGCCCCCCACCCTCCCTTTCCCCAACCCCGACTATTTTCAGCAAGGGGCGGGGGGGCTCAATGGGATGCCGCTCATCTCCGTTGGCGGCCTTGAACCCAGGGGTAGAAATTCCACATTCCTATTTTGGGGCACTGGATGCTCATTTGAGTGTCCACGAATTGATATGTCCATGGGGCAAACGGTAAATGATTGACGAACGACGCTTGACATGTTGATGACCAACATTGATGGTTGACGTTATGGGTACCGTTTAACACGTAGGCTTTCGCCACCAATGTTATATTATTCATAATAAAAGTTATTGGGTTAGATCACGTGAAGTATAAATGTGTCGCGACCTGTGTCGGGTGGTGGAGGGTTACGACACATTTAAACTTCACGTGATCTAACTCAAAAACCTTTATTTTGAGTTATCAGTACCGTACTGTATCATCTGTATTATGGATAATCAAAGATGATGGAGGAATGAGGATGATTATTGATGCTGGATTGACTAATTTAACGATGTGTTAGTCTTGCACTCCAGCGCTTTGATGACGCCCCCCCCCCCCCAATCTCCTCCCCCCCCAATCTCCCCCCCCCCCCAATCATCTCCCCCCCCCCATCTCCCCCCCCCATCTCCCCCCCCATCTCCCCCCCCCCCATCTCCCCCCCCCCTTATTCCCCCCCATCTCCCCCCCCCATCTCCCCCCCCATCTTCCCCCCCATCTCCCCCCCTATCCCCCCGCCATCTACCCCCCCCTATCTCCTCCTTATTATCTCCCCCCCATCTTCCCCCCCGCCGTACCACTCTCTCCATTGTTCCCCTTGGTGTCCTCCACGGACTCCATCGTGTCCAGGACGAGCTCTCCGGCTCGGGGCTTCATCAGCCTTCACAAACAATCGCACGCGCGCACACACGAGACAAACGCGTGCTTGTAAAGCAACGAGGGAGGAGCGGTGGCGCAGTGATTAGCGCTTGCGCTATGACGTAGGGTCAAGCAACCCCAATGTAACGCGGTAAGGTCTTCATCTAGCAGTGTATTGCCAAAGGGCTGTTGCTATACTTTATTAGCATGATTCAAGCATCGCCATCCCCCGTATAGCCTTTACAGCCTGTTGGGGCAAGTGCTGAAGGCAGACACGGCGCAGGAGGGGGTGGGTGGCCAGCACCACGTCCGGCCGCCTTTGTCTCCCTTATAGGGATGTTTACACACAAGAGGTACTCAGTTGAGGCGGAGTTGACCTAGTGGAGGCCAGAACCAGTTCAGATAATCACTGGTGTTGGCAGTCCCGGATTAAGCTAGTGCGGGGCCTGTAGCATGTTAGAAAGGGGCCCTAAATAAATAAATAAACCACGTAAATACTAAAACACAATTTTTTTAGTTGCATAGTAAATTAGATTTTTTTCATTTGCGATACAGCCAGATAATATGACAAATCGATAACCTTAAACAACCAGTCGTTCATAAAAGTTGAAGGCAGTATAGTACTATAGTAATAGAGCAAGTGCAGAATCACTGAACCGAAATTGAGAGCTTGAAAGCATTTAGCGCTACATATGTAGCTACTAAATATGTAGTAGCTACTTTTGCTACTAGGATAATCCGGCACTGGGTGTTGGCCGTGAGTGGGAATCGAACTCGGGACGCCGGGTTCATAGCGCAGTGCAATAATCGCGACAATACCGCTCCCCATATGAAGTATGTACACACACACACGTGCAGCCACACACTCACTGCGGCGAGACATCGAAGCGGACTTCTCTGTCCTCCCATAGAGTCCCGATCGCCGCGTTTCCATCCATGATCCAAGCTTCCCCCAAGTCCCCGAGTCGCTAGTCGCCTGCTCCGACTCGCGCGGCGGCCGAGACCCCCTTCTGCCCGGTGTGGAGATGGGTCCCTCCCTCGCCCTGTGCCATCATCGTGCGTAGGTTGCTAGGGGGTGACAGCCCTGATTGGTCGGGCTGGTGGTCGAGGTGGATATAGTCAAGGTCGCCCTGAGATTTGTAAATTGGGGCTGAGCCGGGTTAGGAGGCGCAGCTCTCCCGTAATCGCATTAGCAGTATCACGTCACCCGTGACAGGTGACTCGGGAACGAGGCGTGGGTCGGCTCCAGTGAAGTGGCTACCGAATGTGCAGGTGGTGCAACTGAACCGGAGGGGCCCTGGTGCTGGGCAATGAAGAAGTCAGGTCCGATGGATGTGGGGCTCTCTGCTCTATTTATTCCAACTTCAAGTTTAATGTATTCAAATTGTCAACATTAAAGGAAGATAAGAAAGCCTCAAACGCGCACCAATAGCCTGTTTAAAACCTACTCGCTGTACTGCCTCATTTTCAAACTGAGCACAATATTTTAGCCGTGCATGTATGTTGAACTTCTTTCGCACCCTACATAGCCAACTGTGCCAATCAGAGGTGGGTGTATTAGAATGAGACAATTTCCAACCCACACGCACAAGCAAGCACCACAACAACCACACTTGCAGAGTGCACGTGGTGCAAAGTAAAACACTTTATTGATGTTATTTTGGTTTGGGTAATTGGCAGATGAAATGCTTTGAGGAGGAACGTACCTGGCGAAATGTTTTAAATGAAAACGACGGTGTTTATTCCACCAAAACGCAACGAAAATCACAACAGTGCAAAAGAGGCTTCAAAAAGGTTAGTCCTCGCGTCACCGTCATGACTAAACTATTAACCGACACATGCTGTTGAACATCACTGGGTAAATATAAAATAACAGGGCCGAAGAAGTACCGAGATGAGAGCATTCGTTATACAGTCACGCAATTATTTTTTTTAAGTGATCTCAAATCATGTAATGCACATGCAATAATACTCAAGCCACTAAAAAAATACTGACTCTTCTTATCAATGTAAGGTTGCTATCACGACTGACCCGAGGGGTGGGTGATCAGCGTGGCTGTGTAGGTTGCAAAGCTCCACTGGTGTAAACATTTCTGAATACAAAATACTCTAAAGTTTTAATCCAATTTAAACAATGTGTTTGTGTGTATATAATGTATAACGCTTTAGCATGAGTTATATCACGGATAACAAGTGACAATGACTGAGTTATTGCCAGAGCGTCATTTCCAAGGAGGATTAAGTTATTTGTTTTCTCAGGATGCCACATATGCAAAGGCTGGGTCTAGTGGGCATAAATGATCCAGATTAACACTTGATCAATAAGAACACTTGGATCATATTATCACAAATATACAGGCATCTGTAGCACTGCAAGTAGCACAGCACGCAGAGACGTACCACTGATCATGGGCAATGTATTGGTTTATTTCTTGGCAAATGTATAAAATCCGCAAGTATAAAGACTTGCAATTGCAAAATGGAAATTTCAATACCTGGTATGAAGTCAACTCAGATGTTTCCTCCAGTTTCAATAAAATTAATACCATTGTTGAAAATAAACAGTTGCTGCCATATAGACTCACACTTCCCACAGAAATGTGAAATTTCCAACGCTGGCTCAGAGCTGTAAAGAGGAGATGAGCAAAGCCCCTTTCTCATTTAAAATAAAATGTAAAAAAAATCCACACTGGCATGTAAGGATGCTGCCCACAAATGTTCAATCAAGTCCACACCTCAAGATGCTGCTTCCAGTGTCTTTACGTTGAACTTGTGTAGTAATGCTGGGTTGGTGGTCAGGCTTCAGCGATCAAGGGGACTGAGTGAGCAATGAGGGCGAGTAGGTATCGCAGCATGACCCCATGCTCTCTCTGGTTATGACCAAAGATCAGTCTCCTAACTTTGTGAGCAGCGAGACATTGCAGCGAGCATCACCCAAGTGCCTCGAGATGAGTGGTAAGGGAGAGATTTGGCAGATTGTCGGATCTCCTATGGTAGTTCCGTTTAGCAGGGTAGGGCACTGTCGCATGGGCCCGACCACACAGAGGTGCAGTTCAGCTCTTGAAGGAGAATCTGATGAAGTCAACCTCGATATCAACCTGGAAAATCACAAACATGAAGTGGGCATTTTTTGCAATTTAGTGGCTGTTATTAAAATAGATTAATAGCTTGCTGAGATCACTAATTTCTCAATAGCAAGCAGTGCAACAAAATTGTACATAATTTTAAGGGCTGTGAAATGGCCCTTAATGGCCTACTTTTTCCCACAATGTGACAGGGTCCTTCTTTCAAAGATCTTTCTGATAATTCCACACAAGTCTTTTGAGATCAACAAACTCGCATTGCACACAGCAGAACGTTCCTTCAATTAATTATGATTTTAATTACTCAATAATTGTTTACCGAACAAAACAAACCCACGGGAGTACTCACAGAATTCTTCTTGTGAAATTTATATGAGGCTGGAAGATCGTATCTGAGTTCCGCAATCACTTCCATGTTCACCTTCCATTCTTCAGCTTTCTTCCGTATATGCTTAAAACACAGACACAACTGCTATTACCGCTTGGCATTCGGTACTTTTATCGTTCTCATCTCGTTCTATGAACATGCTCGTTAAAACAAACTTCTGGGTCACACTCAACACTTGCGTGCACACATGCATGGCCGGTAGTGTGACCACACCTGCCTCGTGGCTGTCTTGTGAAGAGAGTAGACGGCCGTGTTGGCCAGCTCCAAACCTGTCTGCAGAAACACCATGTCCATACCTTCTCACACATGGGCAAAGGGAATAGAGCGATGTTGTACTGAAACCATGCCATTTCTAGTAGACATGTAACGATGATTCAAATCATTGATTGAAATCAATGCTTACCTGCCAAGGTACATTAATTGAATCGCGCATGCACAAATCTATTATTTGTAAATTATCAAATGCAGAATCGTGACGCAGGGAAGGCAGGGGACGAATCGCTAAGATGCATGGCGTGCCATGACTCACCTTTGTTTTGCTTGGTGCCGAACGGTGGGTTCATGACGACGGTGTGGAAGGCTTTTCGCCAGCGCGGCTGGTGCAGCGCGCACACGTCGCTCTGCACGACGTCCACCACGCCCACGTCAAACTCATCCACATTGTGCAGACAGGTCTCCAGCGCCTCCTCGTCCACGTCAAAGCCCACACACAGGCTGTAATTACACAAAACAGATCCAGGTGTAATGGGTTAATTCAGATGACTTATACACATAGAGACACTCAAAATGTGATTTCAATAAAAGCAAGCAAACTATGTCATTCCATGTCGTTAGCCTTTATTCAGACTACTTTTTAAAATGTTGACTCTATTAAATGCATTGTCCTTTCGAACGGAAAAAAATCGTGTTAAAATTAATACAGTAATATCGATAGCAAATAGCAGATTATACGAACCCAGCACCCAGCATTGCCGCTCCTATGCTCAAGACCCCACAGCCGCAGCCCAGGTCTCCCACCAGCTTCCCCTCCAGGTCGTCGTAGCGCGTGTGGATGGTGTGAAGCATACAGGCTGCAGAACAACAACCACCACCGATTACCACCAAGTGGTGGAGATGTCACCATGGTGCTTATGTCAGGCTTGGTGCATTCTGAGATCACCCAAAGGTTCCCCGGCAGGAGGCTACGGGGTAGACCCAGGTGTTATGGCAGAGGTGTGGATCCTTTAACTTACAGAGAGCCGAATAGTTCTTCCAAACACCTTTGGCGGGGCCAATACACACACCTCCGTCACTTCTATCACGGTGTGAGGCCCTTGCTGTAACATAAGTGCCTGGGTTAAATATTTTAAACCAAGTGTAGCCAGGTCGAAAAAATTCACCTCCAGTGCCCAATGCTGAGAGTAACAAATATGGATTGTCAGCTATTTTGAAGTGGTAGGCCTAATCATGCAGCGAGTCAGGTGAAATCAAATCATGGGCTGTAGGTCCCCATCCCTGTGTTATGGATTAATTAAATAAAGCATGCACAGGCAAGCACACACAGAACAGCTAAAATCACACCGAGAATAAGACATTAAATAACATTTAGGGAATTAAACGGAAATGAGTGTGTGCATGCGAGATAAAGTATGTTAAGACAACCCGAAGAAACCAATCGGTGCTATTATAGCCACGTTTTTACAGCCCTCAGGGGCTTGAGCATTAAGGGGTGCGAACTTGGCTACCTCCACCATATTAGGCAGTGTTTTCCTTCTTTCCACCCTTGCTTAAATTAGAGACGCTACCTGCGATGTGCGGCCGCGTGGCGTACTGCTCCAGATGCACCTTGGGCCGAGCGAAGTCGTCCACCTGCTGTAGGTTGCTCTCCAACTCCTTGAGCCTCAGGCGCTTCATGGCTCCACACTGAAACAAACGACAACGGCGTTCATATTCTTGGTTCTTTCGGTAAAGTCACGAAGGGAAACAATAAAATAATACAAATATCAAAAAATTCTCACGACGTTTCGACTGCAACACAAGCAATCATCATCAGGTGTGAAAACCACAACAAGATAATTTGAACAAAGTGGCGGTTTTTCAACGTTAGCACCACGGAGAGCGATTTGACAGTTTGTTCAGATGGACGAGTCCATCTATTTTGATTTAAATCTTTCGTGACTGCAGCGATTCATATTCTTGGTTCTTTCGGTAAAGTCACGTTGAAGGGAAACAATAAAAGAAAATACATATAAAACAATAAAATGCTCACGACGTTTCGACTGCAACACAAGCAGTCATCATCAGGTGTGAAAACCAACGGCAATAAACATTTGAAAGAAGTGGCGGTTTGTATCTATTTATTTTTAAAACGTTAGCACCACGGATAGCGATTTAGAAGTTATTCAGATAGACGAGTCCATCTATGTTCGGAAAAGAGAAGGGGGAGACGAAAAATTAATGTATGCTGTCTGAAAGCCACCCGTAACCGTGAACAATCAATTAAGACCCGCAATGGTTTATCAAATCCTTCCAATGATTGCCAAGCCAGAATCCATCTTCTCGGTTGAAATTGTCTCTGTGTTTGTATATGTGGATAGCCTCGTGAACGAATCTCTCTACGACAACGGCGTTGTTGAGGTGACCGCCTCAAGAGATCCGAGTGCTGAGCCGGCACTGCCGAGATTCTGGGTTTGAACGAAGGTTCTCGAGTGGAGCGAGTTAGTGATGGTCGAAGCCCCCGGTTGTCTGCTCAGGGTGCGAATTGAAGTTCAATAGACAGACATATCACTGATCGGACAACACATTAAATATGATTCTTCGGTTAATTTGCGATAGAAACGTCGTGATTTTTAAAAAATATATACTTTTCTATCTACGTGACTTTACCGAAAGACCCAAAGAGTTGGAATTCCTGCAGTCACGAAAGCTTTAAGTCAAGATGTATATATATCACATTGACATCGACTCGAGGTTGATAGCCTTCCGCACGGGACGTGTTGAAGCCACCTCGGGCCTCGCTCTAAACACCCCGAGCCGAGCCCGGCACCAAGAAGGGTCGCGTGGCCCTGCGGCGCGAGAGAACCGAACGCTTCACTCTAGGACACGACCAAATAACAATAATCATCATTAATAATTACCGCACAATCGGGAGAGAACTGGGAGGTGAGGGGGAGGGGAAATGCCACAACAACACCGGTGCGGTATGATCACAAGGGCACATCACGACAAGTTAAATAGATGCCGGCTGCAGTCGCTCGCCTACGGCATTGCTCTCGGCCTACCGTCGCCTCCACACACACACACAACGACCTCCTCGGGCTGGGCTGGGGGGGGGGGTGGCGTGAGACTGGCGAGCAACGCCGCGGGACAAATCGCGTGGCTCCTTCTCCTCCTCATTCACCTCCTCCTTCACCTCCTGCTCCTCGTGTGTTGTGAGCGGTGGCGACTCTCGCGGTCAGCGAGAGCCTCGATGTTTGGCGAGTCGACAACGAGACAACGGCGACACAAAGCGCGAGAGAGAGAGAGGGGCAAGACTTTAGTGGAAAGAAACGCGTCGTTAAGGCCGGGGTTTATAAACAACTACGACTGCTGCTGCTGCTGCTGCGACTGGTCTACGGATTACCCCCACCCGGTGAACACTTGAGCGGTGACATCTTGACGGGGGAAAGGGACCGCGGTGAACAGCGCCGACTGCTGTCCGCTCTGGACTCGTCGGCGACGTTCGCCGGGGGACCGCCGTCAACCGCGGGACGCGCCGCGTGTCGGTCGATGGGGCCCGATGGAGCAGAGGCATTTCGGGCGTCGGTCGTGTCGATGCGTTTGCACGGTCAAATAAGAGTTAATTGTTGGAAAATGGCATTGTTACACGTCATGCATCCCACTGGGATTTTTGCACACAGCGTTGGTGTACGGTGCTATTTCAGGAATATTTTGATGGGTTTTTTTTCCCCTGGATGTTCTGTTTTGTTTGTTGCGGGTGCACCCGATTCAAGAGCCGAATGGCTCACAGGGCTATACCAAATAAATGGAACTATGAGACCCTCCCCTTGCCAGTATTGAGAATATAATAATATGTTTTACCCTTTCTGGCAATAAAACGGGTAAAGTCACGTAGAAGGGAAATAATAAAATAATAAAAATTTAACAAGAATATGAATACCTGGAGTCACGAAAGTTTTAAATCGAAAAATAAAACAGGTGTTAAGATTTTGACTTTAAGCTTTCGTGCCTGTAGGGATTCGTATTCTTTGGGTCTTTCGGTAAAGTCACGTGGATAGGTTCAAAGAAAATAACAAAAAACTACGACGTTTCGATCACAACACAAGCGATCGTCATTTGCTCTTTGCTCCTGATGACGATCGCTTGTGTTGCGATCGAAACGTCGTAGTTTTTTTGTTATTTTGTTATTCTCTTTGAACCTATCTACGTGACTTTACCGAAAGACCCAAAGAATTATGTGTTAAGATGTTAAAACGCCAGTCTGAAACCTTTTTCAAGGAATCATGTCTGCATTAAGCACACACATTCATGAACACGTTTATTACACGGTTCACTGTTATTGACCGCAATACATAAAAAATTGGAAAAGGCAAATGCCACCTCAGGTTGGAGCGACAAAGCGAGATTATGAACTGTGGGCTCATGATGGACTAATTGCACAGTCCATGCAGAGTATTCCAGGGCGCCTGACAACTAAGAACTCAACAATTAACAAAACAAATTTGTCAATCATCCCAGCCCACGGATTTATTTTACTCTCGATGCCTGCGGTTCCTTAGCCCGTGGTCCGGGGACCCCTGGTGGTCCGCGAGGATACTACAGGGAGGCCGTGGAAACGAAAAACAAAATAATAATACATACTCATAACATCCTCACCGAGGAAAAGTCAACATTTTTAATAACTAGTGGCGTGTGGTGGGTCCGCGTAATGTATTGGAAGTTGAAAAGTGGTCCACGCACTCGAAAAGGTTGGGAACCGCTGCCCTGTGTCATACTTTGTTTGAAAAAGTTTTGCTGGCTGGCTGGCTGGCCACGTGGGTGGGGGCCCGCAGCGCTGGGGGTACCGAGGGGACTCGCTGGTTGAGGTGCGTGGGGGACCTGGAGACAATTTTGGCTTTGAAAGGATTATTTTTTACATATATTTGACTTTTTTAAATCTCTATATATAAAAGGCTCAGTATGTCTGCAACAACTCAGCTGGCTTCTGATTCCTGGATTGTCTGCTTTGGCTCCGAAGACAAGACACTTTGCAGGAAATATCCATGATGTAGATTTTTTTAGAGTGATATTTTAGCTGTACAGTATTCGTGTAGCCCTATCTAGTGACATTTTCATGGGGTTTGAATCTTTTCACATTTCATTTTTACCTCAGCAACACACTATGGAGGCAATATCCATTATGTATTTATTTAATAGTGAAATTGTATTCTTATATTTTATATATATCTTCTACCTATGTTTTTCTTTGACATCTTAATTTTGTATCTATATATCTTCTCCTTATTTGGTTCTTTCGGTAAAGTCACGTAGAATGAGAATAAAATAATAAATTGATAAAATAAAATAACACAATAATATTCTCACGACGTTTCGGCCACAACACAAGCGGCCTTCATCAGGTGAAGGGACGAGACTGTCTGGAGGACAGCGCTGGAGTGAAAAAGCCACGCTCAGATCACGACCTTTAAGCTGTGTGAGAAGAAACAAAGCGCCTTGACAAAGGAATTAGCATATAATTTAGCATTGAAATGGCTGAGTGATTAGCTTGTGACTGGTCACAGAAATGGCTATGTTAAAGTTAAAGCATAGGCACCCCTTGACAAAGGAATTAGCATAGAATTTGGCATTTAAATAGCTAAGTTAAAGTATACACATCCGCAGAGGCACCCCTTGACAAAGGAATTAGCATAGAATTTAGCATTGAAATAGCTCAGTTAAAGTATACACATCCGCAGAGGCACCCCTTGACAAAGGAAGAACCAAAGAAGATGAATCCTTGCAGTCACGAAAGCTTTAAATCGAAATATATATCTTCTCTCTATATCTTATATTCATATTTAGATAAATATTTGATGCTAAAATATGAGTAACAAAAATGCGTGAATCTTAATTTAAGATATGCTAGATCTGCGTATGTTACACCGGGTACAGCTAATACAGTTTCAGTGTAAAAAACAGTATTTAGTATATCTTCAATTATCGACAACATGTAATAATCAAATGAAACACGCACTACATTATAAATATGCTACATTTCAATGCTGTCGATATTCTAATGCTTGTGACTATGGAATAGGTAATATGAATAGCGCAGCTATTTATTTATACTGCACGTTCCATTGTGGCTGGATCGTGTGTGCGATTGTTTGCTCTGGTCTGGCGGGCAAACCACGTGCAGTGAAATTTTGCACGCTCTTCTTTGCTGTGCCTGATTTAGTTGTGCGGTACATATGTTTGATTTCTGGCAATATATGTAACACACGTATTCAATATACAAGGACATTAGCTACGTTCCTGTATTTTATGTTGCCAATAATTAAAGATATTCTCAATAAGTTCATGAAATATATTGTCTAAAATCCATATATGTATCAACCCATACGGTTTACCCATATTCCTCTCCACGGAAATTGGGTTGTCAGGTCCATACGGCGTACAGCCGTTTCCATACGGGAAAAATAATAGTCTGTGTTTTTCCCTTATAATGGGACTTTGTAGGATGAACATTGAGATTTATAACGGCATGGGTTGACCAATAAGGTCTTGATTGGTCTGTAATAAGGTAGGGCACTGATAAGTGCTTGACAGGTTTGATTAAATCAAACACAAAGAATAAAATAGCACGTAAAATGGCATAAGGATAACGAATGCAAAAAATGCTGTTATTTAAAAACAAATATTTAACAAGTTTGTTTAACCAGGCGGCAACTCAAGAGAGAGAGCAGGTTAATCTCATTTGCAAGAGTGATCTGAGTCAAAGGACAAAATTAATAAAATAAAGTACCTGGGGTGTAATAACAGCCAAATAAAATGTGCACACTTGCAAATTAGACGTATCCTGGTCTCTTGAGTTCTCACTATGGTTAAACAAAATAAGGCAGGTACATGCTTTAGAAATTCAACTGTGTGCTCACAGAATCCCCAAAAGCTGGTTAGAATGCATAAATGTGTGAACAAACGGGAAACCATCTATCAGTGGATAGATCATGGCTGATGATAATCGAGGTTCACTACAAACATGTTAATTTTTTATTTTATTGTTGATTATCAACTTAACAGTTAAAGTCTTTTGCAATAATTGACTTACACATCACACAATTGAAAACTGCATCAGGTGTGAAGAGTGAGCTTCTGAAATTCCTTACCTCTGTAAGCAACAGGGCCTTCATGACAGAGAGCGCTAGAAATCCGTCTAGAGACTATAGTATTTGGTATACTCTGCCATGTTGGGCGGAGATGAGAGAGTATCCACACTTTACCCCACCACATGCTATATCTGGCGATTGACTGGTGTATCCATCAATACTCTGGATGGACAGAGGCGGAGGCGATTTAAGAAACGTACCCAGGGGCTTAAAATATTGTGCTGGGAGTTCAAACTGATGATATCTGCATTGGAATTCCAATGCGCTCACCATTACATCATGATAGCATCCGAAAACTACGCTTGATTAACTTAAATTACATTGGACTCCCTAACACGATTCACATTCACACTTTTCATTTTGGCAGGTGCAGTTTGATGGTTCTCACATATCCGGCATGCTATACTCACACTAGTCACATGACATTGATGTTGGTTATTCGTGGTAGATTGATTTCTATGACTTTTGTATAACAGACATTTGATCTGTGATCCAGCACTTTTGACACCAAGGGTTGATGAATCACTTAGATATTTGCCGAGCTTCTAAACCCGCTGGCCTGCGAGATGGCCAAAATGTGACTGTACAGCAAATATGTTTGTGAACCAATTTCTGTGGAGGGGTTTCTCAGCATTTTAATTCACAATAAGAAAAACACTCATTAGATAACTGTAAAGTGGTCAAATATTCCAATGCAGGACTCTCCTGAAAAGGAATCTTTAGACTGAGACCTTCCAGCGAAAATGTTTTGGTATGATTATAATAAAAACTAAATCTCATTATTTAAATTGCAACAACAAAAACAGCATGTGAGACGTAAACCAAAAATAGCAAAACAAATTTCATGATTAAATGTGACATATTAGATTTAAGACAAAATTTTGCTTAATTGAATGTATTTCTTTCATTAAAAAAATATTTTTTTCTCAAGATAAAATATATTACTTGAAATGTTTTTTGTTATATATACAGCAATCCCTCACCAACCACGTGTGTTGCCGTATATATGTATCCACGCTTTTCCTTCGGCATACCAATGTATTAACCGCGGTATGGAGTTTTTTGTGTCTGCGGTTGAGCACGGAGATCGGCACTTGTAATTTCAAATCACCCACATCTATTTTCCCTCCGTGCATCGTCTCATCACCCAGCACCCACCACCGCTCTCTTCCCACCGGAGGGTGGAGGTAGAGGGTGCCCAAAGCCATTCTTCGTTCAAGCAACCACCATTACCTGATCATCAGCGCCATCGTCGTCACCACGGACTTCAACCCTCAGTATTATATTTGTGTTTAGTGAAGGCACAGGCGACTTGGGCTTTCACGAGTGTGACCGCGCCCATGGTTGCCATAACCCCCTATTTCCCTTAAGGCGTTCATATAGCCAACCGCGGTTTTGCCAACCACGCGATTTGGCTAGGGATTGTTGTATTTAAAAGGTATATTTAATTTCCCCAAATAACATGTTCACCCGCCACCTATGGAGTTCAGAGCGCGGCAGGCGGAGTGTAGCGGTTCAGCAGACGCCGAGCCTCCCTCTGTCCGCTCAAAAGCGCTCCGTGTGTGGTCGTGTAGAAGTTCACGTCCGTCGCCTCGCCTGCGAACAGCACCTGCAGGGAGGTCAAACACAAAGCAAAGTAATTTAGTGCTCGTTCACAATTTCAAGTCTCAAGTTTATTTGAATTACCTCTTCATGTGTAATCATGTTTTCCGCCGTGTGACTCGCATGAGTTATGACGTATCTGTAAAGTGTGGTAAAAGCCAGAGCTTAATTTCAGCCGAGTCTGTCTGGGCCGGCAGCCCAGAAAATATTCTTCCTCTCGGCACACCACGTTCCCTGTACCTCTTGCATTGGCTGAGGATATAAATCATGTGCCTAATCCGGTCTACCAACGACCCGGAAAATCTGCAGTGAAAGATTAATCCCTCGTAGAAGCTCTAACATTCTCGGTGCTCATACATTTGTCAATGCCCCTTGCAGCTTTGCTCACTGGGCAGCCGAGCTGATCGCCTACCCATCAAGGTCATGGTGCACATTCAAGGAAATATTCACTGGCAGTTGTCACTGTGATATTTGCAGCACTGTTTTCTTTTTTTTAAAAATGTAGCTGTTGAAATTTGGATAGATCTGATGACTTCTCCGAGTAAGCAATTGGGATGGGAAATTCCAAAGAGCTTACAGAGGTCACGTGACTCTCCAATGTTACGTGCTCTGTTCTACCCAACACTTTTCATCAAACATACTTTTTAAAATGGGCTACATAGTACTCCGTCATTCTCTACCATTGCCGTACCAAGTGTACATAATTGCTCATAGTAAATGTGTTGCTGGTCACAGTTGCTAATGACAATTACCCTAACTTTTCCTCAGTTCACGGATAATGATGTGCATGTCTAGGGCGCTTGAATGCCTCAGCAACTCAAGGCGCTTGACATCACATCTTACGTCTACCAATGCAGTGCACTCCTGCAGTCGAGCTAAGGGTAGCCCTTGTGGGAGCAGCAGTCTCTGTGTGGCAGCGCAAAGTAATACACAGCAGCGGCCTGAAAATGGACATCGGTCTGCCAGTTGGGGGCAATTATCTTGGGGCTGGGTGGCAATGGGCAGGTTGTTAAAACTATCAATCTATTTTTATTGTATCAGCTAAAGCCGACAGAGCTATATAGCACATTTCCGGGAGCGACCTGACCACAAATGATAAGTCAATGAAATGGCTCATCCTGTGGACATTAGCAGCCAAATACTCTCAACATATGTGGAAGTAAACAACAGAGAACCCGGAGAAAAATGCATGCGACCATGCAAACTCCAAATATACAGCAGGTGTCAGGGTTGGGATCGAACCCCCGACCTCCTGTATACCAGGCAAGGCAGTTAACATCTCGCCACTGCGAGATGTTAAGGAGTGACAACTACAATGGGGGTCTGTCTAGGAGGTGGGTGGAGTGGGATTGTTGAGGGAGGGGTATTTTGGGGTCTCACCTGGGGGTCTCTGCGCCCAGGTACAGGCTCGGCCAGGGCTTGCTGCTCCGTGCGCGCGTTCACCCCGAGAGGGATGTAGGTGTAGGCGCCCTGGAAGAAGCGATCCTTGTTCCACGTGGTCACCAGCACCTGCACCAGCCGGCTCACGGGCAGCCGCGTGAACTGCCGCAGCAACCTGCGAAGAAGCCAGTGCACACAGAGTCCTCAGCCCCACTTACACATAGCTCTTGTAGCTACGCACCCAGGCTGTGTCCCGGGGCCTTCCGGGACGAGTTAGAGTAGCATTTGTTTATTAGGAATGCATAATTTTGAATAACGGTCATGTTGAATGACTGGGTGGCTCAGGGTATCAAAATTGACAAAAACCGCCATTCGCTACGAAGTGGCCGCGACGTCACCACAGCGCTTGTGCCAGGCTATGTGCACTTTCAGGCCAGAGCACGAATCCAGCATCGCTGAGATCCCTGGGTTTGTAGCCAGCATTCAGCAACCAATAATTTTTTCAAGCCAAGTTTCTCAAGTGAAGGAAGTAGATGGTCACTGCTCAGTCAGTCAAATTAGTTTTTTGTTATTTAATTTTGATTAATTGCAGCTTAAATATAAATTCTATAAAACATGTTATGTACATTTATAATAGCGTTTTTGTTTGTTTGTTAGATCGCGTAAATATATAAATGCGTCGTTAAAACCCGCCACCACCCGACACAGCCAATTAGTAAGGTGTGTCACGTAAACAGAGCTTGGCCAATTCGTCACTAGTACAGCACACCGGTGTGTTGGAGAGCCAAGCCACAACATTTACAAACTGAGTACGACGTTTCGCCAGTAATTACAACTAGCTTCATCAGGCGACAGCCAGATTTGTGGAGAAGTCATCCTGTTTCGTTCCTTATATAGAGGAGGCGTAGACGTGGTGACCACGCTTCTGCGCTCTTGGGCAAAGTGTGTGGGGGGGGGTTACTGAGTCAACGTACATGATGAATGTGCATTATGCCAGCCCTTTGAACTTGTCCTTCCTGTCTATTGTGTTTATAAAAATGGCCCTACCAACGGTAATCCCTATTGAAGTACGCTGCCCTTTGTAGGCATGCATTTAAAGAATGTATTATTTGACGATTCGCTTCCACGCAGCACAAAGACGGTAGCTTTCCGAACGGTTAAAGTTATTTTGATTTATTTCAATCAAAATAACAGACTCTCTGATTATTTCGGTAAAGTCACTTAGATAGAGGAAAAAATAATAAAGAAAACACGACGTTTCAGTCGCAACACAAGCGTCCGTCTTCAGGTGAGAAAACTATCTGCTGTTGTGGCTTTATATAGGCACGGGGCGGGGGGGGGGGACGGGGGGGGTTTTGTTGAGTCGTGGCTGTCGGAGTTCACGGGGGAGAGGGGGGGTGCAGCGAAGGGTGGGCGCTGGCACAGGGGGGGGGGAGGGGGGTTTGTTGCGTGCAGGGACGGGTGGGGCTGGAGATATTCGCAAGAAAATGAGCTCGAATTAGTAATCGGACAACGACAACCGAGTGGGTGAGTGAAAATAAATGCAGTTAAAACTTGGCGTGGTTTATCACATCCTTCCAATGATTGCTCAATCTGAATCCATCTTCTCGATTAAAGTTTTGTCTGTGTTTGTATATCTGGATGGCTTCATGAACAAATCTCTGATGGTGGCCCGAGGGTTTTGCAGAGCACCTTGGTCTCGGAGAAAACACTGCCAAAACGTCGTACTCAGTTTGTAACTGTTGTGGCTTGGTTCTCCAACACACCGGTGTGCTGTACTCGTGACGAATTGGCATGTTCTGTTTTCGTGACAACCCTCACTAGTTGGCTGTGTCGGGTGGTGGTGGGTTTAACGACACATTTATATATTTACGCGCTCTAACCCAAAAAAAACTCTATTATGGATGATATTGGTCGCGACAGCCTACGTGTTAAAAATTTCTACATTTCTTCGACTGCTATTCGAAGCGCATCTCAGGAGTGGAGTGCACACGGAAGCGTGCCCCCTCAATGTGGATAAAATTGTCACCTGAAGCCACATCATGAATAAAATAGCAGCCTCCATTCTCCATCAAAATAGGAGGCAAAATTATTAAATGCGTGTTGACTGATTGAAACACACTCGTAACTTGGGTAGGTATCACGCCCTATTAATATAGCGATGGGTAACGTCTCCGCGGTGCCTGTGCCAGGCTATGTGCATTGAACACACAAACGCGCTTGTGATAGAGCCATGCTCGTTACCTCACACACATGTCCCCGACCACGCTTGACTCCAGCGTGTCCATGTGCCGCGCCTCTCTGCCGGTCACCCAGCCGCACAGCACGTTCGGGTGTCGTGCCACCGAGTTGAAGCCGGTGATCTTCTTGTACCAGCTGTCTTTCCACGAGCCTGCAGTTCTGGCAGATCCTCCTTCTGAACCTGTTGGGACCTCCAATGTCCTGTCGTACATGGCTCGATCCTCTGGCCCCTCGTTCCACACGAACTGCATACTGTCCCAGCCGTCCGGCCAGAAGGGGCTCTCGAACTCCAGGAAGATCTTGCTGACGGCGCCGAAGCCCAGGCGCTCGATGGCCCTCAGCTTCCTCGGTGGCAGCGGCGGATGGAACATGGAGGCCCCGTTGGCCTGCAGGGAGGGTGCGTTGGACAGGTCACAATTGAGGAGGCGGTGCTCTCTGCTACGCGTATAAGATGTGGCTGATTGTGTCGACGTCTCAACAAATGGACATTTGCAACTTCTGACCTGCTAGTCACAATAGGGTTTATACTGTGTTTTTGCTAATTATGAGGGTGTTTCAATAACGAAATATACTATTTAGTGATTGCGTAACCTGTTATGGAGATTTACGTGAGAAAACCTGCATAGTGATATCATTAAAAAAAATCGTAGCACCCTTGCACAAATGTACATTACAAAAGCAAACCATTGTGAGTCGTTTTTTTCTCCCCTGAGAGTATAAGGCAAGTGATATTTATCAAAATAAATGTCAAATATGGTGACTGAATTTTGCAACACTTACATATGGGTGGCACATCTGCAATGAGGATGTGAGCATGTTTGTGATGATATAAGTGCTAGGGCACGTGATGCTTCAACTTCAGCCAACATAGCTCGTGTCGAGAGTTTATTTTGAGTGGCAGATGAGCACATATCATTGATCATAGCGAAGAGTGGCAACGATTCATTCAATAATCCATGACAAGTTGAATTTCCAAAAAAATTGTCCGTTAGGTGTTCCAAAATGTTAACATGAAACCTTAATATTCTTTGGGTTTGGGTCTTTCGGTAAAGTCACGTAGATAGGTTCAAAGACAATAACAACAAACTACGACGTTTCGATTACAACACAAGCGATAGTCATCTGGAGGAAAACCTTAAAGCAAACAGGATGTGCGTTTATCGAGTAGCCAAAAGCGCCTCCCCCACCCCATGAGAACTATGAATTGAGGAAGTACAGCACATGGCTACCCCTCCATCTGTGTAAAGGCTTCTATCTACCCACCTACCCCCTATAAAAATTACGGGCATCGTTATTATTATGAGCACGGTACTAATTTAGTGTTAATATTGAGTGGTGAGCTAGAGGACCTTCAGGTATCCCAGCGATACTGTGACGATGACATGATCAGCGTGGAACTCCGATCCATCCTCGCACACGACCCGTACTGGGTGGGCACCTGCGACTCCCTCGGCTGCGGTCTGTTCTGTACGGAGGCCCCAGTGGATGGAGGACACCGCCTTGTTAAAGATCACGCTGCCCGCGGGCAGACGATCCACCAGCGTGTCTACGATGGCGCTGAATCCGCGGGGCCCCAGCGAATTGAAGAAGCGGCCCTCAAACCCCGAGTAGTGACCCAGCTCCGAGAGGTTGAATTCGTACATGGAGGAGCACGCCTCGTCCGTGCACTCGATGCGCTTGCACCACTCGAACACGCCTTTGCTCGCCTCGTCCCAGGATCCTGACGGCGAGAAGAATTTTTCATCCAGGAAGTCTCCCACGCTCCTGTGACCCGTTGCGGCAGAACGAGCCTCGGTGCCACCAGTGCCCCCGTACACTCTGTCGGTCTCTCCGAAAGCGTCGCCCATGATCTCGCTGAAACGCTTGCAAACCTGAGACACTGTGCCCGAGGGCAGTCGCTCTCCGCGTTCCGTGAAGAAGTGGTCCACGTCTGGCAGGTAGCAGCTCGGCTCGCACATGCGGTACTCCTCGTTGTCATCCCCGTCCTTCTGTTGATCCCCTCCATCCTGGCCGCTAGCCCTGCCAGTGGCCAGCAGTCCGTGCATGTGGGCGAGCCTGTACAGAGGGTTTCCATTCTCCCCGTGGATCCACGCAGCGCCCAACTCGGCGGCATGCCCCAGACGGAATGGCCGAGCCGTGTGGACGCGGCCTCCGGCTCGGTCGAGCGCCTCCAGCACCAACAGCTTGGATCCCCGGACGCCGCTCTTGGCCAGGGTCACTGCGGCTCCGAGCCCCGCTAATCCGCAGCCGATGATGAGGATTCGCGGTCCGCTGCGTGGCCACGGGCGGACAATTCCCCCCGTCGCCTCCACATCTGAAAGGTCAAACGCGAAAAAAGTAAAGTGGCCGGGTGGCCCAGAGGTCAGAGACGCTGAGCTGGCACCACTGCACCAGGGCTCCCTCACAATACTCTGAAAGGTGTTAAAGGTGCAACCGTGCGATTTATTACTCAGGCCATTACTGGTTCAAGGACTTCCACTACAGGGAGCTCTAGACAGCCCCTCTGGATGGGGTTTCGGCCTTCTCTTCCACACATATACGTGTGTATGTATGAGAATAGGTTTTCCCCTTTTTTTCTGGCAACAAAACAGGTGTTAAGATGTTGAAACACCAAACTGAAGCCTTTTACAAGGAATCATGTCTGCATTAACCACAATACTTGTGGTCAGAATGCAAACAAAAAACATACTCTGATAATATATGCATTGTCTTTGAAACTGATTGGTCCACACCAGCGACAGCTTTCTTTTGAGCCTCGTCTCAAAACGGTGTTAGACCAGAGTGCTGTACGCCTTTTGGCGTCCTCTGGTCTAACACCGTTTTGAGACTAGGCTCAAAAGAAAGCTGTCTCTGGTGTGGACCAATCAGTTTCAAAGACAATGCATATATTATCAGAGTATGTTTTTTTGTTTGCATTCTGACCACAAGTATTGTGGTTAATGCAGACATGATTCCTTGTAAAAGGTTTCAGTTTGGTGTTTTAACATCTTAACACGTGTTTTTTTTGCCAGAAAAAAGGGGAAAACCTATTCCCATATTTTGGTACTGGCAAAGGAGGTCCCGTGAGTATGTGTGTTGAAGTTCTTTCGCACCGCACTTAGTAACCGTGCTACTCTGAGGTTCGAAATCGGAGGTATGTAGCCGACATACAGTAAACCCTCGCTATCCGCGAGGGTTACGTTCGTGAAAACGCTCGCAAATGCAGAATTCGCGAATGCAGAAACCTTGTTCCAACGGGGAAAAAATGAGCACGAGTGAACATAGGGGGGTCGTCGTAAAAGTTTAATAACAATGACTACAAGAAAATAATAAATTATATATAACAATTTGCGTTTTAATTACCCTTGATGATGATTTGACGACGATGGGGTTGGTGGTGGTGAGGAATTCGTGAGGATGACTCCTTCGGGAGATGCACGGTGTTTGGTAAAACAACGCAGCACATCTGTTATCATTTTAGCCCTCGCGTGAGCGATAGCAACAACACTTTTCCCTGATCGCATTCGCGTTCGTTTTAACGGACCTCACACTCGACTCGTTTATACCATATCAAAATAAATTTATGCAAACCGACACACCTGATGATGACCGTTTGAGTTATGGTCGAAACGTCGTGAGAATTTTTTATTGTTTTATATATATTTTGTTCTTTTGTTGTTTCTCTTCAACGTGACTTTACCGAAAAAACTAAGAATATGAATTACTGCAGTCACGAAAGCTTTAAATCAAAATGTATAAACAAGTTGACTCTTAAGTACTGGAGTCCGGCGGGTCTCGAGTAGGGAATTAGTTTGTGTTCATACTCCTTGGTTCTTTCGGTAAAGTAACTACATAACTTTAATTACAGTCAAGTAACTACGTGACTTTACCGAAAGAACCAAAGAGTATATATTCCTGCTGTCACGAAAGCTTCAAATCAAGTTTGTGTTCATTTACGAACTCGCGCATAGGATTTAAAATTGACGGTGACGTACCCGACAGCGCTTGTGCCAGGCTAAGTGCACCTTGATGCCACGTGCAGTGTGGAAGGCTCGCTGGCAGGGATTCACTGGACAGACCTGAATATTGTTTGGGTGCTTTTGGCATGAATGACGTGATATAAAATAAAAAAAGTGTTCTTATTATGGGTGAACTGGCTGAGATGCCTGCATCTACAGTGGTGCAAAAAAGTTGTCACAACACGCAAAGTTTCCCCTTCGGAGTTTTAACAGACTGTTTGGGCGAGTTCTTTTAAACCAGCACTTATAGTATTAAGGCCGACACAACACACGAGGGGGTGGTTGGTCAGCATAACTCCCGGCCGCCTTTGTCTCCCGAGTTGCGATGTTTAGAACATCGTAACGGCTACTCGTTTGAGGCTGAGTCGACCCAGGGGAAGCCCAGGATCGGTTCAGGTAACCCGTCAATGGTGTTGACCGTGAGCGGGAATCGAACTCTGGGTAGCCGGTTTCGTAGCGCAGCGCGCTTGACCGCTGCACTACCGCTCCCCAGCCACTCACTCCCACACACAAACAAAGACAAAGATCCCCCGTAAAGTCTGAACAGACTGTTGGGGCAAGTGCACGGCACAAGAGGGGGTGGGTGGCCAACAACCACGCCCGGCCCCATTTGTCTCCCTCGTGGCGATGTTTACGCACCGCACCAGGTACTCATTTGAGGCTGAGTCGACTAAGGGGAGGTCCAGGACCGGTTCAGATAATCGTCACCGCTGTTCGTTGCGCGGCGCGCTAACCGCTGCACCACCGCTCCCCGCTCCCACGCACGGACACAACCGCACTCACGCAGACTCGCACGTGTTATTTGATTACCTTCGGGACGCTCTCGGAAAACATTTGCGTTCATTTCCGACGTGGAGCCTCGCACGGAGCGGTCGCAAGACGGGCAGGGAAGCAGACGGGGCAGACGAGGAGACAGGCAGGTCGGCAGACAGGCAGGAAGACAGGCAGGTAGTCAGGCAGGTAGGAAGACAGGCAGGTAGTCAGGCAGGTAGGAAGACAGGCAGGTAGTCAGGCAGGTAGGAAGACAGGCAGGTAGGCAGGCAGACAGGCAGGTCGGCAGACAGGCAGAAAGACAGGCAGGTCGGCAGACAGGCAGGAAGACAGGCAGGTAGTCAGGCAGGTAGGTAGGAAGACAGGCAGGTAGGCAGGCAGACAGGCAGGTCGACAGACAGGCAGGTCGGCAGACAGGCAGGTAGGCAGGTAGGCAGACAGGCAGACTGACAGAGCGAAATGCGGGCAGATAGCAAGAGTGACAAGAAATCAAGATGACAGGCAGACGGACAAGCAGATCAATAAACAGGCGGATAGATAGACACACACACACAAAACACGTACGCACACACACACGTACGCACAAAACTCCACACGGATAGACGCGCACAGAGAGACACCAAGGCGCGCGCACAGAGACGCCGGCTCTGACAAGGAAGCTGACGCGGGCGACTTTGGTGAGCTGGCACGCCGCTATATTTAACCCCTTGGTGCCGCCCGCGTTTTTCACTCCGCGGAGCCCGTTAAAGACGGGCGGTGCAAAGTGCGCCGCGCACGCCCACGTAGGGACCAAGAGACCATGGTCCAACGCGGTCCCTGGCAAATCTCTCACGGAGCAGTGATAGATGACGAATGCATACACGTGTACGCACACACACACGCGCGCGCGCATGTTGCGTACAAGGCTTACATTCGTACATACAAATAAATATAACTCCCGTTCGCCACTGAGTGGCGGTAAGTTCACCGCGGCTCTTGTGCCAGGCGAGATGCACGCTAAGGCCATGCGAAGTGTCCAAGGCTTGCTGTTTGCAAGGAGGTCACGGGTCGGGCCAGGGTAAGATGACTGCCAGATGTACCGTCTGTGCTCCCCCGCTGTGCAAACGTGCTGCGCTTTATCAGCCCTGCGCTCCACTCGTTGTTGTGAGCGTCGCTCCTCTGCCCTCTGTTGTTGTTTGAGGGCGACTGCCTCCAACTGCCCAGTAGCGTCCTTCACGAAAACTCCTCCTCCACCGAAGCCGATCTTGACACTGCTGGTGCCAGCCAAGTTTTTTCCAGTAAGGGCGATGGTATCAATGTATATTTCAAGTATAACAAGTTACAAGTTTTTTCTTAAATCTTATATGGACCATCACTCCTGTACACAGTGGCATGCTATTGTGAATGACATCACAGGATCCTTTACATCCATTGCGTAGCAGACCGCGAGTAGTATGTTTGTGGTTAAACCACTCGCGTTAATAACCAGGGCGGCTGCTGTATTCGAACTGTGAATCTACAACAAGCGACGAGCGTGCGACCGCCAGGCCCCGTCAAAGAGGCGATCGCGAACGATGGGATTTAATAGCACCACCAACAACCTCGTCATCGATTCCATCCCTTCTGCCAGATCCTACAGACACCCAAACCTCCAGGGCCTTGTCTAAACTTCTGATCTTGCTTGGGCGGTGACCGCTGCCAAAGTTCGACTCCTATTCTCGACAAGTGGGATCAAAGTCACGCTGGAGCGGCCTTTGATTCCATAAACATTTACACGAGGTGGGGGGGGGGGGGGGTTAAAAAAAACTGGACAATGTCACGAGACATATCTTGCTGTTTAATGTTTGGCAAAATACAGTAACAAAATATTCCATACTTTTACTACTATTGATTTTCCTGGTTCTTTCGGTAAAGTCACGTAGAAGGGAAACAATAAAATAATAAAAACATAAAACAATAAAATTCTCACGACGTTTCGACTGCAACACAAGCAATCATCATTAGGTGTGAAAACCACAGCAAGAAAATTTGAATTTTATTGTTTTATATTTTTTCTTATGTAATTTTTTCCCTACTACGTGACTTGACCGAAAGAACAAAGAATATGAATCCCTGCAGTCACGAAAGCTTTAAATAAATTTTTACTATTGATTGTTAAAAGGTGTTTTTACATTACTTGTTCAGTGCAAATCCAATGAATGCATTTGAAACCTTTCATGCATTTCGTATGTATGTTGAACTTCTTTCGCAGCGTACGTCCCCAACCATGCTCATTGTAGGTGCATTGATAATTTAAATGCGAAAGCCTTTTACGATGACAAATGAATGATGTTCTATTGAGGCATAACATCTAAACATAATTCAGCCTATTGGTTTTCTAGCCAATATTATCAAGCAGCCTGCTGTGTGACCATTACCTTATTGGCAGGAGCATTCGGTTTGGACTTTCTTGTCCACTCCCCTCCTCCCCACCCCCCACCCTCCCCTCACTAAAGCTCACACAGGTTCGTGGTTAGTCGCTTACCTGCGGCGCTTGGCGTGGGGGGAGAGAGAGGGTCACCTCCGGTAAGTCATCACGCGACAGCGCGTGCGCCTCATTGTGAAATCCGCGGTCAAGCTACAAACTAAATGGAGAAACCATGGAGAAAGTGATCGGCGTCCCAGGGGGTTGTTTCCCCATGGTTGGAGAAACAGATATTTCTCCAACCATGGAGAAACTATCAACCATGGAGAAACTATCAACCATGGAGAAACTATCAACCATGGAGAAACTATCAACCATTGAGAAACTATCAACCATGGAGAAACAGATATTTCTCCAACCATGGAGAAACTATCAACCATGGAGAAACTATCAACCATGGAGAAACTATCAACCATGGAGAAACTATCAACCATGGAGAAACTATCAACCATGGAGAAACTATCAACCATGGAGAAACTATCAACCATGGAGAAACTATCAACCATGGAAAAACTATCAACCATGGAGAAACTATCAACCATGGAGAAACTATCAACCATGGAGAAACTATCAACCATGGAGAAACTATCAACCATGGAGAAACTATCAGCCATGGAGAAACTATCAACCATGGAGAAACTATCAACCATGGAGAAACTATCAACCATGGAGAAACTATCAACCATGGAGAAACTATCAACCATGGAGAAACTATCAACCATGGAGAAACTATCAACCATGGAGAAACTACCCCCCCTGAGACGCCAATCAAAACCATCACGTTACCATACATAGCGGGAATGACCAAAAAGATTTCCAAAATCTTGAACAAACACAAGATCCAAGTCTGATTCAGTACAGTACACAGAATCCGTGATCTAATCCCATCCGTAAAGGATGTCACTCCTGACATGCAATACCCTGGAGTCTACAAACTGAGTTGCACGTGTGGTGATTGTTACATTGGGGAAACGAAACGACATGTATCTGACCGTATTCGCGAGCACAAGGCAGGTCTGAAACACGGCAGAACTAACTCTTCCGCAGTTGCTGATCACTGCTATAACGCTGTGGGCTCTCATAATATTGTCTTTTCCGAGACCAAGGTGCTCTGCAAACCGTCAGGCTACTATCAAAGATTTGTTCATGAAGCCATCCAGATATATAAACACAGACAACTTCAACCGAGAAGATTGATACAAATTGAGCAATCATTGGAAGGATGTTATTAACCAGTTAAAACCTGAATTATTTTACAGTTTGCCTTCATATCCGCATCTCCAGTTTCTTCACCCTTCTACCCCCCAGCCCCGGCATTGTGTCGTACTAGCGGTGCAAGCTGTAGCGGTTTTGCGTCACAATAGGCAGATCGCCACTCCCCCACACTACACCCCCCCCACCCTCTCTATCGCTCCTCCCTGGCTCCTCCCCCCTCTTACCTTATATAACCTCTCGTCACAAGTCGCTCTTTTGCCCACTACAGCAATTTGTTTCTTGCTGTGGCTTTCCCACGTGATGACGGACGCTTGTGTTGCTTCCGAAACGTCGTGATTTAATTTATTTAGTTTTATACCTACGTAACTTTACCGAAAGAACCAAAGAGTACCAGTGAGCAATGCTGAAACAGCACGGTCGCTGTGTATTAGAGATGCGGTAGAATTTATATCATTTGTAGATCCACATTGCGTTACATGAATGCGTGCACATGTGTGGCAAATGTGCAAATGGGAATGTTTACAAAATAAAGGTCACGGTCCTAATCATGATGATGGTCAGTATGTGAAGTTTTATGCGATGTCCATTTGTATGCGATTGGCCAGCACCACGCCGGGCCGCCCTTGTCTCCCCAATGCTAATGTTTACACACCGCACCAGGTACTCATTTAAGGCTAAGTCGACCTATATGATGCTCAGGACCAGTTCAGATATCTGTCACCGATGTTGGCCGTGCTGGAGTCGCCAAGTTTCAAGCGCAGCACGCTAACCTCTCACCACCGCTCTCCACATCCACACACATGCACACATGCTGACCCATCACCCAGTAGTAAAAAAAACAGGGATTTGTTAAGAAGCACCGGCTTACTCATTTACCCGCAGACTCTCCAGGGCCAGACACGTGTGTCTGCTATCCCGGCGTGCACACACTCATTCACGTTCCCGGTCGTTCATCGTTAACGTCATTAACTCCGCGTGCCGTCGGGATGCGCTGAAAGGCGAGAGAGATGCAGACGGGCCGTGCCATTCCCCATCCTCTCGTTATTAGGTGGCGCGCGTCGTGCGAGTTCTTCACAAGTGCGTGGCACACTCGGAAGTCACGCGCCAGCTCTGCAGGTGAGCTTGCCATTGTTAACCACGCAGGTGAGAAGAATACGAGCACGGCGATTCTGGTTAGAAGTGGGAGATTGCCTACGAGGACTAAGCAGGGATTCATGTCTCGGTATTTTCCCGTAAGACGTCTGGGCTGTCTTGGCTGTAGGGCGATTATATGCGTAAGGAACTTCCATTATAGGCGTAAGGAACTTCCATTATAGGCGTAAGGAATTACCACTACAGTAACAGATAAGGCTATCCATAGTATATGTGACCGAAATAAGTTCAACATACATACAAAATAACTTGTCTGTCATGCACTCCCTTACGGCCTTGTGGCAGATGGAATGTGTAAAATATACTTCTGTTCTTCATGTAGAGGGACAGACATATGGAGACGTATTGTGTGCTTTATTTATTTGGTTGCTTCTTTGGGGTGAGGGCGGTGGCACAGTGGTTCGTGTTCAGTCTTCCGCACACGGCTATAACGAGAGCCGAGTGGTATCGGACCTTAACCCGTTCTCGCTCCTCCGTTCATCAACTGGAATTATAGATTTCGATTTAAAGCTTTCGTGACTGCAGGGATTCATCTTCTTGGTTCTTTCGGTAAAGTCACGCAGAATGGAAATAAAATAATAAAATAAAACATAATAAAATAGAATTCTCACGACGTTTCGGCCACAACACAAGTAACCTTCTTCAGGTGAAGGAACAGAACTGTCGGGACGACAGCGCTTCAATGAACGCTGCTAAGATTTGCAGCGTCTTTTAAGCTGGGTGGGAGAAGTGAAGCGCCTGGACAAAGGAGTTTACATATCAAACAGGAGAATTTAGCATTGAAATAGCTGTGTTAAAGTGTTGGATCAGCAAGGTGTTAAAGTCAGAAATTAGCATGTAACTGGGAGATTAGCATGATGTTAATGTGAGGGATTAGCATGTAACTGGTCATGGAAATAGCTATGTTAAAGTCAAAGTTTACAAATCAACAGAGGCATTTAGTATATGGACGCTAAAGGACTGCAACTACCTATCATACAATAAACCGATGTGAAAAAAAACTAAGTATAAACTACATCAATATAATAAATGTACTCAATATATTCTTCAATAAGTTGAGCTATTAACATAAAGTAACTGGGTATACACTACACTATATAATGATTACCATATAATAAACTAATACAAAACTAAAATATAAACTACATCAATGTTATCAATAAACTCTATATACTCTCCAATCAGCTGAGCTACTAACAATAAGTCGTTATACATTACAATGCCATATGGCGAAAAAATGGGTGGCGGTTTTTTTTTCAGTAGGGTTGGTAGAATAATACATAGTATAATATTACAAGTTGAATATTTTACAGTCTAAAGTATAGGGTAGTGTATAGTAACGCATTGTATAATTCAAGGGTGGGTTTGTCTATGGCAGTGTATATTACGGTGTATAGTCGTGTAATGTAGAAAAAAAGTTTAGTTGGAGACATATCAATGTAATGCAAAATGTTAGAGCTTACATTGGGCTGTGTATACGATATTATACAATGTAACTTAGATTGGAAGGTATAACATTGCAATGTATAGCAGTCTATTTTATAACATAGTTGTAACATAGCTATTTCCATGACCAGTTACATGCTAATCCCTCACATTAACATCATGCTAATCTCCCAGTTACATGCTAATTTCTGACTTTAACACCTTGCTGATCCAACACTTTAACATAGCTATTTCAATGCTAAATTCTCCTGTTTGATATGTAAACTCCTTTGTCCAGGTGCTTTACTTCTCCCATCTAGCTTAAAACACGCTGCGAATCTTAGCAGCGTTCATTGAAGCACTGTCGTCCCGACAGTTCTGTTCCTTCACCTGAAGAAGGCTACTTGTGTTGTGGCCGAAACGTCGTGAGAATTTTATTTTATTACGTATTATTTTTATTATTTTATTTCCATTCTACGTGACTTTACCTAAAGAACCAAGAAGATGGAATTCTAGACTCAAACCTCCAGCGAGCCTCTTAATCAGTGGCGAATCCACTGAGGCCCCGGCATTTGGCATTTTAAACTAAAACTAAACTAATTTTGGTTTTACCAGGTAAGACTCACTGAGCTATATAGCTCTTTTTCAGAAGCGACCTGGCCACAATTGGTAGCTCAGTGAAGTTGCTCATCATGTGGAAATTTGCAGCAGCCAGATACTCTAAACGCATATTTCTAAATGTGGAGGGAAAAATCGAAGGATCCAGAGAAAAATCCACGCGACCACGGAGAGAGAGACATGCAAATTCCAAATGTACCGGCGTCAGGGTCGGGACGGAACCCACTACCTCCTGTATACTAGGCGAGGAAGTTAACATCTCGCCACCACGTCGCCCATTATTTTCGGCTTCTCAATAGCAACCCTTGGTTGATTCTCGCTGTATAAATTAACTGTATGAGTTCACTCATGAGGCGGCCGCCATACCAAAAAAGATTGAGATCAACTGCTTTAAACCCAGTGGTTGCATGTGTTCTCAACAGATCACCAATCTGTTTGGCCCATCCCATCCTACATAACGCGCCATTCCGGCTTCATTCATTATTTTGAAAGTTTCCCCTAACACGGGCACCAAATGACCTGTCGTGCACATAACCACAGCCACGGTTACTTATGCCGTCTAAGTGGGTTCATCAAGGCTATATGTCAGGGGCATTGAGTTAGCAACAGTTGAAGTGACTAGGTTCAAACCCCGTAGGCGGTGAGATGTTAACTACCTCGCCTTGTGTACAGGAGAGGTCGTGGGTTCGCTCACGACTCT